ATGCCATGAGTGAAAAGGGGAACTATGTGCTGGCAATTATCAAAACAAAAGAGACCTATGACAATCTGAAAGAAAGTCTTTCAGTTATTAAAACTGAAATGGCTCAATTAAATGAAATTGACGTTGACTATGTTAAGTACAAGATTGAGTACTTCATAGGTGGTGACTGGAAATTCCAGGCTTGCATTTGTAGCTTAGGTGCTGCAAACCAAGATTACGCTTGAGTTTGGAGCAAATGTCCAAGGGAAGAAAGGTATAATGTAACAAAAACCTGGTCTCTTATTGATAGGCACTATGGGGCAAGGACATGTGAGGAAATTGCTAACCATTCAAGAGCAAAGAAATATAACTGTAAATCATGCCCACTCTTTGATTTTATTCCAATGGATCATGTAATCATTGACACCCTACACTTATTCCTGAGGATTTCTGACAATTTATTTGAGCTCCTCCTTAGGGAAAAGAAAAGGTAGAATGCTATCAATAAGGTGAAAACGTTTCCTTGTGGCTTCAACAGGGAAAGATATAAACACATAGCTGGTTATGAACATTTTTTTGGGCAGACAGGAGTTTCATTTGAATGGAGAGTGGAGTCAAACACAAAAAAGCTTGAATACAGGGATCTCACTGGACCAGAAAAGCTCCATGTCATCCAAAATATTAATATTCAGGCACTCCTTCCAAATTTTGAAGATCACAAGAAATTAGAAAAACTTTGGAATGATTTTATGGAAATTATTAGAGGATCTAAAACTTGACTTCCCTACAGATGAGCCAATTGCATCCCTTACTGCAAAAATAAAATCATGGTTTCAACAATTCCTCTCTCTATATCAAGATATAAGATGTGACACCCTATATGCATGCTCTCTACCATCACATTCCAGAATATTTGAAACTGTATATCAATGTAGCACATTTCAACCAGCAAGGCATGGAAAAATATAGCAACATCCCCTCTAAAGACTACTTTAGGTCTTCAAACCACAGAGGAATTGCTGCACTAGAACAGCTGTTTATGAAGAAACAAAGAGTTCAATTCCTGGAAGCTGCTGGTTGTGAAAGAGTCAAGAAATCAAACAAATGCTCCAACTGCTAAGATCATGGTCATACTATCAAGACATGTACAATGAAATGCAAAATTTATGATTATGCTATCTGCTTTGGACACCTTGAGAAAGTAGACAGAAAGTGGGTGCAGAAATGCACACTGTAAAGTGATTTTACATTACAGCTACCAATGCTTGTCCTTCTGGACGGTCTGATGGTTCACTTTCAGTTTCACTTTCATAGTTTTTAAATTCTTAAATATCAATCCATATCAGTAACTGAGACCAGTTATAATCATGCCTTAGAAAAACAAATGTTATTCGCAATAATCAGCACGATATTTAAATATATTATCATGATCTATTAGGTAACCCATACAGAATTATTTTAACATGGATTACAATGTAAATATTTGCAAACCAATTTTTTTTGTTAAAAAGACAATAATGTTGTATAATAAATCATTTAGCATCTTTCCATACACTGCCTTCTATTCCCATCACCTCCAACAAAAGTAAAGACAAGCATGTACGCATCCTCAACCTCGCATTTCACATACTTGCCACCAATATATTTGTATTCTTGTATATTTACACGGGGTTTTCTTTGTTATCCAGAATCGAACAGTATTTTTCTCCACATATGCAAAATCGCCACTAGAATTCATAATTCTCTCGTCCCACTTTGAACCAAGAACACCATCTAAAAGTCGATTGTCAGTTGCGCTGTAAACATCTTTTCCTCGTTGTGAAGTGCTCAGAGTGACTTGAGCAAGTCCCGTGGAAAATACATCTGGATCGACATTCATTTCAATTCGTACCTTAGGGTCATCCCTTCGACCAGACCATAGCTTTCGCTTGATAGCACGATTGGGCAGCACGATTGGGATAGCACGATTGGGCAGAAACATCTTTTCTAATCTAACAAAAGGAAAGTAATCCCTCTCGCAGTCATAGTTGCACCACTCATCAAATTCCTCGCTGAAACCCACGAAGTGAATTTTTATCTGTTTTCACTCATTATTCACGTCTACAATATTGACTTCATACAAATTTTTGTCTATCTTTCGTCGCTTTCCCACTCTACCAACATTAGCAGGGCCCATCTCATCGAAATCATCCACAAACCGTTTCGGTGCACGCGACATTCGTTTCGGCCGGTCCGCCATGTTTAAACACAACGCAAGCGCAGTGACAGTATACTTCATGTAACGATCACCGTAAGCAAATGTCCCCTTTAGTGGGCTTTCTGTTTGTGTTTTGTCTTTTTTTTCTAACGCTTATCTTCACCACGCAGATTCGCGACTAATAGTCATTACTTTCGATTGCGTTGCCACATAATTTTCTTTTTTTAAATATCGATCATTATTTAAATAAAAAATGAAAAGAAAAGAAAAGAAAAAGAAAATAACAACGACAGTGAGAGAAAAAGAAAGCGCATAAGCGACCAAATATAAATGTGAAATCTTTTCCTCGTATCTATTTCTTCAGTGGTAGATATTTACTATACAGACCGTTTTGACGGTCGGGCGACGTGTATATTGTGTGTTACTACCTTTTATTCCACCAGACTACGAGTAGAAAATACTAGAACAAAAAATTGCAATCAGATATTAAATAAATGGCAATTATGCATAACTGAGAGACAAGTTCAGAGCAAAATTCCAGTGTTAAAGCTGGCCAAGTTCACAACATAAACTTTAGAAGAGATAGCCTGTGGTTTTGAGTAATAGAAAGTATATAAATTAGGTTTTTACAGGGCTTGAGTTGGATTAACTGTACTGATTGGAGTATACATGCAAATTCATATTATATATGTGCAGGTCAAGCCATTGACGTTTTTCTGGCTCAGGATGACTAAATTAAGCAAATAGGTGCTTCCAATGGGCAAATGGCTGCTGGCACTCAATAGTTTTCATAAATATGTTTAATAGTTTAGTCAAAATGGATTTCTCATTCAGTGAAAATGGTTATTTTCTCTCTTCGGTGAGCTTTTTTTTTCCGAATTTGGACCCCGACATGAACAAATATGCAAACATGTTTACGTTGCTCGCATTCAGTAAGATGTTGCGAAATAGACTGTTAGACGCCTGGCCAATAAATATTGGGTCTCTTCCCAAAAATTTATTCCGATGCGTTATTGAAAAGGAGTAAACTACTGGTTTGAAAAAGAAAAACCTCATGGTCAAAGTGCAATATTGTTCTATCTCCTTGACGAAACCTGCTTGAAATTTTTATCGATTCGTTGAACATATCAAGTTATCGAAAACTGGACCATGTGCCTATCATACATGCAATGTACTAATCCATCATCCCACCAACTGATTATCAGCATCATCATATTGACTGTAACTTTCCGCAAATTTTAACAATTTAATTTTCATGTTCACTGGCTAAGGTTGAAAATACAAAAATTCAGAGACTCATGCAATGTCAAGTGGATAATGGCACTGTTAATTTTTAATGAAATGTTTTAAGCACTACTTATCATACGTTCAATTTTTAGATGAAGGTTCTTTGTCTGTTTACTTTATTGAGACGTTAAGAGCAAAATTGCTTGCACTCTTCGAAGGAAGAATAATAACAATATTCACTATAATTAATAATTTAATATTAATAATTAACATGAACAATACAATATAACTGGATTTCACTATCCGTTGTTAATTACGTCTCGTGATCTGTGCTCGAATCTTGCAAGCTCCAGTAGAGGACCTGAGAAGTGCCTCGCCTACGGTAAGTACACTATGAGGAACTATATTATTTTGAAAAGTTTCCAACGGTCACGGTCCGCTGAGTTTGGCTTTACCATCCGGTGAATTCCTTAAAAATCTTCTACGTATTCACACTCGCGTTAAGGCAATGATGTAATAAATCACAATTTAAGCCCTGAGTATTAAGTTTATTTCAAGCCAATTTAAAATAAAAAATGAAAAAAAAAAAAAAAGAAAAAGAAAATAACAATGACAGCGGGAGACCAAATAAAAATATAAAATATTTTTCTCGTATTTATTTCCTCAGTAGTAGATATTTACTTTACAGACCGTTTTGACGGCCGGGCGCCGTGTATATTGTGTGTTGCCATCTTTTATTCCACCAGACTACGAGTAGAAAATACTGGAACAAAAAATAGCAATCATATAAATAAATGGCAATTATACATAACTTAGAAATAAGTTCACAGCAAAATTCCAATGTTTAAGCTAGCCAAGTTCACAACATAAACTTTAGAAGAGATAGCCTGTGGTTTTGAGTAATGAAAAGTCTATAAATTAGGTTTATTACAAGGTTTGAGTTGGATTAACTGTGCTGATTGGAGTATGCTTTAGGTTTAATGCAAATTCATATTATTTACAGTAAATGGTTTGAACCTACACTATTTCATATTATTTATTTATGACTAGCAACTTCCTTTCTAGTTTCAGTAACAAAAGCGATTCATTGTCTCGAGATAATTTTCAGCTTGCATGCAGCCGTGCTTTGAGAGAATTCAAAGCACACTGGTCGAAAGTGTTCATTTGAAAACGTTTTTCAATCCTTTTGTTTTCTGAGAATTCGTACCTGTTTCTTTAAATATGCATTGCTGCAAAACAAACATTTGAGCTGAAGTTTTTCATTCTGGCTGAACCCATACCTAGTGCTACTTTTTCTTAGCTTGTATCAGTAAAACTTGCATTAAAACTATCTCGTTTCACCGTATCTGACAACCTTTGTTCACTTTCTTTGTGAACTGGTGAAGGTGTAGATATAAACTTTTCAAACCGGGAGAGTAAAAATGATATAACTTATAATTTAATTTACTAAATAAATAATTAATAATGTGTGGAAAATTTGCGACGAATGCAGATTTTTCATTAAAACACTCCGTATTATCACACTATACGTGGTGATTCCAATAGCCAGCAATGATTTCCTTAAAAAAAACATGAAATAAAAATAAAAACAAAGAACCAAACCAACAGAGTAACCGACACACTTCTAGAAAAATGCTTCTTCACAGGACGTAGGTGGATAATATGATATTGTTAATTTTGAATGATATGTTTTGAGCGATAGGTATCATGTGCCCATGAAGAGGTTCTTTGCCTTGTTTACTTTATTGAGACGTTAAGAGCAAAATTGTTTGCACTTTTCCCTTGAAGCATTAATTCCCGTATATTAAAAACACTCTAACTGGATTTCACTATCCGTTGTCAATTACTTCTCGTGATCTGTGCTCGAATCTTGCAAGCTCCTGTGGAGGACCTCAAAGGTGCCACGCCTACGGTAAGTACACTATGAGGAGCTCTATTATTTTGAAAAGTTTCCAACGGTCATGGTACGCTGAGTTTGGCTGCACCAACCGGCGAGAATTCCTTAAAAATCTTCTACTTATTCACGCTCGCGCTTAGGCAATGATGAAATAAATCACAATTTATGTATTGAGTATTAAGTTTATTTCAATCAAATTTTTGTTTTTTTATCTTTTCAGTAGAAAACCATGCATCTGTGTTATTTTGGTGTGTTCATCGTCATATGCCATGCACAGCTAACCCAAGCCATTGCGCAGTGCGTTCGCCCCACATATTCAGAGTATGGTCATCATCTTTCCGGTCACGTTATTACAACAAGTAAAACTTTCAGCATTACCGAGTGTGTGATGTTTTGCTTGAACGAGTCTCGCTGCAAGAGTTTGAACTTTCGTTTAAAAGATAAGTCATGTGACTTGAATTCTGCAAACAAACGTACTCATCCAAGGGATTTTGGTCCGAAAGAAGGATCAGTTTATATGAACAAGGTATGGTATTGGCGAATTCTATAAAAAGAAATTAAACGAAATAATGTTTATCTGGCAGTACATATCGAAAAATTATGCTATTTATTTCTAAATCCGTAATCCTCCCACAGTCATGCTGACTTGAGAGACAATAATGTTTTCATACATTTGTCGTCTCACTTTTGCCGCCTGTGATTGGCTCACATATAGAATCAGAAAATGACCCCGCAGTATCTTAATGTGTTCCTCACGTACGATTCAAAATTTCAGGTTCGATTAATAAAATCTCTATCCACGCGTATCCTTTTCGGTTTAAAAAGTGAGATTTCTGCCTCTGGTTCAGCCTTTTGTCCAAACTTGAGAAGAAAAATACTCTTGTATTAGGCTTCGTTGTTTCACGATTGCGATCAACTAGTGAATACATCCTTTCCCGAATAACCGAAAACATTTTGCAATTATTATATAAGATGCATTTGTGTTATTGACCAACCATCTTTCTTGGATGGTTGTTTGTTAAAATAGGGCGTGGTACGCGGGGCTCCCAAATATTAGCAACAGAGAAATAAGTAAACAAATAAACAAATGCGTGAATAAATAAATGATTGAATAAACGAAGCCATGTAGTCAATAACATATCAAAACACAACATAACAACTTTATTTATTAAGTGTCGATGTCTTCAGCTTAGAGAGAGCTATTTGGGAACACTAAAAAATAATGGGAAAAAACAATTATAAAATGAGTTTATACAGGGTATTATAAGGCAAATTCATAATTCACTAAAAATCTAAAATTTATCAAAAGTTAAAATTTAAAAGTTACAGAGTTGTCCCGGCTAAAATATACAGAAAAATGCTAAAAATATTTTTCAAGGATTTGATATTGAATAAAATGCACCGACCGGTCAAGGATTTGTGCTTACATCACCGCAGGACAGCAGACGCTGTAACCCGAAGGTTAAGTCAGAATTTGGGTAGCGAGTAATTCTCATGGCAAAGTAGCCTTTCGCCCGAGTCGGGCGAGTAGTACATGCGACATGTCGGATATTATGTTGTCGCGAACTTTGATAGAAAAGAGCCTCCTTAGCATAGGTAACCTCCACAAAACGGTGCCCGTTGATAGAGGCCCGGGTTAGTCGCGTATTAAGAGAGTAAAATTGCCTCAAAGTAAGAAACAGAGGCATAGCATGTTGACGATGAAGGACCCATCACTAATCCGACCGCTATGAGTACGTAACTATAATCTATGATGGTTATTTCTGCCAATAACCATCTGCAATCTTTAATCTACAGGATGATGAATTCAAATCTTGTTCAGAAATTCTAAAGAAATTGCCTCATGCGGAAAGCGACTACTACTGGATAACTATTGGAAATAGAGACGCACAAGTTTACTGTGATATGGAAAAACATGGTATGTACAAAAGGATAAAATAAAAAGCAAAGAGTAAATTGAACTTAAAAAAAAAAACCTTAAATCTGCCTCTGGTAAGAGAGAAAGGTTACAAGTTCTGTTACTGTTTTTGCTCAGTGGCAGTGTTGCTTTAGTTGAGATTTCGGCCAATGCACTGAGGTTGAATTGTCACTTTTGCCAGAGATAGAGCCTTTGAGTACCTTTTCAATTTAAAAAATGAACAAATAAAGGTATATATTGAGGTTTTAGTTGTTTCTCATTTACACATTTATTCATTTACTGTTTTTCTTTTTTCCCCCTTCTTGCTCTAAGAAACGTTACCAGCAAGGCTACCTACATCAAATTTCTTAAGCGTGAAATCGTGAAATTCCCTTTTAATGCTATCGGAAAGTTTATCACTGAGTAAGCGTCCTATCTACAGTTTTCTCAGCTCGCGTTTATATTTATCGAACAAAGACAACGTTTATAAACTGAAATGCGGCTACATTTTGTATTTTAATTTTATGCAGGCGGTGGATGGACCTTAGCCGTGAGTATCAGCTCCAAGAACAACGATCATCTTCAAAACGCAGCCAACAACTGTCTCAACTCCGTACTGTGCGTTCCTTTTACGCACAAGAACCAGGGAAGAAAGTTGAGTGACAGCGATATACATGAAGTAGCAAAGGAAGAAGGTGAATATGAAAAAAAGACAAATAGCGATAATAATAATAATAGTAACAAACATGGTAATAACAGTATGACATAAAGAGCGCCTATATTGAGGATTTGATCAATCCACATTCTGAGTTGACATATTGTGTTTGAATAGCTCTTTTTATGTGCATTATAACATTCTTATTTGTAACTCATTATAAATCATTGCCCTCCCTATTCAATGTTGCATTTTTGCAGCTCAACGATAACGGGAATCACCAATCATCAATTGCAGATTGTAAAGATTAGTCTTCTACGATTCGTAAAGCGGCCGGCGCTTCGCGAAACTCATCCAAGCTAGACCTTAGTCAGTTAACAAAGTGATCAGTGAAACAAGCAGAAATAACTGGTATTTTCAACGATCTGATAAATCAATTGGAAATTTTCTCTAAATGACAAAATGTCTCCTGTTTTTATTTATTTATTTTTATAATTATTTATTTATTTATTTACTTTACTACTTAAAACAGCTAACAGGTTAACAGTAATGCATATAAAGGTTTTCTATTCCTGAAATATTGGTTTGGAATTATTATCTGAGTGGGTTTGTCAAGTGAAGGAGAAGGCTGTGTATTCAGCTATGACTTTACAAAGCGAGATTAGTTATTCACTATTGTTATGGTAACAACATTCAGACACGATCGGTCTTACATCTATATATCAAAATGTTGTCTTGTAAATGTAAGGGTATACACTTAAATCACTTTATAATGGGTAACGAAACACTTCTTTGCATTGCAGTCAAATGTATTTTTGCGTCCTTCCAGGAACTTTTCGGGTCGATGTGTTACAAAGTGATGGCACTTTCTTGCATACAGTATTTTATCGGGTAAATGTCTGATACTCATTTATTTGATCATTTATTCCATTATTGTTATTTTACGGAAGACGACTTCATGAAAAATGTATCGAAGCTGGAAGGTAACGAAATTTATTCAAAACCAATACGATGAGCGAATAATTGAACACAGAATGTTTCTAAGATGAATTAAAGCTGTTACTTCAATCTCGTTTCCTTTTTTATGGAATCAGAGCATGTCGTTGATAGCAAGAGCATGAATTTTTAAGTGGTTAGTTTAAGAATATGAAAAAGTAAAATAAGCTCTTCACGATTATACTATGAATTAGTCTCGTTTTTTTCTTACTTTTAAGATACCCAGTGGGCAAAACAAATTCAACTCAACATGTCATCAGGGAAAGTAAGTTAACTATTTTTTTTTCCATTACTCGTTTTTGCCTTACTTGATTGTTGCATTTCAAACAGCAATACCAAAAGGCAATCTTAGAAAGCGCATGTATCACGAAAACAGTGCTATGGAATTTGGGTGTTTATTTAAACAACAAAAAGTGCTTCTCGTTGAAAGAATGAAGTTGACATCAATATAGCACAGAGCTGGAACACCAATTAGCGTGGCGATAAGGGAAATCGTTCCACATGTCAAGCTATACCCATAAACCGTCACAAATTCTCGACACTTCCCCAATTTATTATAGTTTAACGCATTTGAAGTTCTTTCTTAGTGTAAAACTATGAAAGACTAGCTGACCGCCTCAATTCCCAATGCGATATAGGGCTGTTGCTTGATTACTTATTCTGAAAAAAAAGAAAAAAAACCTTTCGTTTATTTCAGTTGTCCACGTATTATCATATCCCACTCCTATCCAAATGGTTGGGAGAGTAGCAGCTGCACAGGGATTGAAAAGGGATATCTCATCGCACCGAGCGACTACTGGGGTAAGTAAATATGTAAAAAGGTAAATGTGTTCGTGGACATGTAATAGTTTTGCGGATTGCGTATTCCCAGCGTGTGTAATAGCCTGTTTCAAGCGTTCAATGTGACAAAGCGGAGCGCGATCTTTAAACGGCACGATGATAAAGGCGGAACCAAAAACAAAGAAGGCTTGAGTCGGGGCCTGCCACGGGCCCGTTTCTTTTTGCTCCGCAGTTACTATTGCGCCGTTTACTATCGCGCTTTGTTTTACTTATTGAACATCTGGAACGGCCTGGCGTGTAAGTAAAACCCTCTCTTCCATTACGAAGGAAGAAACGATGGCACAGACCGTAGTAACCCTTGGAAGTATCCAAAGGAGCATGTACTTGCAAAGACAAAGGGGATCTTCAAAGCATTTTGGCTGACAGAAACTAAAAGCCAAGTAATCTCAATTGCTTACCAGAGCAAAGCATATAAATAACAGAAGCCATTCCGAGCAACGCCAGGAAATACAAGCGATTAAGTTTCACTTTTCAGTATTTGAACACCCTTTGACTTATTGTGCGAATTTGTTCAAAAATAACTGTAGTTTTTGATGGACATGATAACAGCGAGTGCGGCGGCCAGCAATGGTCTTCGTCCCAGTACGGTGAGTAATGAAATTTCCACAGTCATTTATTATTTATGATAATAAGCAAATATTACTGTAAATTTTTTTAAGCTAATTTACTGGCATCTTTGACTCCTTTCTCTTGACCAAACGAAATAAAGTTTTATTCCCCAATAGTCAGATAGACCGAGTTTCTTTCTAGTTGCCTAACCAACCATACAATTGGGTGGGATAATTCTAAAATTATCACTACTAATCGGCGTTACCGAGCTCCTTTAAATCGTTTCTCATTGGATGGATCAACAGGAGTGTCGAAAGTCTATGAATTGTAACTTCTTCGGTTACATTCATTAAATCTGCAAACCAGTGTAGCTTCAAACTATGTCTGATTGTCCACCTGGTTGCCGTGTGAACTTTAATATATTTTAGACCGAGTTTCTTTGGATGGATCCAGGGAACAGCTCCATATGAATTTTTACAATTTATTCCTCAACCTTTTCTATGTTTTGCTTTTGCTTGTTAGTTTGTTTGTTTTTTCTTTTGTTTTTGTTTTTTTAATCTAGTTTTCCTTTACCTTTTCCTTTTTTCTCAGTGGTAGCTCGAAGAGTGTAGCATACTTTTGTTGATAATGGTTTAAAATATCTGATTTAAGACAGCCTTGATGCTTGACATATTACTTTTCCGTTAATAATTTCATCCCAAACAGGTAACAGAAAACGTGCCCTGTATGGTTACACAATTGGCGGCAATCGTGGAATATACAATAACTATGCGGGGATGATGTACGTTAAATAAACATTGGACAGGTGTTGGCATAGATAAATCTGATGTGATATGTAAAGTTACCATGATTTACAAAGCCTTAAATCGAAAATTTATGAAGGGGAAAATTATTTCTCACATAGCGTTAAAGGGGACAAAACTTCTTTTACAAACAGTTCGCCGCAGTCTATAATCTATGGATTAACCGAGGAAATGTACCGATGATGATTGATAGAACGATTTATTGTAATTCCTATAAGACTTAAGAGTTGACTCCAGATCTATTGCTGATTAATCTATCACTGATTATAGTTAGTTGACTATCTGAAAAGAAGTTTGTAAAACGCTCTGCACTAAACGCCATAACGGAAATTGATTCCTGCCTAACAGATATCTTTAGCATGCAAACAGTAAATAACTCAATAAAAGAAAAAAAATACTTAGAATAAGTTATTAACTACGTAAATAGAAAACTTGGTAAATCAATACAAAAAATTTAAAATTTGAACATAAATAAAGAAATGATTGCAAATACGATTGATAGGTCTTACTTATCTTAGTAGTGACGTATACTAAACACAGCGAGAGAAGACCAAGATTCGGGACGGCCATTAAACCATGAAAACCATGCATTAAATTAGCAGAGTGGAATAACTTAAAAGTGATGAGTTGCGCAAGCGCAACTTTTCTGAGAAGGAAACCAGAAAAAATCCAGTTTAAGTTAATGTTAAATCCGCCATCTTTCCCATCTTGTTGGACGAATTACAAAAGCTGGAAACCAACTGCAAATCCACGGTGCTGGTTCAATTTCTGTTATTTCGCGGTGCTTGATAAATGTAGGAAATTAACCCTCGCTACTAAGAGTGTCTTGGTAAAAAATAATTAAATTATATTAACGGAAGAATCATGTTATTGTATTACTAGGCTCAGATAATCAAACCGGAGGCATTCGCCAATAATTAATGCTATTTTTATGATTTTAAGGTTAAGTATTAGCGTCGTTCAGATTTCATTAAAATTTTAATCAGCTCCATAAGGAAATGATTTGATTTAACAACATTCGTTTATAGGCGAAACAGGCGCCATGCACTACATTTCATAGCAAACTTATTTTAAGTAAACTCCGTGTGTCGAATTCAAGTTCTCTCGTGATAGGGATTCTGCCACCCAAACGTTTATACTTCGCGCGCGCTCATTCACCTTTAATCTACAAAAGAAGGTAGGATAAATATAAGATCCCAAGATCTTATCATTAATTCTCCTTTCTGTCTGCCATACAATTCTTATGATGCTAGTTCAGAGAATTTGGTATTGGATCAACTAAATAATCCTCTCAATGCTATTTTTCTTTATTCTCATCGCTTGTGTACTTGATATCGGAAGGATATTGTGAGGGGATCAGAAATTCTGTCTCGGTCATTCATGGGAGTCAAAGGGTTAAGAGAAACAGTATGTAGGTTTGAATATTCGAAAGTCTTTCTGTTTTTAACTGAGAGCTGAAGGAGAATTTCACTGCAATGAGTGAAGTATGGTTTATGTTTAATGCACTCATTCAATTGAGCATCCAACATCAAATTTAAACTGAGATTGCATCAGGCTGGGGATAAACAATTCAGGCGAAGGGAAATTTTCATTAGATAAGAGACTGAAGGTACGTAATAGCTTTCAAATATATATTTTGTCCTTTTTTTTCAACAAGTAGTTGATCATTTAGTAGGAGGCTTTATTTTTGTTTTCAGTGAGCACCCTCTAGCGAATTATCGACCCCGATATGTCCAAACCAAACTTAACCGAACCAAAAGTCATCAAGGGATATGAAATGAATCATTGAAACTTGTTACTAAAAACCGACGAGCTGACAGGTAAAATGTAATAAAGATGATTGTTGATGGTAACAGCAAGGAAAAGCCGAAAATTCCACAAACCTTTGCAAGCTATTACCAACTGATATATAGGAAACCACAATCATGTCGAGTGTCGATGAAGATACAGAGCCGGGTTAATCACGATTTGTTATTCAATATATTTATTTGTTTCTCTTCGAGTCCAACAGATCCTTTAAGTGCACAAAAAGTAGAAAACTTGTGATATCAACGGAAAAAAAAGCAAACAAAGAAAATCAGTGCCTTTGTAAACAAGCTAATTAAATGTTAAATATATACGTAAATGAACACATGAAAAATCAATAATCATTAAATACATGGACGGTTGAGAGGTTGTTTCACTAATCTTTCAAGAGATTTGTAAACTCCACTTGTTTCATTCAAACGCAGCAAAAACATAGACAACTTTTTGGTCAGAAGTTACTAAAATCTAATAATCAACCCGGTACTTTCAAATTTCGCGACAAAATGCAAAACTTGTCCTTTCATTCATAAAGTTAATAAAATATCGGTTCCTAAGTGATCCATTAACGCCACTGATCATTTTACCTGCATCTTCACCGATGCATGCTCAGATATCGATATTTTTTGTTTATCTCACAGACAGAAAAATTTCAAAAAATAATAATTCTCACGGGCGTGCACGTCGTATTCACGTCTTTATCCGCAGTTCAAATATATGACTTTCATATTATGTTTTAATGTATAATGTTTAGGAACCTTGCGATGCCCTCCTAGATTTGTTTGTGAGTCGAACTTTCTGTCACACGAAGCTAGGATGTGGCCTGTTGTAAATTAGCCAATGAAAAAGCATCTTTGTTTTTCTTTTGCATAAGAGAATTTTGTATTCAATCAGAAAATAAAGTTCATTTACACGCATGACTTCACCTGTCGGTTTTTTGAGCAATTTAAGACAAGATCGTTGACAGCGTAGCGAAATGTTTTCCTGAAACAAAATTATCAACGCGCTGAAGCGTAGCAGAGGGAATATTAACCCTTTTACAACATTTAAACCATCGGGTTGAAAATGTTATAAAACAATTGGTTCATACGTCAGCTGAGCGTTCATCGAGATATGAAGCACCTAGAAAGTTGGGAAGTTTGGAACTCTTACGCATCTTTCGTGCTCTCCAAACTTCCCGCGTGCTTCATATCTCGATGAACGCACGATGAAAAAGTGATAGAGGGCCCCTTTCTCTCCACGTGTCGAGTCTGACGAAGTTAATGTCAGCGTCGCTTCCGTTTTTTTCATTAAGCATGTCATTGAAAATTTCTGGCTCGATATTGAGAACGTCAAAAACCCGCTCTGCTATTCATTGTTATGGTGCGTAACAGTTCTGAACGCACGCCACGCAGTCTTAGAAATTTAAGTCTCGTTGTAAGCACGTGGAACAGTGCCATATATGGAGCGATAAAACTCGTGCCTCATACATGCTTGTTTGGTTATGTATAGATAAACGAAATCACTTATAAATGTCAATCAAATTTAAAATAATTAACGTATCGTAAAGTTTCCAACAGATTCTAAACGGTGGTGCAAATCAAACAAGTGTCGTTTGAAAGAATGATCACGAGTTCAGTCGAAAAATAATTCCTATCTGAAATCGACAACAATAGATGACGAATTATCGGACCACGTCTCCGGTGAGGTCTTTAAGCGACCTTAGGCACAATACTGTTATTTAGACACGATAATGATGAAATGCGAAGGTCAAAGCTAAAGCTGACAAGAAGCCTCTTACATTCTATGGAAATCCTTCATAATCTGAGCCATATAATTCGATTTTATTTTATTGCTCGATAACCAGTTCCAACTTTATAGGCAATTCACGTGATTTAAATTGGATAATCCACAACCAATTCCGATATGTAAGTACAAACCGCTCTTGCGTGGCATAATCGAAAAGGATTTAAACATCTCATAGATTCAGTGAGATAGTGCTAAACTCACATCTGATGCATTTGAAGCCTCATTCCGACCGTATCGAAGATATTTTGTGATGTATTGCGCAATGATTTAAGGTTATTTAGCGGACAGGAAGATGGATAAAATCATATTCCACGAAATTAGATGAATCCAGGGAATTTTTTTCCTCGTTTCTAATTACAAAGGAGGACCAAGGTAGGTCAAATGAAATGTTTTGTATAACCTAATAAGGGATAACAGATCCGTTTTCGAGAAACGGGGAAACCCCTAAAGAACTAACTGATAGAGGAAGTCGAACACCTGCGGAAGTTCATTTGTAAATTATTTTTCAGTTAGTACTATCAGGAGTAGATTGATCTAAAAGCTGGTAAGATTCTGCGATTATCAATTTTATTTTAGCGTAGTTATTCTGCTTGCCACATATAGGTATTCATATTTGGAGTTTTGTCTCACTTGTTAGATGTGCTATCTATAAAGGGAAAGGAAACAAATATTACTTTCCTGAAAATGAGTCCACCAGTCAGGAATACAATAGAGCATACGAAGTAGGAATTGTAAGTAATTCGGCCACTGCAGTTCACTGCTTCGGAAACATAGCACGTACTTCACCTCATCAAGTAAACACAATAAGAAAAATATTAATTATTGTTTTGATCGAGGCTAATGTATTAATTTTGATTACTTGGTAGAAGTTTGCGATTTCCACGATTTTATTGGATCTATGATATGATGGCGTAGACCTACAAAAAGCTAGGAAGAAATTTATAAAATTTCGGAACCCACAAGAGATAAAAGTATTCCATAAAACATGTCTGTAAAGAGGCAACGTACTAGTACAATGCTGGCAAAAGAAATTGCAGTAGGCTGAAGAAATAGGCCTCTGCACACCATCCAGAAGAATGCTTGCATCTTTGATTGTAGTGACTCCAAAAACGTAAACATCTTTGTCAAGTTTGAAACGGGTTGTTTTGCTATTTTATTGCTGAAGTTGTCATCATTACCGCCTCACAGGTGAAATACGCTTGACTTGAGACTTACATTCGAATTACTTTTCTTCCAAATAGGTTCGTAAAGTAAAGAAGTTTTTCTCTTTAGTTAATTTCCCTACCTTATCAGCGAGAATTGATCATATCTATATTTAGGAAATTCGTTTTCAAACGTTCGGTGTAAATTTTAGGTTCCATATTTTCAAACAAATTTAATGCATAAAAAAGGTAGTTTCCTATCCTATGAATTACTGGAGCCTAGGTCAACTATACATGAGTCTCTAAAACCAACAAGTCCTCAATTACCACCGGAAAAGAAACAAAAATTGCTGTCTAAGAATTGTATCCAACCACCCATCCATCTACTAATTCATCCATCAATCTGACCACATTTTTTATTTTTATGCCTGCCTGTTTTTTTAATTTCCTTTTTTATGTTTTTTAATGTCTGGCGATATATCAAATAGGTTTTCATCTCTTCCAGCTACATCTGATGAAAACATGTCTCTTAACTTGGCTGAGGAACAAGATGAAGGACCCGCAGGCACCACGTGGAACTCGGGTATACACAAATCAATTGATGGGCTCACATCTTGTGCAACACTCCAGCAAAGATCAGGGATCGGGAAGGAAATCAATCTAATTTTCAGCAAGAGAAAGCAAGACGAAATTATTAGAACAGCAAGGTAACATTCGTACAAAAACCATCTTTCTTTCTATATATTCAGCCAAATTCACTCGCTCTTTCTTTTTATGAACAGATTATGTACTACAGAGAGTATACTCGGTATTGCATGAATGACTGGTCATCTATATTGAGACAAATTTATACTAACTTATCTATTTATTCTTAAACTCATTTATTTATATCTCTATTAAATAGGCCGGATAACTTGGATGAGAATACTAATAAAATGGTTGAGTTTGAATTCAATATAGATAAGCATTCAAAAATCGGTGGGCAGATAGTACTATCCAGGTAAAGAGAAAAAAAAATTCAAAATCTTTTCAATAATCCATAAAAAGATGTCTGATAGATAACTTGTAACCCATCTTACTGAGAACCTCCCATGTAAAGTAATAATCAAGGATTATTGCAAAAATTGGGAACAGTCGACAGTATTTGAGGAACCGCTCGCGATCGCGAATTATTGTTTGATTAACACCCTCGGCCTGTAGCCTCGGGCGGTATTTAAGACCTTGGTCACAGTTTTTCCTGAAACGGATGTTCCGGCTGGAGATTTAACATATATGTATCTGTCTCTTTGTCTCATGCAAGACTTCTACGCAAAATGCCATTTGCGTCGCCTGAGCACGTAGACATCGGAAAGCGAGCCCAAGCCGAGAAACTAGAAGACAGGCAACTTATCCTTCCAAATGGGGTTAGAATCAAATTTGAGCACATTGTAGCCCTGGCGGGGGATTTCTATGGTATACCGAAAGCACCCATCATCGATCCATTTGACGAAGAAGACGCTGGCCGTCATAAGCGCTTCATGGCTGCCTTCAACACAATGGCGCGTGCACCTGACGATGAAGTAGAAGAGTTGCGCATGCTCATAGCTATTGCAGATAAGGACACGGAGACTAGAAAACAAGATGAGATCACAGGTGGTAAATGGATCGGTGGTGTCCCGGTGAAACCAGGGCGAATGCTTAAGTTGGCCATGAACAACCATGATCATTTTCTACCACACGCCAGAAGCGCTTATCTGACTGGTCATCAGTTGGCCTTGGGGAAAGCAAGAGAAGCGAGCCAAGCAAACACAGAAGAAGAGAAGACCAAACTTCTTCATGAAGCATATGCCATGGAGGCGTTTGCTTGTCACTTTCTTACTGACAGCTTTGCAAGTGGACACATCAGGTATGCCAAAAATACGCGAAATAACATCAAGTAGAGCTATATATAAAACTCCATAGAACTATAACTTTACTTATTTTTTCTTATTTTCTTCATAATCATAATCATCTTTATTGAGGAAACTTTTTCATAAAAGATATGGTTTTCAAAAAGGATCTCAAAACTAGATATATATAGTAAAAACAACAAAGCTATAAAATTGCAAAGGGATTAAAAAGATACAAAAAATGCACAAAATTTAAAAATAAGTATAAGTAAAAATTAAACGTAAGTAGCTATATTAAAAACTTAAAAACATTACGTTTAAAACTATTTACATTCCTTGAGTCTTTGATCGTCTGACTGAGGGAGTTAAAATCGGAAACGGCATGATATTGTGTTATTTGCTTCCCCCAATTTCTTTTGACACGTGGTAATCTAAAATTGCCTTTGTTACGTGTATTATGCCTATGAAGTACGTCTTGTCTAATCAAGTCTATATCGTGATTAATTAAGCCATTGATGCATTTGTATACGTGTACACACCTTCTTTGAAATCGCCTTTTCAGCCACTTGAGAACGGCTAATGCCTCAATGGAGGATGAGTACAATGGTTTATTTAAAATAACTTTAGCGGCCTTATTTTGCAAAACTTGCAAGCTAGACATAAGGGTAATATTATGTTTATCGCCCCATACAAGATCAGCATATTCAAAAAGGGGCAAAACAAGACTTTTATAGAAAAGTAGACGCGCCCTGAAAGGCAATAAATGCTTTATACGCTTGAGAAGCCCAAGCCTCTGATTGATTTTCCCAGTTAGGTGTTCAATATAATCAGTCCATGTGAAATCCGAAGATATATGTATACCGAGGTATTTAAAGCTGCAAACATTACTTATACTATGATCTAAAATAGAGACAGTCAAATCAACTTTGCTTTCGCGTTTCCTATTACTACCGATAAGCATGCATTTAGTTTTGTCCAAATTTAAAGTCAGTTTGTGATCTTGAAGCCATTTTGTCACACCCAGTAAATCGTTATTTAACTAATCACTCAACTCCTTTGAGGATGTACCAACTCCTTTGAGGATGTACCATTAATTAAATTACAAACAACAGAGACCCTTAAATGCTACCCTGTGGCACCCCATGCGTGACTGGAAGTTCCTCAGATAACTCATTTCCACATGAGGTGCACTGTTGTCTACCAGTTAAGTAAGAACGGAACCAATGAAGAGCTGTTTCAGAAAGGCCGATCTCGGATAGCTTGCATAACATTATTTGATGGTCTACCGTGTCAAATGCCTTGGTTAGATCGATGAACATAGCCCCGCAAAGCTTTCCTTGTTCCATGTTTAAGAGCACTTCATCAGCAAATGAGGTCAAAGCTGTTGTAGTTGAGAAACCCTTCCGGAAACCAAACTGCTTGTTGGACAATAAATTATTGGTAATCAAGTACTGATACAACTGCAAGTGTACCGCTCTCTCCAAAATCTTGCTTAACGTAGGGAGGATTGAGATGGGGCGGTAGTTGGAAGCGTTAGTCCTGTCACCTGACTTAAATAATGCCGTGATTTTCGCGCATTTCCACAATTTGGGAAATTGACTAGTGCGAATTGAGAGATTCAAAAGTTTAACAAAAGATGGTGCAATTGTGTGAGCTGAGATTTTAAGAAGTCTTGCGCTAATTTTGTCAAGACCAAAAGCTGCTCAAGCACAAAAGATTGATCCAATTCAGTCAACTCGAACTGGAAAAGCAGGTGTTTTGAATGGAGTTTAAATTCAAGACGGAAGTCTGTATTATACTTGCTAGAATTCGGCCAATGGAAGCAAAGAAGCTATTCATTGAAGAAGCAATGGATTGGGATGTTATATGCAGAACACCATCAGAGATAATACACTGAATACTCTCTAAAGATGAGTTCCGATTGCATGCTTCGTTCACTGCTTTCCACACCTTTTCTGAGTCACCCTTGGCTTCCTCGATCATGTCACAGTAATATTTAGACTTGGCAGTTCGTACTAAGCCATCAACTTTGTTCCTAAGCTTTGCATACATTGACCAATGACGCGCCGAGTTCGATTTTCGCGCCTTTCTATGCGCCCAGTCACGTTCTTTCATAGTATCACTTATTTGACTGTTCATCCATTGACACGCCTTCTTTTTACTGGTGCTTGTTGATCAGCAACCTCCGAAAACATTTTATTCCACGTAAACAAGGCATCGTCGACGTTGTCTTCGTTTTCAACAATATGCCAGGGAATATTCCTAAGATCATCATTAAATAAAGTCGGATTAAAATTCTTATAGGAGCGATACTCGAGTATTCTCGGTTTAGTCTTTGTTGTAATACCAGCTTTAATTATGCAAAATACCAGAAAATGGTCGCTAAGCGGTACCGGAACAACACCAGATTTGACAATGCGGTGTTCATTATTAGCAAAAACCAAGTCGATCATTGTCCGCGAGGTGTCAGTTATGCGCGTCGGTTCTTTTATTAACTGAGTGAAGTTGTAGGCCCGCGAAAAGTTAAGAAGTTCTTGTTTATCTCTTTTGGGCAATTTAGAACTCGCCATCATGTCTGCGTTTAAATCGCCTAGAATTACCACATCCGATTTTTCCAGATCCACAGATGACATACTCTCATGTAGCGAAGAAATAAAGGTCTGAAAGTCAGAATCCGGTGCTCTATAAGCGCAGCAGACGAGTGTTGGCTTGCATTTGTTTCTAATCAACTCAATCCATAGACACTCCTGACCGCCAGTATTAATATCATTCCGCAGGCGAAAAGCCAAACCCTCTCTCACATAGATAGCTACACCACCATATCCCTCTTTAATGCCAGTGCGATCCTGACGAACGCACACGAATCCAGGAAGATTAATTTCTGTGTCGTAAATATTCCCATCCAACCATGTCTCGGATAGAGTTAGAATGTCCACTGTTTTACTGTCGATTCCCTCAAGGCGCAAAGAGTCGGTCTTGTGTACGAGACTTCGTATGTTTAAGTGAGCAATTTTTAGTCCACGAGTGTTCCTTATGTCGTCTAGCGTCTGGTAGCCGGGGTTAAACTCGATATTGCCAGCCAGAGCAATTAAAGCTAGGGCGAAACAGGCTCGATGAAAGAGCTTACAAAGCATAACAGCTTTGAACGAATTACTAAACTCTTTATCTCCGGACGGATTCCTCTGTTGACGTAAATTACCCGCAATTTCAGTTCTGCAGCTCACTTTTGAGACAAAATACACATCACTGTCGTTTAGAAAAGTGCTCTTCTGCAGATATAAGGACTTGTAGTTTACAAAAGACACATAAATGCAGAGAAATATACAAATGTTCGCAGAGAGCCTGAGTTTGCATCCGGCCGCCATGCTAAAGATGAAAGAAGATCTTGTTTTTTCGAAGTTTATAATCTGTATTGATTTATATGTGGTATAAAGTTTAGTATGTTTTAGTATCCTTTGTGTGATGTGCAAGCATTTATAATTTCAGATGTATTTTTTTTGGGAGATTATCTTCTCCTGATAAATGTTTAATTTACAGACAAATCGTGCTGATTACTTTGGCAGTCTGTGAAGTAAGATAACGACGTAGGTCGGTTGTCAATTATTTATTTTAAAAGAATATATGGAGAGGGAAGTGACAAAAAAAGCAACAAGAAGGAGAAGAATTAAATAGCTCATCCGAAGTAAAGCCTTTGTCGAATGTTAATGAAATTACTGAGGCCCAATCTACCAGAAAACGCCATGTATTATCAAATGAATGTTTTGGGTTGTCGTGATTATGAGTGATCCATATAAATCTGAAACTGTTTAATACTTCCGAATGACTCATCAGGTTTGCCTAGATCATAGTTTTATGTTTTCAAGCAGGTCAGCCAGGAAAAAAAATGGCAAGGAAAGTTCCTGCAGAAAGAAGCTTTTTCTAAAAACCCGTTTTTCCATATTCCTTAAGTATCATTTTCATTGAATAATATTCTTTTCATCTCAGGACACCAAGAGCAGAATTAGGAAAAGCAACCAATCTCCATGTAGATGGTCATTACCTGAGTAAGTGTATGCACGATGAAGACGGGAAGTTTGGCCTGCGAGTAACTAATATCAGAGGAGACAAGTGGATTGCTTATGGTGATGGAATGCTTTATAAAAGCGAAGACAATTTTAAACATGTTGTCGAGGCTACTCAGAAATCAGTCGACCAAGTGTATGAAGCCTACCAAGACCCTAATAAAGTTATCGACATCGCTGAGGTTACCAATATCATCCCATTTGTTGACAATGAAGAGAAAAACAACTATCCTTTGTTCCAAGTGAAGCCGGATGGAAAACTACACAGGCGGTCCAACATAAATGATCTGCAAGATGCCAATACAATCTCTAATTGGCGGGGGCTCTCGACAGTGACGAAGCTATCAGTCCAGTACAAACCAAAAAACTCAGCAATATAAACTGATGAAGACTCATTTCAGCACACTTTTCAGTGCAGAGGGCACTAAGTGCATGTGTGTGTTTTTCCTTTTATTTCGTTTTTATTGGTTTTTTTTTTATTATTATCCTTAACTAGGTTAAATAAATTTTATAAAATATGTGTGAGAATAACATTGAATTCCGTTCAATTTAACCAGTAATTTTGGTAAGTGTTTTGGAGACATGGTGTTTATGATATTTATACTAAAAGTGGCTGGAGTATACCGAGGTGGAGAGTGAGCACAGGAGCTCTTTTAGCACCGTCTTCTGCCATCCGGCCTTAAAAGATGGCGAGTGTGATAATTAAACTATTCAATTTGCGTTCCTTTTAAGAATTTTGAATCTGCTTGTCTAGTTTTAAGCTGTAAACTATCAGTCGTTTAAAATCGTAACCTTTGCAGTAGAACTAAGCTCTACATTTATCCTGAGCACATATATTCTACAGTTCCAAATGTTGCGCAAGAGAAATTCATCGACTGATAAACATAACTATGATAATAATGGTCTTTTGCAAACCTCAGTCTTCATAGGAGCAATGTCGAAAGCAACGAGTAGGCTAATAAATGTTGAACAAATCGAACGAAGTAACTGTCTTTCTTGTTTCATTAATTCACTCGCTGCTTTAGACATTACTGATCTTAGCAATGCTCAGAGTGTTCGTCAGACACAAAACTAAAAATTTCCTGGCTCCCCGAGATAGAGGTTCGAGTTCTTTACAGCTCAGTGGTAGAGCATCACATATGCGAGGATCAATTTAAAAAAAAAATAAAATAACAAGAATAATAACTTTAGATAATTCCTCAGAAGCTCTCAAAAGCATTTCAATTAAAAGATGAGAATTCAAGCACCTCATCTTGGTAACTAATAACAAACTTCCCACATAAAGGCAGGTTATTTTAACATTAATACTCAAGTAGGTTAAGTCCACAGGAAGAAAAATTATTATCGCCATGATAGACAAAATACAAGTGAACACCGATAAAATGTTATTGCCGATTTTAGGGGTAGAGAATTTCTCAAATAAAACAAACCTAAAACGCTCTAAAATCTCCTTGCGGACTCAAAAAAAGACTCGTTCTCAAGATTTAGTCTGATATTTCTGCACCTTGCTTTTTCTGGAGATCTATAGAGAGCCGCTTTCCTTCCACGTGTCGAGTCTGACGTAGTTTAGGTCAGCGTCACCTTCGTTTGTTTTCAGTAAGGATGTCACTGAAAATTTCCGGTTCGATATTTAAACGTCAAAAAACCGAAAAAATTTAAAAATTGTATTGACTCATCAATTACAATCGGCAAAACTGTGGGTCCTAAACAGTGCTACAAATCAAACAAGTATTATTTGAAATAATGATCAAGAGTTCAGTCGAAAAATAATACTTGTTTACATCATTTTCTGAGAAACATACGGCAATACATGTCGGATTATCGGACCATGTCTTCCGTGAGGTCTTCAAGCGACCTTTGGCGTTGCCTCCGAAAACAATACCGTTATTTTGAAACGATAATGATTAAACGTGAAGCTGAGAAGCTGAAGCTGACAAGAAGCCTTTTACATTCTATGGGAATCCCTCATAGTATAATTCTGTAGCGGCCGACACGAGCGAAGCAAATTTCAACGACAACTATGAGTTTCGCTAGTGAAGACGCGCTATCAAGCGAGGATGTATTGTACGGAAAAGACTTGAATCGTTTATTAGCGTAGTCGAGGTATCCAAGTACTTATCGTAAAATAACAGTCCCACTTGTAAAGGTTTGACCAAAACGAACTTTCAGATAAGGTGGGCAAAAGGCGCTTTTCGATAAACACGTCTTATCGTTAGCCCAACACGAGATAACTAACTAAAATGCGGTTCTGGGTGGAACTTAAAGATCACGTCCCTAATGGACAAACAATAACGTCGCTACTGCGGTTTAACACGTTTAACACGAAACAAACTTATAACAAATCAATGTCCGGTAGCAAAGGCGTGGCAGCCGTTACAAATTCTATTTTATTTTATCCCTCGATCACCAGTTCCAACTTAATAGACTATTCATGTGATTTTAATTGGATAATCCGCCACCAGTTGCGATACATAAGTACAAGCCGCTCTTGCGTGACATGATCGAAAGGGATTTAATATCGAAACATCTCACAGATTCAGTGACATGGTGTTCAAAATAGTATGGGCAAAACAGATCAAGGATAGCAGTTTTCTTACCATGGCGTCCAGGGCATACACAATATTCAACTTCTCACGTACTCCTCCAATGTTCAAAGAGCCGTTGAAGTTGGACTCTCATTGAAAAGTAAGCGTGAGTCGGAGAAAGAAAAGAGAGCTCGACAATTGACATTTAATGCACGTCATAACACTACTTAATACTATAAACATGTTCAGGCCCACCAACGCGTGCAAACTGTGGTAAACTGGGAGGCCGGAAAATCTTGGTAGAATTCAGTCTCGTTGCTATTTTAATTGACGCTTTCATGAACGACAACGAATAAGTGCAATATCAGCAGTGAAAAAAGAGGAGAAACTTACCAAATTGGCTCTGCTTTACGGCAAAGCGAAGTGAAGACTATACTACGCCATGTAATGGTTTCGTGTCAGTCTTCACATTCGATGACGTCATACCCCCAGCAGATCGCTGTTCCATTTGCGGTTTGTATTTTTGGTGGTTTCGGCGAGATGCCTTGGCGGCCGTCACCACCAACAATACAAGAATATCGTATAGATCAGCAAATACAAAGATGGCTTAAGGATCAGCTGCAGGATAGCATAGCTAATAAAGGAATGGCATAGCCTTCACGTCACGCCACGACGATTCGCCACAACATCGAAATATTTCAAGTAATACTAAGCAATTTAATGTTCAGATAGAGCGTCTGATGTTTTGCAAAGCTATTCGACCTAACGCTACACTATTTGTGTCTACGCTGTACCATTCTACATTACGCTGAGCCATTTCACGCAACGCTACACCATTTGTGTGTACGCTGTACCATTCGACATTATGCTAAGCCTCTTCACGCAACGCTACTCTGTTTGTATGTACGCTGTACCATTCGACATTACGCTAAGCCATTTCACGCAACGCTACACTGTTTGCATGTACGCTGTATCATTCGACATTACGCTGAGCCATTTCACACAACGCTACACTGTTTTTATGTACGCTGTACCATTCGACATTACGCTGAGCCATTTCCCGCAGCGCTACACCATATGTGTGCCGCTGTACCATTCTAAATTACGCTGAGCCATTTGACGCAACGCTACACCGTTTGTGCGTACGCCGTGCTACTCGACGTTACCCTGAGCCGTTTAACTCAACGATTAATGAGTGCTAAGCTATTCGTAATTGAGCTAGTCCATTTCACAATCTTATGTTCCAACTCAACATGGGCTACTAGACCGTTTCTCATTTGGCTAAACTATTCATGTTTAGGGTGTTCTGTTTCACGAAGGAAAACTAGACTGTCTATAATTTGGCCATGCCATTCCTTTATTAGCTATGCTATCCTGCAGCTGATCCTTACACCATCTTTGTATTTGCTGATCTCTTTGACATCCTTGTATTTTTGGTGGTGACGGCCGCCCAGAAAATAGCGCATAACTCACATATGATGCATTTGAAGCCTTATTCCGGCCGTATTGAAGAAATTTTGTCATGTATTGCGTCTTAATTAAAGTTTATTTAGCTGAAAGGAAGACGAATGAAATCAACTTCCGCCAAATGAGAAGAGTCTGGAACATTTTTTCCTCTTTGTATTTACAACGTTGGTCCAAGTGTAGGTCATGCACGTCAAAAGAGATGTTATTTAAAGCCTAAAAAGGGATTAACAGATCGGTTTCAGAGATACGGGGAAACCCCTAAAGAACTTACTGATACAGGAAGTCGAACACTTGCGTCTCTATAAGACTGAGATATAGATTAAAATTTAATTTGTACTTTACTTTTCAATCAGTAAAATCACGAGTAGATTCATCTAAAGCTGGTAAGATTCTACGAATATCACTTTTATTTTAGCGTCATTACTGTTCTGCTTGCCACATAGGGTATTCTTATTTTGAGTTTTGTCTCACTTGTTAAATGTGCTATCTTTAACAGTTCAAGACCTTTTAGACGTAATGGACATTTGAGTAAACATATGTCAATTCCAATCTGTTTCTCATTAGTCAGAAACGACACCGTCAACATGGAGCAGACGAAACCAATTGATGTTTATCATCATGGAAAAGACGTGGTGGATTTTGCGCCATTTGAACACAAGCACATAGGGGATAAAGTCTGCATCACATCCGAAAATATGGGCAGACTAAACAGCCTCAAGCTTCCCAATGGTTTGGTGTTATCTTTAGGGCAAATTATAGCACTAGCGGGAGATTTCTATGGTGTACCCACGCAGCCGATTATCGATCCCTCAAATCAGACTAACGATGATCGTTATAGGCGCTTTATTGACGCTTACAACTCGCTGGCACGAGAGCCAAAGGAAAAGTTGCAGCCAGAGTTGAACAAACTTTTGGCTGCACTGGAGCACGAGACCCGTAACCTCAAGAGCCTCAAAGATAAATTGTGGGATAAAATCACTGGGGGTAAATGGATTTGGTTTCTGCCGGTCAAACACGGACGCATGTTGAAGTTAGCTAAAACTAATCACGACCATTTTCTTCCCTACGCCAAAGAAGCCTATCTAACGGGTCACAAGCTGGCATTGGACAAAGCTAGAGAGGCGAGTGATAAAACGAACGCTGAAGAAAAGGAGAATCTGCTACACGAAGCCTTATCACTAGATGGGTTTGCCTGCCATTTCCTGACTGACAGCTTCTCGAGTGGACACATTCGGTATAAATCACTGTTCTTATTATCATTATTGTGATCGCTATGCTGTTCTTATTGAATTTCTCGTTGTCATCTATGTATGTAATGGGTATTGTTCATGTTTTGGTTTTGTTAACAGTCTCTTCAGATTTTTGTTTGAATAAAGTACAAGAAGAAAGGAAAAGAAAGTATTGCTTAAATGAAATTCTGTTTTCAGGACACCGAGAGATGTCTTGGCAAGGGAAATTAATCCACGCAATCTTGGTCATTACTTGAGCAAGTGTATGCACGACGAAGATGGAAAAATGGGCCTCCGTGTGGCAAATAAAAGAGGAGATGGGTGGGCAGCATTCGGAGATGGACTGCTTCTCAATGAAGAAAACAAACAAAACCTAAAGTTTGTGATCGAGGCTGTTGGGAAGTCAGTTGACCAAGTGTTTGAAGCTTACAATTATCCGAGGAGAGATCTCAATACCGCTGTAGTCACCGACATCATCCCAATTCTTGACGAAGAAGATAAAAATCATGCCCCTCTGTTCCAAGTAAAGGATGGAAAAGTGTATTCGAGGTCCATACTAAGCTTCTTTAAGCAGAAGGTCGCGGCTACGAAACGAAAGGATGCTGTAACATCTCTCAAGATGCGAAGTTTAACATTATGAAGAGGAAATCAATACGGTCATTTTTAAAAAAAGGGAACTTCATGAGAAGCAATATACGGGTTTGAGTCCCCTCGGCCCTGTTTTGACTTTTTTCGCAGCGAAAGAAGTAAAATTGTGATCGATAACGGTATTTTATAAATACGAAGTAATTTCCTTTTGTGAAAAAATTTACTATTTTGCAAAGTACTTCATGACTGAGGCTAATTCACAGGGTAGCCTTCTCTTTATTACGTATTCTACAAAATTATGTAATTGTAATGATTTTTATAGCTTTTCTTAATGACTTAGTTAGGCCTTGAGGATTTCAATGATTTTAGAAAATATAAAATTTTAAAAAATGTTCAGCTCAATGACTCCTGAAAAAAAAAACACCCAGGATAACAGCAGCAGATTGGGGCGGAAGGGCGTTGCTTAGGGATAGACCCGCGTAGTGACGAATAAATGATGAAAAAATGTGGTTCCGGCCTTAATTTCGCCACTGCACAAGTAGTGTTCATTACTGCCAAGATCGCTCTCATACTTAATTCGCTTTAAGGACTGTATCTCACTGACCAATCCACCTATCATACATAATTAAACTTAAACCAACGAGATTACATCTGCTTTATAAGAGTAAAAGAAATAATAATTTTTATTCGTGACAGATCTCCTTTAGTTTAACATTCCAGAAAATATAAACGAAAATCGGGCAGAAAAATGAAGGAGGAGTGCTTAAAATTAATCATAGCGTACCAATACTGCTAAGATAGATCTTCACGTCAATTACTCCATCGTCTAGAATAACCGATGTTATGATGTACTATGTCAGTTCGTATACAAAAGCCTCGAGTATGCAAGATATAAAAAAATTAGAACTGAGCATAACGTTTGTAGATTACATTGGTTTCTCACTAAAGTCTAACATTTAAGAGTGCTGTAGTAGATTTCGGGCATTTATTCTCTATTGGCTGTATTATTGACCATTTTAAAGAACTGCATGCTACATGTAAGTAAACTTTGATCAAATTTGCCAAAAACTGTTCATCGCAACATTCTATGCAAGAAGACAACTACACTAAGGCTGAGTCTGGTAATTCAAAATGACAGTTACTATCATGTATAGTAGTTGTATGTAGTAAAGTTTAGCTATGCTAAACGTTCTAAATTACCCGTCGTCACTTGTAAAAATATTTACCCAGGCAATTCTACTCAGAGAATTGCATCTATTTTGAGTGTCCTTAAGCACGTAAGAAAGCTATGGTACGCTCACATACTCTATGATGATTGATAGTGAATTTGATCAGAAATAATGACGCCCTCTTATTGGCTCGTAAAGGTCATCCCCCACATCGTCATCGACATCGGCAGCTGGGTCGTTCACTGCAGGACTTAAAATTTCATAACATCCGGAAGCATTTTCGTTCTTCACGCATTTTACATAAGTCTCGATACTTTGCTCCAAGTAACTTAATGGCGCGGAACCCTGGGATAGCAGATGGTAGTGAAAGTCACGAAGTTTGAATTTATCTCCCAACATTTCCTTCGCGTACTCTCTGAGTTTCTTGATATGCTGTTGGCCAATCATATAGGCAGTAGCCTGGCCTGGTGCGCTTTGGTAACGAGTCACCTCCCTTAAGGCCTCACCACTTTCATCCCAAGCGAAGTCTGCGAAAAAATCTAGGGCTTTTTGGCGGGAAAATCCTTGGTAGTGCAGACCCGAGTCGACAATTAACCGTAAGGCGCGCCACACCTGTAGAGGAGCAATTTAGTTGACAATACTAGAGTCAGATGTCGTCGAAAAAGTTCATTTGGGTAGTTTATTAAACCCTCGAAAGGAAACTAAGGAAAGAGTAACAGATGCTTGGGCTTGGGTTCTTCATCTGTGGTCATCTAAACCTGATTTCAAAACCTCTTAGTGACTGGTTGTTAAATAGGATGCCTGCACACTAGCAATTTAGAGTGATCCTTATTTTGGAAAATTATTAGTAAATAATCTCCACTTTCCCTCAACCACTCGCTCAGCCTATTTTGTTTAGAGTGCGAAAATTGTCATTAGAAATCGCAATAGCCAGCAGGGTGACGTTTAGATACTTCAATTTTTTGTAAGTTTACAAGGAAAGAGAGCAACCTCATTTTTTCTCTCCTTTGTTTCTTTGTTTCAGTCAAAGGGTTTTTCGTTTCTCGGGATTTTTAAACACACATTATACAGACAACTAGTTTTCTTCTCATTGAATTTCATATTAAATATGTTGCTTTAAAATTTCACAGACTTGGCCAAGCTAATTAAGAAGACACCAGTTTAGTTTAAAGTGCGAGGCATGGGCACCTTAGCAGAGTTGCTTTCGTCTACAGAGATTGAAAATCATTCAACCGAGGTAATTTCCCAAAAAGATTAATTTGAGTAAGAGTACGGTTGACAATTTCATGACGTCTGTCTCGATCTGTTATTAATACTAACCTGCCATTTCAGCATTCCATATTTCTGCAAAGGCTCATCCTTATAGACATCGGTGTCCTCGCCAATCAATGGGTTCTCAGCGTACAGACCCCAGCCCTCAGTAAAGGCAGTGTAGTAAGTTTCTTGATCAAGCCATTTGATGACTCCTCCACAACTATCCCGAAAGTGTTCCTCTAAACCTTGCACCTGAGTAAGTGACGGAAGAAGAAATTAACCTACTGACTTTGTAACTAGGTAAATAATCTCGACCCCTATACTGCATTTTCTCTTCCACGTTTCTTTGATAATTTTGGCCATTACTCCGAGGCATCTAACAGTGTGCGCTTAACCCTCTAAATCCCAATTAAGATCTCATTAGTAATTCCCCTTACTATCTGCCATATAATTCTTGTGATGTTAGTTCAGAGAATTTGGTGCTAGATCAACTAATAATCCCCTAATTGATATTGTTCTTTATTCTCATGGCTTGTCTATTTGATATTGTATTGATATTGTAAGGAGAAATTCTCTTTTAGTCACTGATGGGAGCTAAAGGGCTAAAAAGGGAAAATGTGTTTTCTTCCAGTGTCAAGTCCCCTTGTCTAAAATGAAGGTTTAATTTGTTATCTCTATATCTATTTTAAGTGCTTTTTGTCGTCTGTGTCGTGGTTTATGTAGTCTGTTTCATATATAAGCGTCATAGAGTTTTTGTTAGATCTTTGTTTTTGAGATCGACTCATTTTCACGCCTTGCAGTGCTAAGAGTTTATTGTTCCTGTGGGGGCGGTGCCTGAGGTGGCTACGGGCCTTAGCTTTTACTTTTTCTAACATTAATAGTAAATCGATAATCGCAACGAGTACTAACTTGCGTGTGATGTCCAGGCCTTCCTTCGTGTGCGTTTATACTCCATTCTTCGTACCTGTTGGCAGGCTCAGATGTGAAGAAAGGTATATTGTACCGCGCGTTCTTTTTACAATCTTTACCAGCCCTATTATAATTTGCTCCTCCAGAAGGATTGAAGTCGGGAGACAGCTGTATTGGACAATTTGGCGTTGTGTGTTTTGCACCATTGAAATGAAACATATTAATCGTCTTTGGATCCAGCAGTCCCAATGCCTAATAAAAAGAAAATTCACGAATCATGAATGAGGAAATGTAAATACGCTGAGACTAACTTTTCCCTGTTAGCTTACCTCCTTACCTCCTTTGAGGGAACTTAACTAAAGACAGGTGACCGGAAAAAAAGTGAAATTTCATAGTCGAGTTTCTACACATACCATGTGGGCCTCATCAAACCAGTTTTGAAGCGCTCGCCATCTTGTGGGACAATATTTCTTCGCACCTTCGACGTTACCACACAACACATGAGCATTTTCATCAGACTCATTCTTCGGAAACTCCCCTTCTAGATAGTTCAACTCAGAAACTCTCGATTTCAGCTTCTTTCTAAACTCTTCTTTAGCTGTATCGTTATCAGTTTGTTGTGTTACCAGCCGTGCTACTTCTAGGACCTACGAGTAAATAAATGAAATAACTGTAAGTGATGATACTACGTCTCATTGTAAATACTCTAATTTGTATATTTGTTCATTTTTTTTAAAAGGCTACGTCAGAAACACTCTCAAAACTTTGATTAATTCTTGCCCCCTTCAACAGTGATGCACCAGTGACACTGACTTTCCCAATCATTCTTCATCATTACATCGCATATTATCCATGCCTCCACTCCTTTTTTGTTCTCAAGCACCCTCTCCTCGATGCTGCACCCATCGTTTATATTTTACTTTTTCAAGCTTGTCACTAACATTGGTCTCATCTGATAAACGGAAAGTGAGGTATAAACAAATTCACTCTATCGTACGCAAATTTGGAAACACCGATACGTTTTGTATTTGTGTTTTCGAAAGCAAACTTACGAGCGCCCGAGATTGTCTGGCCCCTTTGTCATTTTCATTTTTTACACGTAACATAATTCCACGTATAGGGATTTTGCTGTCAAACTCGCGTTAGTTTCTTCGAACCAACACGACGGTCAAACGTGCGGTTTGCGTAAGGGAATCAATTTTGGCCGGCCACGCACCAATTTCAAAGGAAAACATGAAAACAACAGCTGTCACAGAAAATGTTTCAAGAAAACATATGGAAATTTCACAGAAGTCTCTCAGAGGACTCTAGGGCCAAGTAGGAGCTGGTAGGAGGTTTATATTCAACTAAAATTTAACTGTGGATGATGATTTTCCAGGAAAAATTCCAGGAAAATTTCACACGTGATTACCGATGACGCTTTCGAAATCTTATTAATGTGTCAGTATCATCACCTCACGTGGGGTGATGGTGGCGAGACTTTCACAATCTGCGACGAAAAGGAGAGCATTTAACACATTTGAACCAAGCAAAAAATGTTTGCAAATCATTACAATAATTTTCATAACTTTAATATTACGCTACCCACCTGAGGATAAAGTTCTTTTAACATCTTGAATCCAAGATCATTAATTTCCTTTGGGGACATGGTGTTTGTTGTAAAATATGAAACGAGTAGCTTATAAGAATCATTACCGCTGAGCCGTTCTCCTGTTGGAAGAGACCCGTTTGCTGGTCTTGACTTGTCAGCGGTATTGTTGACATACACGTAGGAGAGAGGAAGCGTGGCCAAACCGCTGGACACGTTACTGGAGACGCAATGTTGCATATGATCTTTTCTAAGATACCTAAAACGGAGATAAAACACTGAGGTAAATAAATGAAAATAAATAGACTTTAATGGCTTTCACAATTACTGGTGGACCAAGTAGTTTACATTGTGGGCCAGGAAAGAGAGAGAAACAAATACGTCAAATGAATATAAAGTGCTTGAAAGAGCTGAGCTCAGAGCGACCAAGAACAAATCCGGTGGGTAGCAGGGTGGAGGACTTGAACCCGAGACCACCAGATTTCAAGTCCAACGACCTCACCATTTGGTCCCCCCGCCTTTTGAGGTGAGATCAGTGTTTCAAATAGTCACAACTTAGCCTCACGAATGACACAGAGTAGCTGTCCATGGAAACAGCACACAGCATGTAACCCCTTGTATATACATATTAGTTATATTTCCAGGCGATCATATCAGATATCAACACTTCAGAAATTCGATCACTTTGTCTACCTTTTGAATATTAACCACAACCATTTTTTACAGTATTCTCTGGGTGTAAAAAAGATCTTATACCAAACTGACATTTGTAAAACTCTGAAGAGGTCAGAGTTTCCATGTCATCATCCTATGTGAAAAAACAAAAAACAAACACAAACACACAAACACTCTGAGCCAGATAGAAGTTTGACCTTTCTCTCTTGCGAGATGTAGCTCATAGTTTGGAAGGAGTGGATATTGTATCATGGGATAGCTAGATAGAAAGAAAAATTCACTCGGTTAAAGACTTATTTTATGGCCAAGCACATGAATACACTTACGTGAAGAAATCTTCAATAGGTTTACCAATGTTTTCCACAAGAGAGTCTCTAAGGGACTGGTTCACGCTCTTTCCGTTCTTCTTTTCCCACGTGCTTATTTCTTCTGAATTATTCGTGAGGACCTCAAGAAACTCATATTGCAACAGACGTTTGACAAAATCTTCTTCTAAGACACCTAGTTAACGTGGGAAGAAATTTAAAATATGTAAATGGACGACCCAATAACATCAAAAGCTTGGTTAACATTAAAAATTCTTACCCTTTGCCCCTTTAATTGATATTTCTCGGAAATACGATGTTAATCCGTTGATACCAGCTTTGCATTGTTCAACTGAACGTACCATTCCGACCAAAACGCCATACTCCATGTTCTTCCTGTATTGAACAAATGTTTCTTTGATTTCTCCGAATTTTTTCAGTAAATTTTCCAAGTCTTCGGTGCTGTTTGGTTTGAAGTGATAAAGACTGTTTTTCATTTCAGATCTAGTATCACACAGGGGCTGCCAACACCACAGGTTTGGACCAAGGAGAAAATCACCCGCGTAATAATTGACATCGTACGGCGTTCCAAAAATGTGTTGCAAATAGTGCTTTACCTGAGCCAAAGCCTTCCTTTCGCGTGGTTTCAATTTATGCGATTCAAAAATTATTGCATTTATTTCATCCAAAAGGGCCAGTGCTTTATCTGTAATAATCTTGATATTTTGTGGGGACGGGTCATAAGAGCGATATTTTGCTTGTATTTCTGCTGAAGACACTTTCGGCTTTGAAGAGATTTTATTTGGATGAAGCTTGTAATAGCTGTCTTGTACTTTCTGGAGGAACTTGTCCAACCCCTTGGTGATGGCCTCCTCCGAGTAGGAACATCTCTCTGTTAAGTTAAGAGATTTTCTACCCGGTGCTGAGTTAAGAGATTTTCTATTCGATGTATTGCTGGAGCCCTCGGAGCATGATGCATCACCTTTGCTTAGGAGTACGATTCCAGCGATGAGAAAAGCAAGGCCAGTAATGGCCAGAAATCCTGCTAAAACCAATAAGTAGACAACACGCATCGTCTGGCACAGCGGAACACCTCTTAGCCAAATGATGTTGAGATACACTGAAGAAACTCACTGAGTGAAATAAAAATATACAACGCGGTAATGAAAATAATTTGTGATAATTGATGAATTGACTCTGCATGCAGGCTTCCACCCATAGACACCTTCAAAAAGTAAACTATGAAAACAAAAAAAGTTCCCTCTCGTGGTCGTCTCAGTTTGGATATTTCCCGAACGGCATGCATTAAATATATGCATCACCGGCGGGAGAAACCAGTATAAACCTAAAAGGAACATCAAATTCAAGCTTATCTACTTCTTAAGGGGTAATAATTCATTACAAGCCTAGGATTTGCATTTCATGGGTCTCGCTCGGTACATTCAAATATGTATTCAACTCTAATTATCAACTTGTTAACTCGAATCATTTCGTTTGGCTTTCCTTTTATACCAAAAACTGTGAAAAATTAACAATAATAGAGGTTTATTACAAGGAAACGATAATCATTCACGGAGATAGATTATGCAGATTTGCTTCACAGATCATTTGTAGACAATGGCCAATTTATCTAGAAGCGTCTGCATGGATAACATGTTTTACACATGAAGGACGACGCACAGCCGACCCAAAAATTGCATTTCACTATAGCACAATTTATTCTCGTCTCAAACTTTAGTTATATCACATATCTCTCGAACACCGAACGCATTTACGGTCCGCTACCTTAATAAAAATTATGCAGGGTGCTGTAAGTGACTTAGGAGGTAAACAAGTGAACAATCCAAATGGCCGATTGAAACAATAATTCAGTGAGTTTGTGGTAAGCGTTTTAAGAATTTCAAGTCGTTGATCTGTTCTACATCAAACTTCCTAGCGTCTTTCAATAGTAATCGAACTGAGTTCGAGCAACGAAACCGAAAGCTGATAACTAATTCATCAACGATTACGTGACTGTGTAAGCAAATATGAAAAATCACTGTAATTTTACATCAGTCGCAACGACATCACAGTTAAACCAGCGTTTGTTTGCAACAATTTCCATTTTGTCGAGCACTGAGTTCAATAGATTCATAAGTGCTTGGAATAGACAGTCAGTGATTTTTGCGAGAAACCATGATCGGAAAACACTACGTAAAATCTTAACTTCATTAAGTCTTTCTTCTAAGCAACCGTGATCTTTCTAAAATATCGATCCAATTCTTGTGTAATTTTTTAAGGCATGCCTCTCTTAGTATCCAATTTGTATTCTTTTCTCTGTGTGAATGTGGATAAACCTATTGGTGTTTTCTTTTGTTTAATGCGATTACCGATCATATCATTTGAAAAGGGCAAGGAATGAGAAAGCTACAATAATACTAAGGAATTCTGCACAGTTCTCTCCCATGTTAGCAACTTAAAAAGACCCTTTGTTACAAATAGAATGCAAGAATGAATTTAGTGCATTATAAACCCTTAAAGATGAATCTTTCAACAGCTTTCAGTTGGAATCCGTCGCTCATGTTTTTGCTAAGTGCCACTGTTTCACTATGTTGTCCAATATCGTTACGAATCACCATACAGAATGAAGCTGGATGATGAATCAAGCTGAGCAGAAGAGGACGCAGTCGAGACCAAAAGTTAAGCACGCTGCAGTTGAAGTTTACCTTTTCGATGAGATCTTTCGTGGACTGGAATGGCGGAGAGGACAACGAATGGCAACAGCAGTAGAGTCAATGCATCCGAGACATCGGCCAGTCGCTCAAGCAGGTGGCGCGTAGAATATTCAAGTGCTAATTTGATACGACGTAAGCAGAACAATAACTCGATTGTTTCAGTGACAACTAAAATATGTCACACCACATTGTGTTATCGTAAGACCTTTTTTGGTTTAACTCGCAACTGTTGTTTGTCGCTTCGCGTCACAAACCACCGCGCATTTGATTGAAGCTAACAAATCACGAGCAAGTCGTTTAATAGACCGTGAAAGAAGGCTCTCGAGGCAAACCTCAAAAAAAAAATTATTAATTTTACGATGAAGAAACTTTGAGTTCCCGCGGCAAGATAAATTAATCCGACTGCCTTTGAAATTGAGCACAGCATATTTAATCTGACACGACAACCGATGGGTTTATTCAGCCAACATTCATGACATTGCGTCAATACTTGCAAGCCAAGTTATGCACTGTAAGTATTTGGGTTTAGCTAGTCATATGTCATTTCGGTTACTAAACGTGACAGTTGCAAGGTGCTGAAGCTCTGTTAGTACAAATATTCTCGGCCCACAACACAGCAGGTCCTCGACTGATAGAGTATGAGTGTCAGAAAATCAAATCAGTCAGTGAAGTGCAGTAGGAAAGTCGATTCATTTAATAAGGAAGGCAGCAGTTGATGATGATGATGATGATGAGGATTATTATTATTATTATTATTATTATTATTATTGTTGTTATTATTACTATTATTCTTATATTTTTCTTTTTTTAAACGAGCGGCTCTCTTTTAATATGGGTAGATTAAGAGGAAATCAACATTAATTTCTGTTCGATAAGACGCAGTTTTACTTGGGACAGACGGCTAAGTTTTCCCCTTTTATCATCTTTGGAACCCGACACAGAAAAAATAGATCGAGGAACTGCGAAAATAATTATTGAAATGGGAAGACTGACGAGGACTCAGCCTGCAAAAATAAATGTGGATTACCCCGATTCTCACCGGGCTGAGTTCGTCAAACAATTTTCAATTCGTTATTTCACTCACTTGAATTTACCGGGAGTTTTGGATTTTAGGGGCTTATTGCTACTTTTAAAAAATAAACTTGGCATATCCTGTAAAAACATTCAATTTATTTTTCATGTGTGTCATATGCAAAACAATGAAACAAGTTTATTTTTCCGATTTTTGATTTGTATTTCACCATCGCAGTCGCGTTTGCATAAGAACATTGTGCCCTAAGGGAGGCCACTTACACTATAACAATTCTACCTTTAAAAGCGTTGGGTAAAAATATTCCAAAAAAGGTTAGGATTGAACAAAAACATTTCTCAATTAACTAATTAAATGGATATTTTGACATGAAGATTCACAGAATTTCTAGAGTCCACAAAATAAACAATGTCATTTTGGCCTTTTAAAGCCAAAGATGCACTGAAATTCATGATTTTAGTTTAACCCAGGAAAAAAAGCACTGTGATCTTACATTCCAAACATGAGAAGATTTGCATACAATGAAGGAAAGTTATCTTTGGATGGGTGTCAGTAGTTTCGAGATCAAATTTTGAAGGAAAAAATGTTTAAAGTCAGCAAATTACTTTTTTAAAGACTCACACAGTTTCTTTGTGAAGAACTGACCAAGGCTAAAGTTTAAATTTTCATTTTGCTCTTTCCTGTAATCGTTTGTTCGTTCATTCCTGTGGCTTGTTTGCCTCTATATTGCGTATCATCTACTCTCTTGGTAGGAGAGAGACGATCACGAGCCTATTTCTCGAAAAGTGGCTAAAAACAGAGCCTGATGCGAATTGAGTGAAGAAGGAGGTTTAAATCGCCCGAACGGAAATATCACCACTGAACGAGCCCACATTGTCACTTGTTCTAAAATGCATCCGTCAGTCTAACTATTCACCAGTTTGAAGCAAGCTAAGTTAAGTTTTCCTATCACTTCCATATATCATTCCATTTAGGAAACTTGTAGAGAATTACACTGTATTGTCTACCTTCGCAGTTTTCAGTTTTTTGCCGATAACATTCTGATATTTATACGTTGGATGTCAGCAACCAATTTTTGTTATAAAATTGAGTGAATTGCATTTTGTATGGTTCCATTTCAAGTTTTAGGGATTAAACCAAATTCCCCACTATGTTTATGTAATACTTTCACTTGTGATTCATAAATACAGAAGTAAGTGAGGCGGGCATGTGATTATATGGTTAGAAATCCGCAAGAGAGCAGAGGAAATTAAATTGTGCTGGAATGGTTAATATTTGACTTATTTTGTGTTGACCTAAATTTCCCAATCTGCTACCTCTGTTTACTCATGTTGACAGCTCTCCTGAGGTCAACAATAGAAACATGAAAGGTCTATTATAAGCCTACGATCCAAGAACATCTTTGGCAACCAAAAAATCTCAGTATGTTTGCTATATACATCAAGCTTTTCTATTTCCGTTGAAGGACATTTTTATCATTGCCACAATGCTCGGCGCTTTTACGTTCCCGTTGATTTTATTCACAGTTATCGTATTGGTTTTGAATTCAACCGAATCCATCCCGTACCACGGTTCGCAAAGATTTTTTGGTTATGATTACTGGACGCGCCGGTATCCGTCCTTGGATTACTCAGATTGGAATGGCTTCTGGAATAATCACTACAGTGGTCGGACTCAGTATAAGCGAGCTTCCTCTGAGACGGCGGTACAAGAATGCACGGGCTGTCAATGTGATGATTTCAAGCAAGAGCTTAGGTGTTTTGGTAGCCCTGGTAAATTGTAAGTACACTTTGTTGTCTATTATTCTATTGTGTTTTTAGCCATTCGGTGAGTTTATTTAATTAACCCTAACCTTTTACAGATGAAATGCTCGTGAACAGCACAGCATTTTGTAGTGAATAGCAGAAAATAGCGTCAAGATTTCTAACTTCAGTTGTTTGCCGACATACTAGGAAACTGTGGCTACACTTGTTAAATTACCAAACGTTTATTTCAGAGCCCTAAAAGCTTGGACGGCAAGAAAATTTCAGACTTGCAAATCTAATCAGTATCAATGGAAAATTATGCGTTGAAATTTTAAAGGTCATGTTTGCTGACAGTGCTCTACTTCTCTGCGAACCCGTCCGGGCCTTAGAGAAACAAAGATATGAGTTTCTGTTGTGAATAAAAATTGAACATTCGATTTTAAAAGACATTATGTAAGTTGACAGTGCTTACTTAGGTATTTGCTCAGCATGCATCGCGGATCGAGGGGAAGGAAAACCCGATAGCAGAACAGAGCAATTTAAGTCAATGTAGGGACAACAAATTCAGTTTTTTGAGACCTCCCTCGCACCATTTTGCCTATTTCCCTCTTGCCTCTCAAACAATTGCTAGGTACCTGATTTCAAGTTTATTAATCAGTTAAGTTAATGAATTGATCTGATAAATAATGTTGAAGACAACAATTCAGACGTACCTGACTTTATCGCGACAAAATACTGCAGTTGGAGTTCTTGGACGTATTGGTTAATTCAGCAACTTACTAGAAACTATTCTTTTCTCCATCATTTCTTTTTTTCATTAATAATGCTCTTGTGCGCTTTCAAAACACGCTGTCGGGTTAAGCAAACAGATCACTACTCTTTAACATACCCTCAGGTCTACTCATCTGCAATATTTGCGGAGTGCTTTTCGTTTGTTCAAGACATGACATTTCGATGAATTGTAAAAGAATTCCAACTTTCCCTAAAAGTCACTGACCTACGCGATTGCGGAATCTTAGACGTTGGACGAGAAAAAGCACTAGGAATGTCGCTATCAACACGGGATAATTTTCATCAAGTTGTTTTGGACACAATGTCGTGTCCTCCAACGATGAAATCGCTACATAAAATATTCATTTTATTGCCCATTTTATTTCCTAATCTTGTTGTGTCGGTGCCCACTCATGGGACACAGACATTCCTCGGTTATTCATATTGGACGCAAAGATATCCCTCGTTGGGATACCCTCCCGATTGGGAGGGACTTTGGAATAATTTTAACGATGGGAGAAAAGGGTATCAACGAAAATATTCAGAAACCAGAGGTACAGGAAAATGTCTTAATTGTCTTTGCGACGAAGTAACAGAAGAGCTTGATTGTCCGGAGTCACTGAAAAAACTGTGAGTCGACCATTCTGTCATCATCTTTTTCAAAGTTTTTTTCCTTTCCTCATTCTTATGATACAGAGTTCTGGCGCTCAGTAATCACGTATCAATGCCTTTGACGTATCCAGTTAAGGCCATGTGGCCATGAGTCTACGAAACGCATGCATTTTGGTAAATTTGATTTCAAGAAGTATAGAAAAGTATTAAATGAATTAATGATTTGCAAAAATATTTATAACTGGAAGTTTACAGCATTTTACACTCGCGTTGCTATAACGTTACGATGAAATACGTTGTTTCTGCATTAAATATCGTTCCCCTACTTTTCTAGAGGTCATTCTCTACATAATATTATGATATCGCTCTGAAATCTAGGCTGAAACGTATCACATTATTAAATAACCCTGTAAGAATATCTATGAAACATTCGTTAGTCATCCAGTTAATATCAGAATGCACGTGTTCATTATTGCTCCGGCAGGAGGCTCTAAAACACGATTTTATCTAAATTTAATTTTTGACCATTACTGATAATTATAGATTAGTTTTTGCTTGGTAACTATGCGTATTTAAAGATGATCCTTCATGTTTCATTTATAGCTTTCAAATTACCTCTGGCGTGCCTTAGTGTTAATTACCATAGTAAGGCGAACGAAAATTTATAGCTTACATTAACACGTTCTTAAATTTCTGTTTCGTTACAGGACTGTATACGTACGAAACAGAGTCATAAGAGTTGTTAGGAATGGTCAGTTACCAAGGAAATTGAAGGAAATGTAAGAAGTATTTTTAGAGAGACACGAAAAAAACTTAAGTATGCGAAAGTGGCATATTAAATTTAGGAAGCACGCTCAGATGTTGGAATAAATTTCACAAAACGAATTTTCAATGATGAGGCGATGATTAAGAAGTCGTGGTTCTTACTGCGTCATTCCTTTGTTTTCTTGTAGACACTATACTTTCACATGTCTCTTACCACCTACAGTAGGAGTATAACCAGCCAACTCTCAGGGAAGCCTGACGAAATGCTGCAGAATAACCTGCAAATGTCTAGAGTTCCATCGGGGGGGAGAGACCATAATCTTAGTCGCTTTGCGCCACTTAGCTTGTTTTAGGGATGGCCCTCCCTTGTTCGAATAGTCTATATGGAGAAGGTTGAATTATAGATTTTAAACGGAATATTTGGCCTTATTGCCAACCTTTTTGCCAACATATTTAATTTAACCAAAGTATAAGAACTATGATTAACAAACATTTCTGTGTTTTAAATTTCCGAGGCAATATCCTTATCATGGAAATTTTTAAAAAAATTGTCGAATCGTTTTCTCGGAAATTGTACGCAAGCTTTATATCAGACTCATTGTATCCACAGAAACATATGCCAAAATACTAAAGAGAAAATTTATCATTTCTTTTTGCGTAGCAAAATCTTTAATTCTCAGCTGAAAGACATCGAAGAAGAAGCATTTCACAACTTGACGGAACTTCAAGAATTGTAAGTGTTTGTATCCATGAAACTTAGCAAATTCATAGGAGGTAAGAGAAATTAGTAGAGTACAGACTGCGGGAAGATGAAAATGTAATTCATGTCTTTTCCATTGTATATGTATGTAACAGGAATCTGGCTATGAATAACCTCAACGATTTTCCGGACTTGTCCACCAACACAGCCTTGCGAGAGCTGTAAGTGTAACTCATTTGAAGTGTGGGGTGTTGTATTGAGGCTTGTGCCTTTCTTCAGTCATTAAATTCATATGCTTGTTTATTCCTTGGTTGTTTCGTGTAATCTAATAGAATGATTTTTCCTTTCAACTATTTCTTTACTCATTTATGTATTCATTCCTTCAGTAACCTGTTGATATGTTAGCCATTCTTAAACGTTTGTTTTTTTTGCTGATATCAATTGGATATCATGCTGAGAACGTTTTTTTGTTTTGTTTTTTTTGTTTTTTGTTTTTTGTTTTCATTCTATTCAGAGATTCATTATTCTAATTAATTTTAAATGAATCACATTTCAGAGATTTATATCAGAACAAGATAAGGCTTTGGCGCCACAATTACACTGCTTTGCCCAAGAATTTAGAGAAGATGTAAGTTTACATAGTTTGTTGAATTTGAAAAGACATCCACTGTACTTTTTCTAATTCCATATGATTGTATTTCCTTACTTCTTCATCTTGCAGAATTCTCATTGACAACGAGTTTGACTGGATCCCTGAAAAGTGGTTTGATCTGCCAAATTTGAAATACATGTGAGAAAGTTGAGTTGTCCTCTCTGTCAGCATGGATCTCGATTCTTTATAATGTTCCTGTTGCCGTTATTGTCTTTTCATGTAGTTTAGTCCTCCTTCAGCAGGATATGGCCATTTCTGAATTTTTGTCCTCTGTTTCTGTTACTATGTAACAGAATTCCACATACTATGCTGTTAAGATATTGTTCTAGTCACTATGATTTGGAGTGTAATTATAATAGCTCGCAATTGATATGTGTTTGCTTGATTTTCTGTCCTTTCTTCTTTCTGCCTCAGAGCTCTGAGTAAGAACAAGTTAAAACGGTTTCCAGGAGCTGCTTTTATCAACTGTAGATCTTTGGAATACCTGTGAGTAAGGTTTCTAAAACACATTATTTCTATTGACTATTTTTCCACCGCTATCAAAGTACGATCTATTTACACATTTCAACATTTCTGTAGTGGCAAATTGTGTAGACGTGTAACCTATAACTTTATAGCAACAAGAAGAAAGAAAAGTCGTTTCCTACAACCGGTGACATATTTTAAGTGCGTTTGTTTGTCTCTTGGATTGTTTCTTTGCTTTCCTCGTAACAGAAGTAGTATAGGGACTTACCACCAGCTTGCATGCGCGAAAAAGTGTCAAATTTTGACCCAAATTAAGAGTCCAACAAACAAAATAAGTGAGGAGAGCAGACCATTTTCCCCTAGTTTTGTTTTCTGACTGGCAAATTTTATGCTATTTTTATTGTTTTATCTTGAAGATCCGTTGACTACAACGAAATAACGTCAATCACATGTCCCAATCTGCAACCATTTTATGGAAATAATTCTCAGCTTCTACATTTGTAAGTAATCTACTGAAAAAATTTTTCCGCTTTATCTATCTATCCATCTATCTTTCTACCTTTCTATCTTTCGATCTTTCTATCTTTCGATCTTTCGATCTATCTATCTGTCTACCTATCTATCCATCTTTCTACCTATCTGTATTTCTATCCTTCTATCTCTCTATCTATCTATTTATCTATCCATTTATCCATCTTTCCATCTATCTATTTATCTACTTATTTATCTATCTATATATATCTATCTATCTATCTATCTGTCTATCTATCTAGCTATATTTCTACCTATCTATATATCCATCTGTTTATCTATCTATGTATGTTTCTATCCTTCTAGCTTACTATCTATCTATCTATCTTTCTATCTATTTATCTATTCATTTCTCCATCTTTCTATCATTATTTTCCTCTATCTTTCTATCAATATATCTATCTATTTTTCTATCTATCTATATTTCTATTTTTCTATCTATCTTTCTATCTATCTATTTATTTCTGTTTCCATTTATCCATCTTTCTAACTATCTTCTTCTCTATCTATCTATCTATCTTTCTATCTTTTTATCTTTGTATTTATCTATCTATCCATCTATCTTTCTATTTATTTATTTATCTATCTATATATCTCTCTATATTTCTATCTTTCCATCTTTTTATCTAACTATTTACATATCTATCTTTCTATCTATCCATTTATTCATCTTTCCATCCATTTTTTCTCTGTCTTTCTGTCAATCTATCCATCTATGTAATTTTGCGAGTTCAGACATACATGACTAAGCGCACGCGCATTTCCTAATATATTACAGACGGAAAAGTATCAAAGGCCATTAATTTATTTCAGGAACTTGAGCAATAATGCTATAAGCAGCATAGCCTCAGAGGCTCTACAGCATCTGATTCATCTGCAAGTTCTGTAAGTAAATAGTTACCTGAGATTAGGCGGAATGAGAAAAGAAGGTTTGTGAAAAGGCTCTACAGCGTCTGATTAATCTGCAGGTACTAGGCAGAATAGGACAGGAAGGCTTGTGAAAGATACAATTAAGTTAGACCTTCTGAGATACGATAAAACGTTTTGAGTAGTTGCCGTTTGGCTCTTTTTGTATTAACCAAACTGAAACAAAAGATCGTGTATCTGATGCAAATGTTGAAAGTTACGAGTTTGATCTATTTGTTTTTTTGTCTGTCAGGGAATTACATGATAATGACTTGGAACTTATTGGTCCGAAGGTTTTCTACAATATACCAGAGCTACTGCATCTGTGAGTTCAGTTTATTCTATTGAGACTAAAACATGTGTATGTAAAGCAATAGAGCAATAAATCATAAGGAGAGATTGACTTAAAATACAACAATAAGAACACGCTTTATAGTTGCTTTGTTTTTGTTTTTTGGTTGGTCATTTTTCGAAACAGTTGATGTCTATTTTGCTTGCCTTACAGAGACCTATTGGGCAACAAGCTAGAGACCATCGCTGGACAAGGATTTAGCCCTGCGTTCCAGGATCTTCCCAAACTAAAATGCTTGTGAGTTTAACGAACCCCTATCCGTTAACACGCATGGAAAACTCGACACAGAGATAGTTGTCATCCGATTTGTAACCTGACTAGGATAGCCCTTGATAACGTTCTTAATTTGAAAACAAATTAAAAATCTTATTGAAGTGGTGGATGTAACAAGTGCCTTATTTAGTGACCCACAGCCTTTCAAATGCCAAGCCTTACGAGGTTATCAAAGTTTAAGTTTACAGCCAACAGTTTAATCATTAACGTAAAGGTGTATCTTCTTCATATTGCATTAAATGAAGATTTGATTTCATTCGACGTTGCTGTCCAAATTGTCTTAAGGCGATGGCTAATGTTGGTGAGGTTGCTTATTGTTTCTTTTCCCTTTTTTTTCTTCCAGGGTGCTAATGGGACAGGATCCCAAAACACGTCACGTGATGTTTAACTCATTTGTCAATCTACCTGCTTTGGAAGACTTGTAAGTATATCTTGCATCTTTACAAATATTAAGTTGATAATTCTCGAAATATTCTGTGTTCTGAAACCTGGAAAGCGACGATATACCGTTTAATTTTCCTTTCGTTCACATTCATTTTTTTTTTGCTCTTTTGTTTCTTTACCTTTAATCGTGTTTTATTGTTGCCCTTTTTTGTTTGCTGAGGACGCCACTAAACGAAACAAAAACTGAAAAACAGGAAACCAAAGTCTTAAGCCAGTGTTGTAAAAAAGGTGAATAAAATGTTTATTTTTTCTCGTAGATGGCTGAACAACAACGGATTTCGAACATTTCCACATCCATCACTATCCTACGAGTTAAGACCTGCTTTAAAGTTTCTGTAAGTGTTCACGTTGTCATTAAAAAACATTTTGAAGGAGTCTGTTGAGAAAAATGATCAATAAATTGTTACCGGACCGATGGCGTAAAAAGTACCGCGTTTTGATTCCTTGGAGCTGGGCTTAAGACAAACTTTGTTATATTTTATAAAGGTGGCACGTTTCTAAGGAAACTGTGTTTCTACATATGTAAGGCGGTATAGCAAGATAATTTGATTTTATCAACTGAGTTGATAATGTAAATTGGCCACCCAAGGAGTTTCTATAGCTGATGTTTCTTTTGCAGTGGCCAATTTACGTTATCAGCTCAGTTGATAAAACCAAATTAGTTTGTTATATTTCGTTGCACATTTTAATTGGCGAAAGGCCTTTTTTCCAGAGCCTGTCAGTTCTGTAGCTCGACTAGGTTTCACCTAACTAACCATATTCTTAGGCATATGGAAAACAACGAAATCGAGTCGCTACCAAGTTACGATAAAGACGACTTCCCGCCTGACTTGGAAAATCTACATGCGTAAGTAGCATATCATAACCTCTTTTAAAAAGTAACTTTTTGAGTTTTAGACTCGACACTTGCTCTATCAGTGATGTTTTCAATTGCTTTCTAGTGTTCTCAAAGCGAAACACAAACCATTCGAGAACACGCCGAACTTGGAAAAACTGTAAGTATGCTTCTTTGAGACTTGCGCACCTTCGTGTGTAGATTTCAGCGAAAAAAACTGCCTGGACGTATCGATGTCGAGTGGTTATTTGGCATTCATTAATCTAAGGGAATCCTGGCGAATGCAACGGAAGTAAACACACGATGAACAAGCCTCAGTTCAAAATTTGCTGTATCGATTTAACAAGTTACTGGTATTAAAAACCAATAAACAAACAACTAAGGAAATAGCGATGTCTGCATCTTTTTCACTTTAATTGTTGTCTTTGTTGTTGTCGTTGAGCTGCGATTTTTTTCGTTATGTTTAAATTGTTTAGACGCTGAAATAACTGCCTCTTCCAGGTTTCTTCATTCAAATCGCATTCTTCGCATTGCAGAAGATGACTTGTGGATGTTAAGCAAACTGAATGAACTGTGAGTTAATGATGTGAGATAAAGTTCAAACTAGTACAAATCCGCCAAATAATATTTTCCGAATATTTTCAGTGTTGACGTGATGGGACGTACCCATTAGGATCTTCCAGTAACTTCAATCTTATCATTCTTTGCATATGTAGTGCGAATTCTGGTTCATCGATGAAATTTTGAAACAATGATGATTATGAGTATGTTAATTAGATTTTGATTTACTCTATTTCCTTTATCTAATTACCAATTTTTTTCAATTTTTATTTAGTTTCTTGAGCGCTAATAAACTGGTGAATTCGAGTGTACATCCGAATGCTTTTAGGAATCTCACAAGATTAACAGTTTTGTAAGTAATTTGTGACTTTAATCAAATAACTCTGTAAAAAGTAGTAAGAACATTTAGAAAAAAAAATTGCAGGAGAATATCAGGCTAAATTTTAAGTATTTAGTGTGAAACTGATACGAAACTCACCCTTCATTCCTTCCATATTTGAGTTTGCTGTACAAAACCTCAAGTCATATGCATTTCTCCCTTTTTAGGCATCTTGATTGGAACAAGTTTCATTATGTTCCTTTTGCAATTCAAGGGAAAAGCCGACTTCCATCGATTGATAGCTTGTAAGTTTACAAAATAACGTTTATCACGCGAAATTTTGCCGCATATCATATTATTAACGAAGGGGATATATCCTTCTTTTCATCAGAGATTTAAGGGGAAACAGCTTCACATACATTCTGAAGGGGACGTTTTCCGAGCTGGACACCATCAGATACCTGTAAGTATAGAGAGTTTATTTTTTCTTAGGAAGTGTGTTGTCCGTTTGCCTGGGAACTGAATTCTACGATTTTGATTTATTCCCTTAACTTACCGCTTAAGCCTTACAGTTAAGCTCCATTAATTTTTCCATCGACAGGCAAATGCAATACAACAAAATCGTCACCATAGAAAATGGTGCCTTCAATGGGAATATCAAGCAGATGTAAGTGTCTTCTATTACTCTTTTTTATGAAGGTGAAGTTAGAGAGACCTAAAGGATATAAGTGATGAGGCAAAGCTGCTAGGTGATGAATAAACAGTGAAGAACAATCGTAAAACTCGTCGTCCATGTTTCCATCCAGTAACAGGGAGGCTTTGACTGGAAACATTTTTGGGAGCCACAGATCAGTATTTCCACGCTGTATTGTCCATAAGTGGTATGGACAAAATTTTGCACCATTCAAGGTTGATATTACGCATTGACATGTCCCAAAACTAAGAAGATTAGATCATGAACCAGATATTAATTAAATTGTAGATGTAGGACTATATGATGGTATTCTTATCCCATGCATTTAATAACTAGTGTTTCTTTACGTGTTTGAATTGCTTCCATTTTAGACACATGGAGGGAAATCGCTTTAACTTTAAACATGAGAATCAGTTCACAAACCTGACCAAACTGACTCAGTTGTAAGTGTCATGTAATCTTAGTACAAAAAATATTTAACTAAATCAAAACAAAGCTTGACTGCTTAGAAATACAAGACATAAGGACGATAAAAGTTTCAAGATGTGCTAAGGTAGAGTTAGTATATTTAGAATAATTGAACCGTGAATCAATACATTCCTAAATTTTTTTCCAACATATATATATTATTTTTTGTTCCAGGGGGTTGAGGAAGAATCAAATCAATGCTATCCCAGACACAGCCTTTCATGGACTTACGAGTTTAACTTGGCTGTAAGTATAACAAGTTACTTTAAACATGCGACTGTAAGTTCACCACTCCTGAACTTGACCCTATGACCCTTGACCCTTCTTTATTTTTGTTGTCTTTTTTTTTGTGTGCGCGTTGTATAATTTGTGTTATTTGGTGTTTTATCTTTTACCTTGTTGGTTTACAACATCGCATGGGCGATTGCAGTAAAAGAGTTATGTCGAATCACATAAGGTATAATACACCTAACAGAAGGGCACTCTATCGCAATTTGGGAATTGGTTCTTGCAGTAATCGAAATATTCCGTCTGTTTGCACAAAGTGCCACGTAGCGATGTTTCGACATAAGATGGTTTACAAAGCGTACTTGTTCAATGCATTTCTCTTTTCAGTGACCTTGGTGAAAACCAAATCGGGCGTATCCTGAAGATTTCCTTCCGGGACCTTGTCAATGTAGCCACTTTGGATTTGGATCAAAACGAAATAGCACTCATTGAAGACGGAACTTTTGCAGGAGTAAAAGGGTTCAGTCGCCTGTAGGTGGATTGCCCAGAGCAATATAATTGTGTGTCGTAAAAAAATCGGAATGTATTGCCTTTGCTTCACCACGCTCTGTGACTGGTTCACAAAGTTCGCGCCAGTCTCTCAACCAATCAAATGCAAAATTGAAACTAATTGAGGTTTAGTCGCGCAGGCAGTTGGTTGGTTTCTAGATCGAGCTCCTATTGGCTCCTAATTACATAATCATTTCTTTTGATTGGTCTTATTTGTTATCTCTAAATATCATTCAACTGAGAAATAATCGATTTTTAAGGCAGACAAAAACTAGAGATATGTGAGAATAAACCAAAAAGGTAATAATGATGGTTAAGGATGGCGTCTTCACCTAAGTGCATTACATTTTACTGCTTATCGTATAGACCCACCTTGAAATAGGCAGTATGTGGCTCGATGTTTACATGAATGTTTTTCTTTCGCTGGTCGTGCCTTAATCAACTGCAGAGGGGCTAATGCTCGAAACCTCAACTTTTTAAGCGCTTTACAGAGGCCTATTTACATCATCAAATCAATTGATAAAATCTTCGTAAAGGGAAGCTACTGTCAAACTTAGCAAAACCAAAAAAAATATATGAGGACAGGTGACTGGAACATCACTCTCCTTCTTTCCCAGAAAACTCCAAGATAACCAGCTCACTTCTCTGCCAAATGGTGGCGACTTTCATAACAAACAGATGAATAACATGTAAGTAACATTATTTTTCCCTCATTAACAAAATGCTCTACGCATATCTTGTGATCACATCCTTGCTGATCAAATGATACCAGTTCGACGTTTTCTTCTTCAGTAAATAGATTCTTCACACACTTTTACACTTTTATTTTTTATTTTCTCACATATTACAAGATAGCAAGATAGATAGCAAATGCTAATCGAGGCGGGTCAAATTTTTTTTATTATTATTTTTCTATTTTTTTATTTTTTTACTGAATAAATTTAATTACACTGGAAATAAAACGGAAATGAAGAAATATAACATAAAAGGACAAAAAGATACGCAAAAAAAAGGAAAATGGCAGATATTCATTGTAAAGGAGGAAAAGTCCTAGCGTTTCTAAGTGTACGAAAATTATTGTGGAACTGGTTCAATTTGATTCAATTTTGCTGTGTTTGACTTTTAGCATTATCTCATCAGGCTCCATATAAGAATCTTTAGTTTCTAGAATATTGAGAAGAGCTCTTTTTGTTTCTTTTTTGAAGGATTTCTTTGCCAAATTTTTGTATTCATTAGGCATCTCATTCCAGACTTTGACACCAACACGTGAAAAGGCTTTTTTTTTTGTATTTTAAGCCTAGAGTACTTAACGCTAAAGATTTGTGACGTTGATGAGCGAGGATTATATGTATGGATGTTTGAAATTCTCGTAAAAAGTTTCGTGATGTTAGAAGGTGCACTATTGTTATGAACATCGAGCATTAATTTACATACAGCTTCATTATATAAAAAGGTAATAGGAAGAATTTTCGCATTTACAAATAAGGGGATTGCATGTTCTTTTCTATCAACAAAGTAGATTAGACGTAATACTCGCTTTTGGAGCACAAAAATTCTCAAATGGTTAATAAGTGAATGTTACGATTTAAATATGCTCGTTCTTCAATGGGCAAGACTGAGAGTGTATTTGTGTGTATTTCATCCTAATTGTTCAATTTCTTCAGAAACTTCTCAAAGAATAGAATAACATCGATCGCAAACGGAACCTTTGTAAACATCAGATGCATCAGCGGTGGCTGCGGTAATAGCAGAAGCAGTAGCGGGACCATATGGTAAGTGAGAGAGATAGTTGACTCAATAACGTAGATAAAGCCAAGACATGTTACGTTTCTGCAACACCGTTAACTTCGATGACCTTTTTTTGACTCATCCAAGCCAATTTCTCCAAACTACAGTACTTTGCAATTGTATTCTAACTCGCCCGGCCTTTTTCTTATTTTTTCTGAGATTCATTTTCTCATTAAGTAATATGTTCATAAATCATTTTTTCTTGGAAAAATCGGTGGTCTCATAAAAGAAAAGTACGTGATAGGAAAAATGGACGCATACCTCTGGATTGATCATGCAACTTACTAACTGTAACAACTGAATGCATGAGCTAGTCATTAATGAGACACACAATATGCTAGCTGGATTTCCCATTTCTACCTATCTGCACAGCCACGTTATGATCCGTTTTCCGTTCAATAGAGCCGCAAATAACAAAAATGTAACAACTCAAAACAAAAACCAAGAAATGAACTTTTAAAAGTTTGGTATTCTAACTAAAATTGTGAAACTTACCAATCCCTTAGGAAATTCCGAGAAAACGAAATAGTGTCAATTGACAGCGGAGCATTTCAATCATTTGATGGTAGTGCTTGTACTCTGTAAGTATAGAAGTACTTTGATATTATGCTAAGTCGACCCAGTATTTCTAGGGCTCAAGCTCATTACATGTACCAGGCTTAATAAATGTCATTGTGCCATCATTATACGACGCTATCCATTGAACTATCTACCGACTCAATCCTCAGCCAGATGGCTCGGGGTTTCTTGCTTTTTCTTCCCTTAGAATAAATAGTTCAGCGACAGGCAACTGCCTTTAGTCTTTGCTATTCAGTTGCAATTTGAAATACTAGGATTAAAACAATCATTCGACACAGTCGACACGGTGGTAAAATCTATGGAAATTTCTCATAATCTAAAGGTCAATCCAGCATCCCCAGCCAATCCCATGACCTCTCCTTATACTCTTCGTTTTCCCAAGAATAATGGAAACTGACTAACCTATAGGCTTATTTAACACAGCCAGAGCGAAAGGTTACAGCGTTTTAGAATGGCCTTTATTCTCGCCACCATTGGTTTCTCATTTTATCTTTTCCTTCCTCGCATAGAGAATTTGGAGGGGCAAGCAAGAAATACAATTTGCTGAAAAGTGTCGATTCTGGAGCGTTTGATAATGTGCAGGCATGCTATATGTAAGTATTGCAGAAAGATTCTCATTTCTCGCTATTTTGTTGCCTTTTCTGTTTGATGATTGGTTTATTGCAGATATTAGACTTTTTATTTCACACAATTTTTGTTTAAGTCTTTTCTCTCTTTTTTTCCTTTCTTAGAGACCTTAGCAACTTAGAGTTGAAAAAGATTGCTTCTGAATCTTTCAGGGATGTTCGTGTTAGCTTTGATTTGTATGTATCATTAATTGAAACCTAAATGAACGAAATAGACTTCCTTTCATTTGTCAGTAGTGTCAATGGCCAATGATTTGCAAAAGAATCATTGATATTCTGGCAAGGTTGACTGATATATAAACAATAGTTTCCATTTGGCGCGATATTTGACTGATTATAAAGTCCAATTATTCCCGAGTTAAGACGAAGAGACAATAACTATTAGACAACACTCGCAGCTTTTCCTAACCATTTAGATTAAATAGCGAGATCAGTGGTAGAGTCTTCTGAACATTAGTGCCTGGGTGGTAGAATACGATGATTGCATTAAAACACCAAGTCACGATCCTTGACTAACGAGAACACGAGCATCTCCATAATGACTCGAATATGCCAGTTATGATTAAATTTCGATACGTAAATATATTTAAATCTAATCCTTCCCCTGAAAAAAAAGATAGGACAGCTCATTTAATATGAAATATCGACACAAGCTACTGTCGCTAAGGTATTTACTAATCCTTTTTACCTCCATAGAGAAATGAATGACAACGAGATACGAACTGTTGAAGAAAACGCCTTTCTAAGATTTAACGTCAGACACTTGTAAGAATCATATTGTGGATCAACTGTGTAGCAAAACTAACTCATTTATTCAGCAACTGTAATTTTTGCTTACAATGAACTTGGTATATGTTTTTCTTTACGATAGGATGCTTCAAAACAATGCTATCCAAGCAATCACAGAGAAGATGTTTGGAGACAGTGGTTCCACAATAAGAGCAATACTGTAAGGTCCATCACGGCAGGTGTAGCAAGGTTCATTGGTAGAATCACCCTGACCAAAATTCGCATAAATAAGTTTCTCTCAAAAGGACTCCCCTTTTTTGCGAAATTTCTGCCCTTAAATAGCGGTAAATGGAGAATCTCTGAAATCTAAATGACGTGCTTGGCATAATTTATGCTTGCATAAACGATCATCAAAGCTGTCAATGGCAAAGTCAAATTCTTTTCAGGCTTACAATAAATAAATAAATGGTTTTAAGGGAGTTCTACTAATAAAACTGTTACACAATTCTTCGATATGGCGCGTCTTTCCTAATTACACCTCTTAAAGACTCAAGTTTCGACGGTAGAAAGCTAAGCCTTGTATGTTAAAAAGGCCCTATATTCCACTAAGTTAAATCTCTCCGGAACAAGTTTTCGCTCTGAACGTGCTGTCTGGTGATGATAATAAGTTATATAATAAGCTCAGTTATGCACGCATTCTGATTGGTTTTCACTTATGATCTTTTGGAGGACAGACGTATAGATGACGTCATCATTAAAACTTTTTTTCCGTATATTTTAAATTCTTTATTATATAAAACAAATAGATTCCAAGTTGCCGTGCGTCTCTTCAGTGATAGATCACAGATGACGCACGGCAACTTGGAATCTATTTGTTAAATATACTGGACTAGGACACCTGAGAATGCAGGGACACATGCACCCCAAATATTGTTCTTTGCCACTCAGAAGCTCAAGTAACGCTTCGGTTTGTTCTTAGGGATCTCTCTCACAACGAAATCCAAACCCTTCACGAGGATTCACTTAAAGGAGTCAAAGTCAATGGGCAAATGTAAGTGTTCGAGGAAGCCACCCACATTTACTGTTTGCCATAAACTACTTCTATATGTACATACATGTTTCTTTTAACTTAACCAAATAGGATCCGATTCAAACCTCGAACAATGCGTGGATCCTTTTCATCTATTTTGCTTGTTCTTACAGACGGCTCAGAAACAACAAGTTAGTTATGTTTCCAGCAAAGGCTTTGGAGAAACAAGACCCAAGGGTCCTGTGAGTTCGCCCTTTTAAAACCTAATATGATAACTTGTTTGAAAGAAAATGCATTACCTTTGACATCTCTGGAAGAAACTCTGTTCGAACCTGAAAACTTGAAAATTTCGAGGTAGTCGCACAACTTAGTTTGCTGTTTCAGATATTGTATCCCTCTTTCATTTTCACATTTACTGTCATCATTTAGCTCTATCCGTCCATCCATCCTTCTTTCGATTATGTTGTGAACAATAAAATGTTAATTTATTTATTTGTTCCTATGATTCAATCATTCTCAGAGAACTGCGCCATAACCAGATTCCATCCATTCCTGTTGGTTGGTTAGATCCATTTCAAAACCTCCGACATTTGTAAGCATTTAATTCAGTTTGACTTCCCGTTGTGACGACTAATTACTGTTCAAATCAAAGATGGCATGCACTAATTGATTTTCTCTTCTTTATTTGGGTCCATTGCTGTTTAGTTTTTAGTTTTTTTGTCCGAAACCATTTAAGTGGCAAGAACAATGATGAAGTTAAATATCATTACCGTAGTTAAGTCATCTGGTGAAATCATGCGAGCAAAACGTGAGGTAAATTCTTTGTTTGTTGTTTTTTTAGGTTTCTACCGGACAACAATATTGCTTCCGTGGAGGCTAACGTCTTTAGCAAGCTAAAGAACCTCGAGATATTGTAAGTATTTGTCATCTGCAGTTGTCGATGCTTTGGGGAGTCGCCTAAGCCTAACTAGAGCTATCGTATTACAGCTCCATGCCAAAACGCGTGGAGTGGTTTCATTGAAAAAGAGGAAGGTAATTCAGTGAAGAAATATCATAGAGGCATCCAATGGCTGACCTCACGTAACTGTTTTATCATTTAAGAGAACTTCAAGACAATAAAATTAGCGTGATTGAACCAGGAGCATTCAATGGCCTCGACAGTGTGAAAAGATTGTAAGTAATAACATAGCCGCATAAGTGTTACTGTACTGAGTATTACTTTATACGTGCGTCTTGTTCTCACTACCTAGCATTTAATTATCACCACCTGAGCTGGATTAGCCGTAAGTTTTATTTTCCTCATGTTCGTTCATTACGTACAAACATCGTCGACCTCTTACGATGACAATTTTCGTCTTCGCAGGTATTTATATGACAACCAGATTGAATTTTTACCTACATTCCCTGCGATGAAGCTTCTTGATGATTTGTAAGTTATTCTGTATAGATAGCATAAATACCAGAAACGATAATAATAAAAGTGACAAAAAAATAACAGACTGAGCTACACAGCCTAGTCCACGCCCGCAGCTTCCGCTTAGGATGATTCCCCTGACCTTTGCGATACCGGTGCAGAGCTCTACCAACTGAGCTTACAAGCCAACTGGGAGCTGGTCATATTTTGGTTCATAAGAAACCCATCTAGTGATCAATAAATGACGACTAAAATGTGAAACCATGTGTGTGAACTGCGGATTAATAAATGAGAGGTCATAGGTTCAACTCTGAAAGTAGTCTTCATTACCACAAAGATCACTCTCATTTTAAAGAGCCTTTTGTCACTTATAACGTAAGCTACTGACTATGTATTGCGTATTTCAATTTCCCGCAGATCTCTAAAAAATAATCTTATAGAGAACATCGGGCAGGACTGCTTCTCTAAACTTCCCAATTTACAAACACTGTAAGTAGCAACACAGCTGAAAATGTTGAAGTTACTGTCATGAGTAATGTTACCCTGTGCCCCTCTGTTAGTGGACCAAGGATATCATTTTTCAAATTATTAATCAATACTTTTTACTAATATCGAACGATAATTTATTGATTTCATTTCAGTAATCTTGCAACGAACCCGTTGGCTTGTGACTGTAATGTTTATAACTCTCTTACTCCGGTTATAAACACTCTCACTTCTACAAAAGCTGCTCTCTGCCGATCACCTTCTCAAGTAGCAGGAGCCAAATTCTACCCGAAGGGATCATATGAGAGCTTTTATCGCCAGCGATTTCTCTGCAGTAAGATATCTAAATCATAAAGTCCTTGGTAGCAATTTTTGGGGAATAGAGCGAGAGATCGTTCGCGGAAATGTTTTTTTCTTCTTCTTTGTAAGCATAGAAATGCCTGGTAAGCAATGTAAATAGTTATTTTCAAAACTTAAGTGAGAAAGACTCGATGAAATGAACTTCCTTAGTTTTCCGTGGAATATCAAAAAATTTTTCTTTTCGATCATCGGCCCTTGCATAATAGACTATGGCCGATAACGGGCAAACCGAATAGGTTATATTTCACCTCATGTGATTTCATATTACATTTCGCTTTGTCCAATGAACGATAAATATGTTGGCAAAGTTCTGAATCCTTGAGGATCAAGACAGAATTTACCCACCTAGCAAGACGCCATAACCTAGGGGTTGAACTCCAGATCGAAAGGTCTTTAATTGAGCCCTAGCCAAAATTGTTTGAGGTGCTCACAGAACGATATTTCACTCTCGCTATACATCCCTCCACCTGCGATTAAGGAATTGGTACCAACGAACTGTCAGCACAAACTGTTGAACGCCTTCTAGTGGGAGGATATACAATGGAGAAGTTTCTAATTCATGAGAGTGACATTACTCGCAGTCACGTAGTGCAATGGAAATCGGCTTCAATTTTGTTCGAGACTTATCGACATAGTATCTTATTTGCCCCTGTTCATCGGAGTTCTGTATTTGATTAGTTTCCTCACCGTTTTATCTTATAGATCCCGTTAACGTATCAGCATCAGCCCCTGGTGATTATCAATTGAACGTCACGTGGGACAGGCCGCATGAACTTCACTCGTTTATCAACTTTACAAAGAACACCACAACACTGAGCACGTGGGATGCTGTCAAGGTGATATCATTAATTATAACATATTTCCACTCCTCCATGCGCCTGATATAGTTTTTAACCTTTTCTTGATACCCTAAGAGTTTCAAATTTCATGCACTTTTTCTCTTTAAGTAATTGCTATACTTAGTTGGGTTATTTTTGTTAGCGACAAATTAAAGTATTATTTAGAAACCTCTGTTGTATTTTTTTGTATAGACACTAATAATAATCGTGGATTAGTAAAGTGCTTTCAATCCAGACCAGGAATGGATATTTTTGTCCTGGTGTAACAAAATTCAGTGTTGAATTAAAAGTACGAACATCGCATGCCAGCTTGGCTCACAATTCTGATTTGTAGTAACTCGTTGCTTTCAATCAAATGGTTGCGACTTATCTGCCTTATCTTCACATGGCATCCGGACCATCCGTTTATTTTTCTAGCATCGAACTTTATTAACTTGTGAGAGAGTCCTAATTTAATAGTTGTGTTTGGTCGTTTTAGATTCAAAGTGTGAAGTATTCGGTCACTTGTTTAAGTGACGATGCTCCGACTTTGACGGGCACTTCGACGAAAAAGTTCCTCCTGTTTACTCAAGCCGACGGCGTACGAGCTGGGACCGATTACACCTGTCATGTGACTATGACTGTATCTGCTCACAATGGCACTTATTTAGGAGGGGATCCCTTGGGAGCCTTGTGGACCAGGACGACACCAAAAAGCGAAAAAGTCTCGATAACAACCGTAGAGGGCAAAGGTGGGCTAGTTAGTGACGTTTGGTATAATGGTTTTGTAGCACCTGTACTTCAAGGTTACATTTTCATAACTTAACTTTTAAATGGCTAGGGAACAGATTTAAACAGACTAAGACAAAATATAAAGATCCAGGTAAAGTGTCTTTAAGCAAATCAAAAACCAAACCATGGCTCAATTAAAATTGTAATTTGCCAATACATGAACTGAAAAACTTCCTGAAAACTACTCAACTGGAGATTACCCCATGCATATGTTGATCATGATAATATCTTTGGTTTACCCATCTTCCACCGATGGTGATGAATTAAAAGTAACTTTAAAGATGCTGACCAGTATTAACCTCTTCCTTGTACCTTCGACCATGTTCAACACTAATCAATTATGAGAAGATTAACCAATGGCCCGCCACAAGTTTTTCAGGCTTCGTTTCATCTCTACACTTGCAGCTCCGGTGACCAACACGACGGCCAACAAGACTAATTACCTCTTAGATGTTACATTCTATGACTTCAGGTAATGAATAAATCAATATTGTACTTTGGAAATTGGTCTAAGGTTAGCGTATTTGAACCTAGCTTAAATAGAGGGCTCGATTATTGAAAGGGCCCTTTACTTTCTACTCCTCGATGATGAAATTTTGATATATTATGTCTCCCAAACAGAAATGATATTTTCCCTTACTTTATTAGCGAATAATTTTTTTAGTAAGTCCTTAGTTCAGTTACAAACCTCGCTTGATTCTTTTTATTTAATGTTACCTCATTACTTTCATTCAGCTATGATATTTTATGTAATTGAGTAACAAAATTAATTCACTGAAATATGCATACATATTTGGAATTTTGTATCTTGTATAACAGAGCTGCTGATGGTGATTTCGTTGGGATCCCTGATAATTACCGTGAGATTTACAACAATCCAAGATATATTGCGAGCCCATATGGCAGCTGGTTAGCCATATCTTTTGATCCAACCAGAGACAGTTTCTCAGACTGGTTTAGATCCGAGTCATTAAGAAACCGACATTACGAGGGAAACTTGGAATTGAAAAAACAGTGGGAGACAGACTCAAATGGCAACTCAGTGTTTAGGTATTTCAACGACAAGTTCTTCCCAGTCGATGGCCGCGGATGGGGTGCTGAAGGTCAGCGGGACTGCCACACCAATGCTCTCAGGAACTATGGGTAGGTGGCGTATTGATGCGTAGTGTCGCCAAATATTTTATCGAGTAGTTCTAAAATTGGCTGAGCCCGCGTGTTTTCAATCACAAGTGTGTTGATTGTTTATTTACATCAGCTATAATATATTTATTCAACATTTTCATTTTGGTATGCAGTCACCTCCCTACCAGGAAGACTCGCCTTCAATATGTAATCGATCTCGCAACCAAGGCACCTTAGTTCGCCACCAAGTAATAAAAGGTTGTTAAACTTACCCGGGTATTTCCTTTGTAAGTCGAGTTAGACTGGCTTGAGTTGACGTGTCATTTTAGAATACTGAACTGATTCCACCCGGGACACTCGCAGTCAAAACTATAATCCAAAGAAATAACAACGATTTGACCTCTGTCGTGTCAGTTCTTTTTTGAGAGAAATAAGTACACTTTACTACTTTTTTAGAACAAAACACTTGACATTTCTCCTAGATTCACAGCTGCGATTCGTTCAACCTTTAACTTCACGGGTCAAGAAAATATGGCTTTTGCAGGTGGTGAAGAGTTGTGGGTTTTCATTCATGGTTATCTGGCATTACAAGTTTTCCACAATCCTCTTAACGGGACAATTCCGTGCGCGACAATCTATCTATCCCCCGCTAAGGAAGGTACATAGAATGCATTAGATCTTTTAACAAATACGTTGACGTCGAAAGGTCATAGGTCAGATCCTATATTTCTCAACTATTGAGGTTATACTTGTGCTTTTATCGCTCATGTTGCTTTAAACAGTTTTTCATTTTATATTATCGATATTATATTTGCTGACCTGAAACTAACCATAGCTACTCTAAGGTGGGTCAATATTTAGGATTAAAACAACTTACGAACTATCTTTCTCCTCTAAAGCTCTTCTCTAGTTTTTCAATTCAGAACGTTTCATTCGCATACTTCGTTAGAACATGCTACACCTTTATCCTAACTTCAATCAAAGCTGTCATTTTGTCTTAAAGGGAAAAGCGAGGTTGTTCGAAAACACGGAGTCATTGTCGGTGACAAGTGTCAAGAGTCAGGATATCTCACACCACAAGCTTTAAATATGACATTAAGAGTAAGTTAGCAGGAACAATCAGCGCGCTTGTCATTTTTATTATACACAATAAAACGATGGACAGCATGTAATATCTTCAATTTAACTTCACTCCCGTGACGTTGTGTTTTTTCCGCCATTTTAGGTAGGTGAGCCTTACCGTCTGGAAGTGTTCGTGGCTGAACGATTCAAATGTGACTCCGATCTCTTTTTTCAAACCAGCGGAGTTCAGTTCATTCGACGATGGGATATGACTCTTCCTGTTGGTTACATGTCTGATATCAGTGAGAATCTGCATGTTGGTGGTTTGGTTCAGGTATTGTATTGTTACATTCACCCATTTACCAACATAAGAGTAGAATTTGCACTCCATATGATCGATTTGAACCATAGGTAAATAAATCCTGTTTGGACTTTTCTTGTTTGCGAGAGGTTAAGAACTTGAAACAGTGCCATATCTTTTTTCTACACACAGGAGTTTCAAGTGTCCGATGCCTTTTCTGCTGGACCGTACAAGGTGGAAATTATGTCCGGAAATGAGCAACGCAGATTTGACGTCAAAGAAGGAACGTTCATCCCACCGTCCCCTCCAACTATAGCAGAACCTCCTTCGTTTGTATTAGACAATGAGACAATCTACTTATGTCCAAATGCAACTGCAAATGTCACTGTTCGACCCATCACCAGGGCTCCTCCAGGTTTGTATTGACTAGAAGTAGAACAATTCTACGACGGTCAACTTGGTGAGAGAGAGAATTTGCCACGTAAAGAGATGGCCGTCATGGAGAAGTAGTCGTGCGATGTGGCATCTGCTCTTTTGGGCGGTCCAAGCGGCAAATTTATCTCGTACAAAATGCCTTTTGTAGAATAAAAACGCACACAATCCAAATGATCGTTAGTATTGCAAAATTTTACTTTATTTTCGGTAGGGGTTGTGTTCTTGAACGAGCTTGTACACTGAAGCCATTAGGCGTTCACTAGGATAGTTAAAAGAGGCCATATTTTTTAGATGTGACCGTTAATGTAGTTTCAACTGTACCTTAATTCAGGTTGCAACTAAATCAGGTCTATCTCTTTTCTTAAGTTGACGTTTTATCAAATTCAAGAGGCAAAATGAACACGTAGGGTGTGGTTTCACATAGGCCTCTTACCACTACTTATGAGTTTTGATATTTGTGTTCATCGTAGGAATCGAGACTTTTACTGTAAACAGTTCGACTGCTCAGTTGATTCTTAACTCCCCATTGGACTACGAGCATACAACAAGTTACTTATTGACCTTGAGAATCACAGATACGGGAAAGTTCGAAGAACCCTCTGGAAATATCACGATCAGGGTAAATAGGAAATTTTTAGACTTTTGTAATATTACTTTCGAACTGGAAACGAAAGTAATTTCATTATTCAACAATTATTCAACGATCGCGTTGAGATTATTGTTTAATAATCCCCTGGACTTTCGTACCGTATTCACTGAGGCTGAAGCAAATAATTATTTTACTTTGATTGCCTAAATGCTTTCGAATTCTTTTCTAAATTCTGTAAAAAAAAAGAAATAATTGCGCATATTTTGTTACAATTCTGTTGATAACTCGTGTTAAGATAAGCAAGCAATTTTAACATATTTATTTAATTCAATCTGAAAATGCTTCACATCTTTCCTTTGAAAAGTGTTCAGCCAACTCGCTAATATCTTTTGAGCTTTTGCAATTGAATTGAATTTTCTCATATTACGTTTATCACTTACTTGGAAACATTGAAAGGACGCGTAGCAGCCACTTTGAAATTTAGTACTCCTTCTGCTATAATCACCTCGCGCGAGGTGAATATAATGAGATATGGCCGATCAAAGTGCTTGCATCTCTATGATCACCTAAACAATTATACTAAACGTATTTAAATAAAGAAGCTGTATCCATGCGGAAAATAATTTAAGTGAGATACTGTTTTACATGGCTGCACAGATAACTCATGGCGAACATTGGAGCAAAGAGAAGCAAAGAGGTAAAAAAAGGTGTTAAGAGAGAAATCCAATGTAGAGAAGGATGATTTTCGTCTTGTCAAGAAAAGACAAAAATATTTTGAGTAACCACGTGGAATCGTACCTCAGATATCTGAATTCCGCACTGCGATCCTCCGCCACAGGGCCACAGAGACTCTGCTGTGAGTTAGGCTATGTTTTGGCTCATGTGTCACACGCGTTCTGCTAGGATAAGCAATTTTGAGAACTTCGTGTACGAAAATAAAGTAAGAAAGAGAGTACATGTGCTTTTCCTCTTTAGGTTTTCGTTTTGGACTACAACGATCACTGCCCGGTATTGCCAAATGTCAATTACGACCTTAAACCTATCCCTCCTCTTCAAAGGGCAGCATTCTTTGTTGCCATGGCACAAGATGGAGACAGTGGAACCAACGGACAGATTACATACAAGAGAAGTCATATCCTGGAAGCAATGTAAGTGAGGAAATCATTTTAAACTGAACGGCATTAAGTTTTTTACTCCATGGTTATTCTACGAGTCAACAATTGCGAGATACAAATGGCTGGAAAGGTGTCTTATTTCAAGGTCAAATATCGAGAAACAATTTAAAATAAAAGGAGTGTCCAGGTCAAATGTCTTCCATCGACTAGAAAAGAATAGAAGCCCCGAACGTAAGCCTTTTGACAAATTAGGTGGTTAGCATTGTGTCCCGATTCGATCTTCTGACGCCCTGAAAATTGATGAACACGACGAAAAGCTCAAATATCTTGACTTATGAAACAGGATTCTACATTCCTACCACCCCTTCCATGCTTGACATACAAATAATTTAGTCACACGAAATTGTTAACTCATCTTCGCAAGAGGGTAAGGCAGGAAAAATGCACTGATAGCAGCCTTTTGCATCATTCTTGACTATGTGTCATCAACGGCTTATTGATATTATTTTGATTTACTGTTCGTTTTTTTAATTTCACAAAGACCTCGAGTTGAGGCCACGCGGTTTGCAATCAAGAATGGCTCGGCATATATCTGGAGTAACAAAACTATCGAGTGGACCTACAAATATTTCATATTTGCTGTGGACGGAGGAACTCCAAAACGAGGAGACAGAATACCGCTGACCATAACATTCAATGCTACGTGCCAAGAAACTGGCGGAATTTTTGTTAATGCAACGAGTGGCCAAGTATTCTTCAGGGCGCCGGGAATGACGGGATCAGAGTATCGTGAGTTACAATATCATAACAGTATTTTCGACTGTTATTTGGAAACTTGCTCTACGCCGCCACCCTCTAAACTAAGGGCTTTTCAGTGGCCTTTAGTGTTCAACCTGGTTGAAGTCCGCTACGCATGTCCAGTCTGATTTTTCGTAGACACCTTGTGATTCTTTTCTTTTTTCCTGATCGGCTGTTTGCTATGATTATCATAGATTGTGTCTCAAGATCTCAAGCATTCTGAATGACTTCTCTTTTCCGTCAAATTAGTTAAATCGTTCTTATGTTTGCATTTAACGCGGTCATTGTTGCTTTTTGTTATAAAAATGCCACTAAATTAAGCCTTTAAATTAAGACTTTAAAAAATCTCGCCCTTTTCTCTTTTCAGCAAGAAATTCAACCACGAAACCGAAGTGCCGACGCTGTAGAACTGGGTACTACTGTGTTGGCGATGGAACCGAGGAAAAGTGTGGAGTAAAGTCGCCGACGGAATTTTCGTTTGGAGGAGCAACAAATTGTAGTTCATGTTGGGAAGGCTGGGTAAGAATGAAATCACAACTTTTATGCTTGTAATAGTCGATAAAAGATCGAGCAGGAAAATAAATCACGTCTTATTATTAAATAACAACCTTCAATGCAACCTTTCGATATCTTGAGTTGTACACCACAAAAGAAAACAAGGGTATGGAGAAATGAGATTAACCCAGTGAAATGTGAGGTTGGAAGATTTAAGCAAAGCTTCTTAGTATTAACTGTCCGCCAAGGTGATCAACCTTCTCGGATACATACGTTTGTCATTTCTGAAGTGCTCATTCTTTATAATCTATTTTTTCCAGTTATGCCACAACGGTAGTGCGTTACCCTGCCCACCAAACACTTATGTCAAATGCAACGAAACGGTAAGTCTAGCACACTGCATCAAGTGATATCAGAGCAAGTGGTCACCTTCCTTAACGAGAGGGGTATTGCGTGCGTCCCCTTATCCTTTAAAATAGTGTAAGACAGTGCTAACCTGATCTACACAAATTTATGCGGTGACAAGCTGCTCAGGATGGTTGTGAATAAACATAATGTACAATGTTCGAGTTAGAAATTCCTACACTTTCTTGAAAAATGTTGCAAGGTGCCAAACGTTTCCAACAATAATATTTTTCCAAATAGCTAAACGAAGAAATCATCCTAAGATTGAAGACTTTGTTCGTACGCTGGCTCAGGTATAGGTTATATAAAAAATGTCCGTAGTATAACTCAGTGGTTGAGGATAATCGGGAAAGTTCATCGAAAATATCATGCTGTCTCTCCAATTGTAGTCGTGTCCAGAAAAGTGCTACCCCTGTGAGCCTGGCACAGTTTGTAAAGCAGGAAGACAGTACGAGTGTCGACCCGGGACATACAGTGATGGAACAGGTGGGCTTAGTGATTCCAGTGTAAATCACATACTGCTGAAATGCAAGAAAATTGCAATTTATTTGATATTTGGAAATTTGATCTTGTTGGTGTCGTTGTTGCTGTTATTGATGTCTGAGTGTGAATTTTTTCTCTTTCTTTCGCCTTTTTTTAATCAGAGGATGTAACTTTTTTCATTTGTCAGGATTTCCTTGTAAGCTATGCCCTCCAGGAAGCTACAACAACAAAATGCGGGCAGAAACTTGTTACTGCTGCCCTCCTGGCTACAGTAGCACTTACATGAAGACATCCTGTCGAGCGTGCCCTGCTAATGAATACGCTGATCAGGGAAATTTTCCAAATTGCACACTATGCAGGTCCTGCTTCACAAACGATTCGTGTAAGTTGAACAGAGTGTTACCGTGATCTTTTTTGATAACTAACTTTTATTGTTCTACTTTAAAGAAGAGTATCGATCGGTTCCTTGTGTGTGACTGAGATTTGACGGCCTACATACCTGGTTGGAGCTGTTTCCAAACGCAAATCTCCTTTTTGTTTTTTTCTGTTATCTTTTATTTTCAGGTTGCGGTGTTCAGTAGTTCGTGTAGCTAAGCAAAGCATCATAAAGGGTGGAGAGGCTAAAGAGACCTCATTTAAATCATACTGCTGTGTGATTTTAAACTGTCCTCCACGCACCTAAATCTTGTTGAATGACGAAAAACTCAAGTCATTTAAGCTCAGGGCACATCATGTGCGATCTCAAAAATGGGATGTAACGTTTCGTAGCAGTTGCTTGAAATTGGCTCGGCTCTCTTTTTATCATTATTAAAGGATACGAATTCAAGGTCTTTACGAGCAGCTAATATTTATATTATTTTTCAATAACAGCTCCTGTGGTGTTGATTGCAAATAGGCGCCGAACTTAGTGTTGATTATGTATTGTTAACTTGCGAAGAATCTATTGTGGTCATCTTTCACTAGGTAATGTCAGGCAGTATAGACATACTTAGTTGTCCATGTTTTTAGGTTAGGTCAAGTTAAGTAGGTAGTTAGTAAGTAAGTAGTCGTGCATCTAGCGATTAAAGCTTTTCCACGTTCTTTTAAAACGTTGTTCTTTGCTTAAACACAACAGGTCCATGTTTGGGAGACCCTTGCTATCCCTCAGTAGATTGTCACAACGTTGGAAATGGGTCATTCGTTTGCGAATCATGCCCAGATGGGTTTGAAGGAGACGGAAAGACGTGCACTGATATCAACGAGGTAAGTCGGCAACACTGGACTAATGCTGGCAGGTTGATTAATATGAGAACGTGAAGCTATCTCCCAATTATACACCATTTGAGATCTATCCGGTCACGTACATTAACGCACTGCCCGGCTATCTGGGTACATCAAATTGTTAAATGATATCCCTACCAAAAATTCTGCGTATTCTTCACAAATTAAACTTGATATGAATACCCCCCAGAAATTAGAATACATATCTGCTTTGTTTAGTGTGTCCTGGCAAACCCATGTTACAAGCCTAATGAGTGTGTGAACCTTTCTCCGGGGTACCGCTGCGGAGGATGTCCAAACGGTTACCGCGGCAATGCTCCATCAGGAGTGGGCCTTGAGCACGCGCAGAAGTACAAGCAGAAGTGTGAAGAAATCGACGAGTGTAGCGAAGGAATTGACACATGTGATCCGAACTCAAACTGTATTAACACATTGGTAGGTGTGAAATGAATGGTAAGGATTAGCTCTTTATGAAAAATTGCGGCCTTTTTCTTTCGATGAGTTGGCTTCTCACGAGCGGTTCTTCCCATCCCTCCTTCTATATAACATTTCCTTAGATATGTTAACCATGCATTCCATCAACGTATACGGTAAATATGCAAAAGTTGTGTTACGCACACTCAAGAACTGAATAACATTAGGATTGACATTGGGTTCAGAACTTTTTTAAGGAACTCATCGTTTTTCATCGTGGTGAGGAGAAAATATGAATGGCTAAAAGAAAAACGATATTCAACACTATTAACCTATTACTCCCTAACATCAGTATGCATATTCTCCATACTACTCTCTAGACATTTCCTAGGGTTCTGACAAGGAGAATTTGTTCAGCAATCAAGAGCTTCTTTAGTTGGTGATCATCTCCTTTATTCTCATGACCTTAATGTTTGACTTAGGGGTGATGTTGTAAGGAGAAATTAGATGTTAGTCACTCTTAGGGGTTTCAGGGTTAAGCTTTTCTAAGGGAAACACCTTTCGCCGAAGAAAAGATGAGTAACGTGCTCGTTAGAAATATAAGAATCTTCTGTGGTACACGAAGGACCAGTTGTCAACAGATTTGAACCCACACAATTAAAATTGCAACATAAAAAAAAATGTTTGAATGACTTTCTCAGGGTAGTTTCAAATGCAGCCCATGTAAACCAGGATTCATTGGGGATGGTTATCTTGGCTGTTATCCCGGTGACCTGTGCACCAGCTCGCAACATACCTGTCAAGCGAATGCACAGTGTACATCGACTGGAGCAGGAAGATACAAGTGCACGGTATGAAAATTGCAGATATAAAGTTGTTGGATTAAGGCCAAATTACGCTCAGTGAAGAGCGTGGAGGTACTGATAAAAAAATGAAACTGTTTTAAGAAATAAGTGATCAGATTTTTCAGTTGCCTCTCTCTGCATCTTCATTTTTATTTAAAAAACGATGATTTATCAAATTACAACGCTAAACTGGCGAATTAATTTTAAAGACTACCATCCGAAACACAAAACCACCTTAAACTCTAATGGGGGCTTCAAAATATGCCGATGAACTTGATAGGAGTTGTAACGAAATTGAAAATGTTAAAGAATAATATTAACATATAAAATTAACATAAGATGTACAATCTTTGAGGCAGCTATTAGAGGAAGAATTTGTTAAAGCCAGAAATGCAGTGAGATTGATAAGAGTTATGGTTTTTCAAATGTTCAGTTGAGGTTACAATCTTTGCTTCATTTTCACGCAGTGTAAAGGAGGTTTCGCAGGTGATGGAGAAGAGTGTGAGGTCGATCCCGATTTGGATGACATTCCCGTCAAAGGATTGAGTTGTACCTTACCTAACTGCAGAAAGGTTTGTTTTTGACTTTATTTGTTTGAAATGCTGACAGCGCTATTTTAAGGTTTTCTGTTAACCCGGTGCCGATCCCATCCTTCAAAACCAGTCTCGATCCTTTGAAAGGCATTCTTCCGTCTTACGTGAATATTTTACTTTTTCCATCGTCTAACCAGATGATCCCTTTTTTCATTGGATCAGTTATTTGATATCTACCTTGCAGGATAATTGTCCAAGTGTACCGAATACGGGCCAAGAAGACAATGATGGTGACACGGACGGTGATGCTTGTGATGAAGACGACGATAACGATTTGGTTCCTGATAATAAGGTTACAAATGTCACACTGAATCAATTTTAATCTTTTTTACTTAATCTCAATACCAGATGCTTTCGACATTGCCTTTCTTAGCATTATGTCGGAAGCTTGTCACACGTGAGTGGCCTTTTCAATTTCCGTGCCAAGTGATAAGTTCTCGTCAGTTCCGATAACGAAAAACCTGATCGTAAAATCGGAGGGTCTGAGTATCCAGAAATCCGAATTTTTCGTTGACGTTTGTCTACTTATAGCAAATTTCAACATTTTTCTTTGTTGAACCATCTTTTTTTTCTTCCATCATAGGATAACTGTGTTTTTGTGGATAATCTTGACCAAATAGACACTGATAAGGATGGCGTGGGGGACAAATGTGATAACTGTGTGGCTGTTCATAACCCAGACCAGACAGACACTGACGGGGATGGTGATGGAGACGCGTGTGATGATGATCAAGATGGAGATGGTAAATATCAACAGGACCGTTTACTATGACAGCAAAGTAAGAACTTGATGAAATTGAAAAAGCTCTATCAAGAGCCGATCGCTAGCACTCTACTGGTAATAAGGGGAAATGCCCGAATGTTCGATTATCATAACTTTTTACTTTTTCTTTTTGACAAAGAATGGCTCACATGGCAGTTAACTCTTAGCTACGGCCTTGAAGTAGGACTATCGCTTCACAAAAATTATCATAGGGTGTTCAAGTTCATCGTTTGTAATCTCTCTACCATGTATCTTTGAAGTTTTTCTTTTTCTCTGTTTATCTTATTTCTTGGTTAATTATTTTCTTAATTTATTTTTCCTTTCCTACTCAGAACTTGAACTTGAGCTCTTGAACTTAAGAGATATCAATTTTATAAGCTCTCAAAAACTATATCTACATGTTGTGTATTGGCTCCGAGGTTAGTGGTTCTAAAAGAAATAATGGCGTATTCTTATCTATATCCCACGAAACCAGGAAAATTGAATCCAAACGACACGTGCCCCAGGTTAAACGCTATTGGCGACCATGTTGATGATGATGGGGACGGTGTGGGTAACCTGTGTGACAACTGCCCAAAAAACTACAACGCTTTGCAGAATGGAAAGCAGGTATGCCCAGAAAGACCTTTTGCAGGACACTCAGGTCCTAGACTATTGAAATCGATTCATTTTTGAATGGGATCATGATCAGTATGCCCAGTCTTTCACGTTTTGCGTAAGTCTCCACTGAACGATAGCTAAGCGGACTTTCTGGGTTAAACTTGTTCTGAATTACTTAATCGCTGATATTTACATCTACATTATCAAGCCAGCAGAACTCTTTTATTTTAACAGTATTCAACCTATAGAGACGAATAAACAATGCAATTCGTCTCATTTGCATGCCACAGTAATACAAGCTGGGTTTGAAGCTCAACTCTTCCCTTAATAAGAACCGAAATATTACGTTGAATTCTCTGTTTCTTGTGTAATTTCTTGGTCATACCTACATTTTATGTTGTCAATGTGTTCTCCGGTCTTTTTCTCTCTATATATTTTGTAGTCTCAAGGTATAACTATACTTGTGCTTGATTTCATCTCTTAGCCGGACAGTAACGAGAACGGGTACGGAGATGTCTGCGATGGACCTGGAAAAGACAAGTAAGAGACTAAAGAAAGACAAAATAATAATGATAAACGATACATGCCCGATAAACCTCCACCGGATATCTAGTGGTGGAGTTGAAGCACAGAAACTATTAAGTGCGACACGCTTCTTACATATAAGGGTTTGTTTTCAGGGATGGCGATGGAGTTCTTGACGAGTTTGACAACTGCCCTGATTTACCAAATGGCGAACAAGGAGATGCCGAGGATGACAAGATAGGTGAGAACACACAATATGTTTGAAGATTTCAATATTCTTATGGCAAAGCGAGGAGCTAAGAAATTATCAGAAAGTGTACAATGCTGCTGAGATCGTGATCTCCTAAAAATTGTCCTAAAAAAATGAGATGCTTGTTCGGAATAAATGACTCGCGTGTGTCTGAATTTCTAATTCTAGAAGAACGAATGTAGCTCATTGTTATGAAAGGTGAAGAAAAAAAGACTAGCCCGTTTTCATCGACGGGTTAGAATAACCATGCGTGAGTTCTTTTAGATTTCAAATGGTGCTCATAATTCCTCCGTTCTAATAAAAAAGGATTTGCTTTGTTTTCCGCAGTCCCGGAAAATAGAATTGACTTGAGCGCATATTCGTTTGTGATTGATTTTATGTGAAACTGATATTTTTGCAAGGTGACGCATGTGATGACGACCAGGATAATGATGGCATACCTAACATACGGGATAACTGTCCCATGATCAGTAATCCTAACCAAGAACATCACAAGCTATCTTATGATGACAAAGGTAAGGAACAAAAAGTAGCAATAGTCGCTGTGCAAGGGAAGCAAGATGTCGTGAAATATCGTGCGACATGATATTTAAAGAAAACACAAGTTTTTATTAGTTTTAAAAATCCGGTAGAGGTTGATGCTAATACTAATTTTTTTATGAAATTTTTGGATTGACATTGATCCAGAGAAGAAACAATGAAACGATCGCATAGTTGTCTATTTCTTTCGTTTTAGGACTGATATATATTTACATAAAAAGCTGAATCCTATATGCATTTTGAACGGCTTTTTAATTATGATCTATCGGAGGTTAAACTCGTAGATAACGTCATGAAAACACTTTGCTCTTTTATCACATTAAACAGATAAATTCCATATTGCCGTGCATCTGTACGGTATTAGATCACAGAACACGATAAAATGTGGCAAGAACATATTAATTTATTGACTGTGCCTCGTGTGCCTATTTTTGCTCTTACCTCTTCACATTTTGACGTCATCTGTGAACCTGTTTGTTAAATATACTGTGACCCCTATGTGACTGGACCAATTTATCAAGGAGGTAATTATACACTTAAAAGTCACAGTGAATTCCTCCACATATGCCATTTTATTTTCAGCTCTTCCTGTGGGCGACGCATGCGTTGAAGATTATGACGGCGATGGTGTCCCGGATGTCGATGACACGTGTCCTCATGCAAAACATATCAGCAAGACAAGCTTCCTCGATCATTTCACAGTGGATTTGTACCCAGGACACAGTGACCCGGTTCCCGAGTGGAGGGTGGCAAAAATGGTAAAGAAAAAGGGAGACTTATGAAAGGTCTTGGACGTGAGGTTTTCCCTTTCTTTTCCTCTTCCATCTTAGAGACTTCCTTATATTACAGGAAATCACAAAATGATACGAATAATGATAACGCAAAAAGGCAATCAAATAATGATAAACATCAAAGGAAAATGGATGGCCAAGAAAGATTCTAAATTTAAAAAAAAACTTGAAATAAGGAACTACAAAAGAAGGAAAATTTGTCATTATTATTATCACTATTATCACGACTACAACTATTGGTATTATTATCATTGTCACCATTTTTGGATAAATGGTCCCCAATTAACGATATTTGAGAGAAAGAAAACATGAGATATTCATAAAATCATTTTGTTCCCCTCTTTTTTCTCCTCAGAGATTTATGATTAGTTAGGCGATGCACAGTATTCTGCCGGACTGATGTTGCAGTACAACTTAGAGTTGGATGATCTGAGAAATGCAGAAGATGTAATTTGGGGCTGTTTTATGTAAGAACAATGCTTGGAAGCATCATTAATATTAGATTTTATCCTTAACTTCCAGGGAGTCGATGTTGAACACCTGACCAACACAAATCATCCAGGAATGCTAATATGTAAGTTCCTTATCTTTCATATCTCTTTTGTACATGGTTTTCTTGCTTGTTTGTTTCTTTGTTCGGTTTTTTTTTAGGCTTATAATGTGTAAAGTTTTTGGAAGTACAATTTTAGCTTAAGATTACGTTTTCATAATCGAAATTCTTTTCTAACTTTATCGCTGGAATAACTCAGGTTCTACACGTTACGGACCCGTTGATTACAGTGGAACAATCTATGTCAAGGATCGTGAGGGTTCTGACTATTTGGGTGTGGTTTTTGGCTATCAGTCGAATCGAAAGTTCTATGTGGTTATGTGGAGAAGGGAAAACATTAATTTTGGCCAAGCTGATATCAACGCTGGTATAAAGGGACTGCAGCTGAAGGTAGGAAGTTATATCTTAGATATAAAAATAGTGCAAACTAATACCATGACACAACGTAAGACCATTCCTTCATTCAATACAAATATAAAGAAGGAAAAACTAGCCGTTGGATATTGCTGTTACTGGGTTCTGACTGATATCCAGGCAGATAGAAAAAAAACCAGGGACTGCAATTGTAGCAGTAAACAAAGACATTTTCCTTGAAATTTGATGCAGATTTTTGAAGTGTTTTAATTAAAAAAGAAAAAGGGAAAAGGACTATTCCACTCGCATTTGGTGGATATGGGTAGCTAGTGATAATTTTTTACCATCTCAAATTCAAAGCAAGCTCGTTGGATAATTGTTAAATGCAAGATAGAAAAATCGGAAGGTCAGGGATTCGAATCCTTTCGGGGACTCGTATTCCTTCTTAGTCTTACGCACTCGACATAATGCTTAGAATATTTCTGTGATTGCTCTGTACCTCACTACAGTTATTGTTTTTATGGATACGGTGGAACTGTGAAGTGATTAGATCTGACTTGATTTACAAGTCGTCTCTTACACAAATAGCTTGTAGACTCGAACACTGGACCAGGCCCAGACTTGGCAAAAGCGTTATGGTACTCAGGCGATACTTTAAATCAGGTAATTGTATTTTTTTTCTTATTCATGGTAGTATAGCGCCAGAACCTCCATACGAAGCGAGATAAAAAACACATCAAGTGAAGAGAATTTTTTCCTCACGTGCTCATTCTGCCCCGCCATCAACTATTTTCCGTCCTTTCGTAAGCATAATGTCCCGAGGTTCACCAGTCAATATTCGACCGCTGACTTTTATGCCACCGCGATATTTCTTTGCGTAGAAGGAGAAAAAGCGCGCACGCTGAATGGCGCTCCAACTAGAACTTGAAATAAAATCCTTTCCAGAGTGCAGTTGTTCGTAATGTCAAAGTGTTCAACTGCACAGTTTTGGCAGTTAAATGATCCTGTAAGTACTTCAAACTCCACAGGGACTCCACACATAGCTCACTAAATCTAGGGGGCTACTTAATAAAAGATTTAGGCGAAAAAGTTCGCTCGTACGACTCTCGTGGCGTCCCTTGCATCTTAGAGAAGCTCTTGTGTTTACCAAAACACCTCTGTTGCATTTCAAAAGCGCAGTAACGATCCTCTAGGCGTATCAAACTCCAATGAGGAAAGACAGCTTCACTGCATTTGATCAAGCCCGTAAACACACTGCAAACCAAGGCCAAACATCATGCGCTCTGCTGCTGACCTTTTTATACCTTGCGCACGCACAATAAACAGTAGAGGGCGATTTGCAATTGGAAGAAGAGAAACCCTTCCCATTTCAGTACTCTGGCTCTCCAATGGAATTGCACCTTTTTTTTTTCAGGTAACTCTGTTATGGGACGATCCACTTATGAAAGGATGGCAGCATCAGACTCCATATGGCTTCCTCGTAACTCACAGACCATCCATTGGTCTGATAAGGTACATGTGGATACTTTCTGCATGGCTTCTGAAAAACAGCAATACATAAATAAGCCAGGCATATCACTTCAGCATAAAAAAGCCATGAATTTTGAAAATATTTTGTTGCAATTTGGGATAAGTAATTCAAGTCTTCAGAGTCATCAGAGTCATAACCATTGTTAACCCCTCTCTTCAGAGTTCAGATAAAACAAGGAGACAAGATTTTAACTGATTCTGGAAACATCTATAACACAGTCCTGACCGGTGGGAGACTGGGCATGTTTGTCTTTGGTCAACATGACGTCATCTGGTCCAGACTTGAAGTTCGTTGTTCAGACAGGTAAAATGACGTGACAGGTTGAATAACATGATTGGTATATGCGTTGATATGCTCAGATTACCATCTTATGCTTGCTCTACTCAGGAGGGTTTTCTTTGTTCAAAGTACTGTCAACCTGTGTCTTTCATATCTGTATAAGAATGAGCACTATCTAAAGCGTTACTGCCTATGTATTATTTTTTCTTTATTTCTTTACGTAACTTGCATGTTTTCCTTCAATTGCAAATAGGCCACAAATGAATCTACACTGAGTGCCTACGCGCCTTAACTCAGTTTTCCCCTAGATTCCCGATCCTTTCGTCATTTTTTTCTCATGGATGTCGCATTTGTATAATTTTGTCAGAACTTAACCATTCTTTATTTTGTTGCAGAATAAACCAAGCCTTGATGTTTGACGGTGTTGACGATCACGTGACTCTACCATCCATTCATACTTTAGGTTTAACAAATAGGTATTTATTTCAAGTATAAACATTTTTCAGCCACTGTTTTGCACTATTTTTTAATACTATAAACTTAGGATACCAAAAGTAGTCCTATTCCTTTTCAGCTTCACGATCAGTGTGTGGGTAAACATGGCAGCGGACTACCCCATGACTGTCATGCCTATCGTTTGCAGTGATGAAGGAATGCTTTGCTTATACCTTAGAAACAGGTTAAGATTGAAATTGAAAGATCTCGTTAATTATTTATTTATCCAGTTATCTAGTCAGAAATCCTCGATACATGGCCAAGTGGATTATTTCAAAATACACTCTTGGCCAGAGGAAATGATTTTTTGTCATTGATCCGGGAAATGAACTTTCCTGTCTTTAACTTGTTTGTTCGTTTAAAAACATCAAGAAATCGCAGGATTCCCAATCTTGAAAGTCAGAGTAAGGCATCGTAAATACCTAATGCGTCACCTATCCCTGATGTCTGTTATCATTGTAGACTTTGATTCTTTTTTGTTTGCATTGTTTTTTAAGACACATTCATGGAAACTTAGGAAAATCTACCGTGGAAGGAAGTGAAGTTATAGAACCAGAGGAATGGCATCATCTTGTGTTTCGATTTGATGCGCAACGTATGTTTGATTCGTTTGTCGGTTTTTTCTTTCTCTCTTTTTGGGTAGCCAGGTTCTCTCTCAGTACTTTTAAGTAAAATCACGTCGTACATGAAAAGCGCACCCGCTAAAACACATACACATTACTTTATCTTGTTCCAGGACACGAGATTGAAGTATTTGTAAATGGATCATCGGTTGGTAAAAAGACTGATACTACTCCGCACAGCTGGGTGAGAGATAAAATAACTCATTTTATTCGGAGTTTCTGTCATTTTACAATACAAGAACCTTTCACTAAACTGTGTTCTGTTTTTTGGGGGTTTTTTTCTAGTCTCCCAATATTAAGCTTTCTATTGGACGCGATCAGAAACACTTCTTAAATGGAACAATTGACGATGTAAGTAATAATTAAGAATTGGTTCGTATGTCAGCGTGCGTTCATCGTGTTATGAAGCATGCGGGAGGCATAGAGAGCCCAAAAGATGCGAAGCAAACAAACCCGATGTGAGAATATCTTTGGGGCTGTCCTGGTGTACCGGTACACGAGGGAATTCCTTTTGTTTTCATAACCATACATGGAGTTATGACGCAGTTCGTTAATGTTTCCTTCTTTTGTGTACCGGTACACGAGGACACAACCATATCTTTTCGCTGAACGCCATAATCGTGATCAGTTTTCCATCGCAATGCTCAAAGCCATAACGAAAAAAGGATAAAAATAAAAATGAATTAGTGTATGATCAAATTTCCGTTCATTTCTTTCTGACAGACGTATCCATGACAAAAGTGTCGCGAATTGAAGTGTTCATTGCTGCAAAGATCACTCATATCCAGTGTCTCGAATGTAGTTTTGTGGCTGTGATTAAAAGATTTAGTTTAAAAAATTAGCTTAACTGGAACATCCTTCCCAAATTCTTTTATTGGAAGGCTTTACTTCTGAGGATCTAGTAGATCTCTCTCGTCAAGAACACTTTAGGAGGATTGCAATGTGTGAGGTGATTTAAGAATGTAGCATTTTTTACCCTTTAAGCTCTCTTTGTTCACTATATAATACCCGCACATTGATTTGGATGTATTCTCAGTTGACCCTGTGGGGAGTACGAGTCCCTGATGATGAGATCATAGAGTACATGAAGCTTGCGGGATTGACTTGGCCTATTCACAAGGGACTGGTACGGGCCCACTTCAATATGGAGGATATTTCCGGTTCGATTATCTTAGATCAGGGAGGCAATGGTTTCCATGGTAACCTTGTTGGGAAGCCCTTGTTTGTTCCGGTTAGTTAATAATGGCTATCGATGTTACTAGATTTCTCGATCTTTGTATCACATCTGGAATTATTCCAATAAGTTTCGGTCCATCGTTATTATGTGCAAATTGTGGGTACTCTCTACTAGCTCTCCGTCAAGATTCTGTGTCCGAACAAAGTCCATCAGGCAGAATATGACGACATAATTAAATTTGAAAACGATCTTGTTCAAAATTAGAGAAGTTGGGCTCGAACTGGCTAACCGTTCTTCGCAAAACTCGCTTTTCTGAGTTTAAGAAGGACAAAATTCAACTTCCACGCACGGACTTTAAAAGAAAAATGATGTACCTTCAATTTGCACTGATAATGAGGGAGATTTAAGAAGCAGAAGGGTTATCCTTTTGCACTTGAGATTGCACAAGGAGAAATTGCGTAAAAACTCGTCCAATAAAAATCAACCAGTGAATGCTTCGCCGCCAATATTACAGATCTACATTTTTTCGCTACTGCAAGAAAATGTCTCAAGAACTGTATGCATTCTGCCACATGCAAATTCTCTTTGATGCTGTACTAACGTTGGCAGTTTCCTACCGAAACTATATTGGTTACTTAACAGAAAACAAAACTGATAGATAACTTTAGTTTTCAAGAAAAAAAAAAGCTTTTTGTTTTCTTTCAGCAACATAACCAGCTGTTTAAAGATAAAAAATTCGATTTAAAAAATTCACAGGGAGTGAAAAATATTATGCAATTCAGTGCAGAATATTTTTCTTCGATGTCTTGATGGATGTTTAAGTCTACCTGTTTGAATTTTCATTGTTTACCTGTTTCTCAGTTATTGGCCGTTTGAATGCCTTTTTGTTTGTATGATCGTTTCTTTATTTTTTTGTTTTATTACAGAGCACCGTGGATAAAAATCGATTTGTGATCTCCTTTCCAAACAATCGACGAAGAAGAAACATTAGGAGTCCATTCATCGCTACTTGGGCGAGGAGACACTCGGAACTTTGATTTTTTCGTGTTAACTAAGGGCGACTTATATGATATGCAGACCCAACCAACAGAAGTAATTTAAGGGCCAATTCATGTGCTGACGATATATTTATTCAAGAGAAACAACAATGCTAAGAATGTCTCGGTGAATTAATGAAAAACAGACCCTCATTGAGCATGACAAAAAATGTGAAACTTTCACCAGAGTGTTGTTTTAATATCTTTTGAGGACTATTTATTTTATCTTGCCTGTTTACTTTTTAAAATTGGCACGTCTGAGTCTGTGTAAATCGAGTTAGACATGGGAGGGAGGGGGTACTTTGGAGGTCACAAGAGAAGCGTAAGCTTTTCTGAAGTTTTATATGATATCCGAGTTGCGTTCAATACTCAAAAGCATGATATAATTTCTTTTGAAATAAACCAGCATCGACTTGGTTCTGGAAACGTGTTTTATTTCTAACTGAGAACAACCTTTTAGTGATGCACAGTGGAGAAAAGAAAAGAGCTATGGATGGATAATTGAAGACCTCAACAAACATTGCTCCAGTTTGAGCGAAGCCGTTACATTAAGTTAAAAACCCAAAATTTTGCCCAAAATGTGCTTGCATCTGAGGGTCACAGACCATCACGGATTACTTTCATCGTTAATAGAGAAGTCTGACTTGACGAGACGGAAGGTATAGTAATAACAGTTTTACTGGTAGGAGAATACTCGAGGATTCCACAATGAGACCTTAAAATAATCTACAAGCACTATTGTAAGACTTTGCCAAATATTTCGGCAATAACTCGCCTCAATTTTTCTTTAAGGGATTCCAGGATTAAACCGCACAATTATCTACAAGAGCAATTGGACTTGGATGAGCGGGTATCACTGGTGCAATATTTTTTTCATTCCGTTTACAGGGGATATCCTAAAATGGATTCCAGCAGAAAAGCCTACCGGTGTAGTTACAAAAATGGGACAAGAACTGGAATGTATTATCATGTGCAAGAGTGCAAATTCGTTCACTGGAGATTAAATCTATTTTAACCTCTAGGTACTTTTTTGTGAACGATTAAAATTAATTGCAGACGGTTTTTAGGCCGCTTGTCAACCAACGTGATGACACTATTGCTTATACAAATTCATTCTAAAACCAATATTTTTCTGTCAACCAAAGTGATTTGATAGAGAGAAAAGAGAGGATTCATAAGTTGTGTATCGGTTTGAGGTAGTGACCGACGTGTTTGCTTAAAAATACTGCCCAGCCGGGAAAACGAGATATATTTATGAAAAATGGCAACGGAATTTGGGATGTACTCGGCGATTCACGAAAGCGTTACCGTGGCCCGTGGGCAGAGATAGGAAAATACTGACCGGGTAAAGAACCAATCAGATTGCAGGATTCGTTACCGTGCCCTCTTAAAAAAAATAAATAAATAAATAATGATTATCTAGTGAAGATATAAATTTCCTTTACGTTCAATTTTCAATGTTTTAATCCCAATTTCAATTTCAAAGAAATTATATTGTAACTGCATACAAGGGGTCAGTAGACGCTTTGAAACGTCAGCTTTAAATTCTTTACTGTGGCCTCTCTACATTATCAACTCAGTTGATAGTAAATTACCTTGTCAGTAAACAGTAGTTGACTGTTTATGCCGTATCAGTTGGACGACTGACAAGGATGCCTGACTGGTTGGAAAGATTGACGGTTGAGCGTTTTCAGGTGCTGTTCCTGGCCAACTCTATTGTTTTTGCCGCACGCCACCATTGCTTTCATTTTCCTTCTGAAGTTTTGGCTAAATAGAGCATATACGAAGGGGTTGACAGCAGTATTGAACAAAACCATGACGTTAGAAATGCCGATTTCGACGACACTGGGCTTGTAGTTTGCATAGAGGAACATGGTGTAAGGCACCTGGTTTGCACTCCAACAGATTGCGAAGATGACACTGATGATAACGACCATCAAAGTGAACCGCTTCCTGGCCTTCACCGCGAGCTAAGATTTGTAAGAATGAAAACCTACATGTAATCTCAAGAGAATTATATATCAGTCATACCAAAGTTTAAAACACGTTTTAGAGCCTGTTTACATGAAGATAGGGGACCCCAGGTAGGTGAGGTAATCCGCCAAGTCGTAGTCGAGAAATAACCTGCGTTTGAAACAATCCTTCAAACCCGTGATCCGGGGTTAGATCGGTAGCGCGCTTACGAATAGAACATGAACACGACTTCGGCTTGGCGGGTTACCCCACCTTGAGACGTTTACATGGGAAACTGCGGCCACAGAGTTAGCCAACCTGGCAGACCGGACAAACAGATTTATGGGCCCGTTTACATGGCGGTGGGTGAGGTAACCCGTCTAGGTGAGGAAAAACGCCTGTCCATATAATCTCTTATCCGTAGAAGTTGTTTAAACTAGCTATACAAAGTTTGTCGACTTCGGGTTAAGGTAAAGGAAGTTATTGACAACCAAAACCCAAAGAACGTCGAAACGTTGTCAAACATTTTCCACGAACAGCTTTGACAAGTTTCTAGAAATGTTTGGTATTCAATGACGTTGTAGTATTGAGCTTCGCTATCGAACTTCTTCCGAAATCTCCCCCTCTGAGAGGTCCTCAATGGGGTTAACCGTTAGCCGTAAAATGGCCAAAAAATTTAGCCCTTAGGCGTAAAAATTGAGAAATATAAAACGTTAGTCGTTGATAAAGTGAACTGCATAAAGCTTTACAAGGTAATTTTGGCACTATGAACTGAGTTGCTAACGTAAATTGGCCACCGTAAAGTGTTTTAAAGCCGAAGTTTCGAGCGTTAGCCCTTCATCAAAGCGAATCAAGAATCGTCATTCGCTCTAAAGAAGGGCTTACGCTCGAAACGTCAGCTTTAAAATTCTTTACGGTGGCCAATTTAAGTTAGAAACTCAGTTCATAATACCAAATTACCTTGTCATACTCTCCCACCAACGCAGCACTACAGTTTCTTTAGAAGCTTATCTCTTGTAAAATGTTTTCCTTTCTACGATGTGTCATTTTGCATTATTTTAGGTTAACCGTAACGATAAGATGGCCAAACTTCTAACCGTCGGTAGTAAAAGCCATCACCCCATATGTCATATGTAAGACATTCTTGACGCTACTCACACTCTGCTCCTGATTCACTTGTCGGACACCAGCAGATTTGAACCATAAGGTGTGCACGACTCTAAAGTACAACACAAACATCCCAAACAAGGAGCCAAAGACGACGAGATTGGAGTAAACCCCAAACGCTTTACCCATCCACTCCTCGGGCCATATACCCGCGCAAAAGTTGTTTCTGAGTTTGTTGATCATGATTAACGGGATATTAAAAACAAGCCCGAAGACCCAAGAGCCAGCTATTATTTTCTGGAAAGCAAGAAAATGAAACAACACGTTAAACCCTTTAAACTGCAAGAGTAACTAAAGTTTAAATTTCTCTGTAACAATATCATTACTTTTTCAAATAAAAAGGGAATGAAAATCAACCAAAGTATATTGTTGGATTTCACCAATAACTGTATCAAAAAAAAAAAAAAAATGCTCGAACAGGAGTGGTTCATAACAGCTTTTACAATTCCACTATTCCGTCAGTTTATCATATTAGGGCAATGGAAAGCGCAAAATATGTGACGGTAATATACTGTGGAACAGGACAAAAATACGGACAGAAACGATTCGCGCGTTTTTTAATTCCTTTGACGTTTTTAAGAGGTGATTTCTTTTAGAAAAAAACTTCGAGGCCGACAGAAACTTTTTGGTCATCATGAACACTTAGATGGTTGCTTTTGCCAGTTGTACTCTTCTTCCACGTAAGCCTCGTGGGATCGTTACGATGCTCAGATAAGCTAGTACGAAGTTTCGAAAAGTACTTAACCAAAAGACCAGAAAATGAAATAGTAGTGAAATAATAAATCTCGTATTCGATGGTCTAACATCAAAGACAAGCGGACATTTTGCTCGTTGACTGTAAATATATGAAAATCATGCGAACTTTCACTCACTCGAGTGAACTGCGGACTAAGAAACGAATATGGAAGCAATCTTCCCTTTGATGAAAACTACTTTAGCAGTACAGGCTTGAATTTTTTTTCATGCCTTACTTTCACCACTGCTTAAGTAGAGTTCATTACCACGAAGATCGCTTCCATTTTCATTTTGCCCATTGTTCGTATTTTTTCGCGCCTCCAAGGGGCTCGGAAAAATGTTACGTAACTGGCAAAATATCCGTCAAAAAGTGAATTACGAATAAAGTCTTTCCATTTTGATAGAAAACCTAATACAAACCTTTACGGCACTGATTGAACATTTCCATTTATTTCCAAGTGGGTAGACAACTGCGTAATACCTTTCGATGGCGATTGCCAACAGAGTACAAATGGCAGCTATTGCTGCTACCCAAGCGAAAGACCCATTGGTTAACATCACGCATAGAACATCACCCGCTAAGCCTGTTGGGTGACTTAAATTGAATCTGAAAATGTACATGGGTATGATGAGGGTCGCGTACAAAGCGTCCGCCATTGCGAGGTTGAGAATCAGATAGTTGATCGGAGTCCTGTGTTTAAAAATACACCCGATTATCAAGAAAAATATATGTAGAGAGTTGTGGGCCACAAAGGCACAAATAAAGGCTTCCAAACAAGAGTTAAATGAAACACACAAACAACAGTCTGGCTCGCTTTCCCGCTTCCTCTCTACCCTCAAAGTCCCCGGCCGGGATTGACTTGTCCTTAATGCGATACCGCTGGCTTTGTATCCTATATTTCTGAACAATGGACCGTTTCCGTCGATGTATAAGCGTTTGTCATCGATCGATTAATTCATTATATTCTTGTAAAAACGAAGAAAACAATTTCACTCCGTGTATCACGCACTTCTTGTACTAAATTTTCCAGATAAATGAACCCAAAACATCCTGGAATCGCCACATGCTTTAACTTTGAATTACACCCTCAATAACTCGAAACCTCGATTACTTGGGAAGCCCAAAAACGCGAAGGAATAAAGTTTTGTAATCAGATGAATTTCCTTGCAAGCCTATATAAATACCTCATGTCTCGATGTTTTCGAATTATCGCACAAACCAGTGAATTTCCGGTGATATTTACAACGACAAGTGTGAAGAGAACCAACGTTATGACAACAGAAGCTGACATGACAGTGCTGTTTTCAAAAGCTAAATGATAATTAGGAAAAATAAAATGAGAATGGATTATCCATCAAAGCATTACTAATTATATGCTTAAATGCTCTGTTTTATTGCCTGACCATGTAGTACACACATTTCATTAGTTCTAGTCAACCGATTTCGTGTAAAGTACATGTATTTTACACTCTTATGAGTCTTATGGGTGCTTTTTCTGTAACACGCAGGTGCGTGTAGTGACGCGCAGTTTGCGTGTTGCGTACGTGCAGCGGTGCTGTAGTTCACTGACCTTGGAGGATGAGGCATTTGTTGTCAGAACGCTTACCGAAACATTATTATAAAAATGGCAAAAATGGACAACAACGTTCTTAATTTTTTTGACTGCGTAAACCAAAACATGAACTTTAGTGTGGGTCCAAAGCACACAGGACAATAGATTAACCAAGCACGTTAACGATTGGAAGTTAGACAAGACATGATTTGGAAACTCATCGCGATAGTTTTAGCCTATCTTATCTCCTGAAAATGAAAACTTCGAGCTGTTTGGCACTTTGATAGGGTGTGAAGTATGTGTTCCAAAAAAACACTTTCATTTCGCAAAAAAGAACTACTCGCTCCTCACAAGTTACTGCGCAAATGTTACATATGTAACTGTCGCCCTCTTGATATTTTTAATATCTGTCGTATTTACTTCGATTACTCGTGGTTTGGTTACACGCGCCCGAACGGACTCAGATGGCCCCACGTTTCAAAGAAGCTCGCTTTTCATTAAGCAGAAAAACTGAGAAATTAAACCATCGTATAATACGTGTATTTAAAAACCACTAGGGGACTGTAAAAAGTTACCTTATATCAGTTACGAGTAGAAGATCCCTCTTGTTAAGAAAAAGAACGGTCCATTGCTTTCCAATTTACCTTCACAAGGTGCGCACAGGCCAATATAATCACGAGATATATGAGAGTTGTAGCATGCGTTCAACAGTCCGCGAAGTAGTGGAGAACAAATGATTCAAGTATTATATATCTAGAGGAAATGAATGAATAGCAATTGAGTCGTAAACTCCTCCCCTGACAAGGTAATCCGTCATAGGATGACAGAATTGATAGATCTTTCGTTCAACTCCACTAAGTTTTCTTTTTTTCATTTTCGAGCGGGGAACATTTCCAATGTATTATCGACTATCTTTAGTTAGTATTGTGTGATATTTTTACAGAGTTAGATCAAATGAAGAAAAGTGAGAGATTGATTTGGGCAGGAAGAGTGGGAATTTATCATTTTTCTTTTTAAATATATCGAATTCTTCAAAGGCAAAGCACAGCTTACTCATTAATGAAGATTAAATTCAATTCTTTAATTAACTAAATTACAATGGCAAACATGTGGTAGACTTATTGCAATTTTGACTTTTTCAAAAGACTTGACTTAGGCTGGACTTTTTCCAGCCTTAGAGGTTCTTTTACTTCTACCTTGATATTTCAAACACCAGCTGTAGTCTAATTTTTACTGAGCCAACGACGCTGTGTACCTGACAACAGTGCACACTATTTCTATCGCATTCGACGACATCCAGATATTCTGCGAATTGCGAAATATTTTTCAAAAATTATGCTGCTTTCCAAAAGAGAAGGAAGCGAAAATCCGCTTCGATAAAAAAATATTTTTGCCCGCAAAATCAATTTACTGACATAATCGATACTTTTTTCGCATCTTCACTCGTAGGGACTTTACAAAACCAAGGACGAGACACAAATTTGCTATATCTGTATGACCCGATCAATAGAAAGGTCATAAAAAGCTGGAGACTTAGTGTCATTGTTAAAAACTTCGCTTATCCAATAGAAAAGGACAACTGCTCCGATAACATTTTTTTCCGATGACAGTCAATATCAAGAAATGACGCTAGAAATCGATGAAAGGAACACAGCAGCTGGGCATTTCTCACGGTGCTGGAGACTGAATAATGAAAACTGTTGAATTTTTTATTTTGAATATTTGTTGTCTACCTTCCGAGAAGAAGTGTATTTCATAGTAAAAAGTTTGTTTTTCAGCATTTTCATTAAGAGACATCCAGATATTCAGCATTAGCTTTTTTGAATTGGATACACCTTAAAAACCCATCATTAAGATTGTTCTTTTGAAAAGTTCTTCCTTACTGCAAAGAAGCAGAAAGTACGTCTCTTAATAGGATTGAAAGCTGACCTTTCGGCTTATCCTACTTTTGAAATGCCATAAAACCAATTAATTAACAGTGTTTGAATGTAACGCATCTCGCCGCTCACAAGTGTCTAAGAGCTTTCCTTTTTGATTATCATTGCTAATGGATAGCATTAAAGGTAGAACCCAAAATTTAATCAGGTGTTTTTGTCACAATTCTGGTTTTTTTTCAATAGCTACAGATCACAAATGATGAACAGTGGAGGTTTCCTTTCATAAACGAGCACGGTAACCGTTATTGCTTGTTGGTGTTATCTACTACTTATGGACAAACGAAAAATAATCTCGTGGAAAGAAAAAAAAATGGATCTTATCAGTTGGGTTATCATCAATGACATTTGAATTACATGAACCTCTGCATTTAGAACCAGGGAGAGTATATGAGGTAATGGCGAGACGTTACAACTTCCATATAATAGGCTCCTGTTCTACAGCGTTGCATTATTACTGAAACCTCAGAGCTCAAGAAAACAAAACGATTTTGTTCTCAACGGTATTCGTTTTTTTTTCCTTCGATTGATTCTTGTACAAATCAGTAAAAAAAAAAAAGTACAATAACTGAGGGGAAAAAACTTGAAGTATGTTTACTTATTTAACAATCATTCCCCGAAGTGGAGGTGTATAGTGGTGATTATTTACCAAGCTACGAAGTGGAAACTTCCATAACTGCGTGGCTGAGGTGAAGAGAGCAGACAACCGTGGTAGATATAAAACAAGTGAGCAGCACTGATGGGAAGGGAATTTTTAACGCTTAAAGAATATTTGTTCTGTATTGCTACAACTGGCCAGTTGGTTACATGCTTCAGAGATATAAACGTCATCCAGAAAACGAGAGTAATTCTAGAAAAATAATGATTTCACCGGTCTAAAGAGTTGAAAAGTATAATTTTTTTACGATCTCCAGTGAGCCCTTGAAAATTTAGTCGTTAAGTTTCTTTCGCCAGCTATGGAATACAAGTCAGTTAGGGAGTTAAGTTGAATAGATGAGACGCGTTTTGCTCAATTGTCATACCATTAAGGAAAGGCCGATGATTGCTCATGATTTTTGTTTGTTTGAGTTTTGCTTCCCTGAAAAATTTGAACACAACAACTTAATTACCTTCAACAGATATTTCTCTCTGAATGAAAGTAGCAGATCACAGCTGGGACAGAAAATGTAAATAATTAAAGTTGGAGCACGCAACAATCTATAAATAGAAATAAAACTTTACAAAGTTGAATAAAGTTTTTCCGGCCACCTTAAGCCAGATTCGAGAAACATCAAAGACTGACTCTCCAGTAAAGAGACGTTCCTTATAGGTAAGTTGCAATTAAAGAAATTGCGGTTAAAAGCTGAAAAAAATGGCAGAAACTAAGCAAATGTTAATAGGTTAGGACATTTAGTCACACTCAAATGATATAAATCATGTTTTTTACCCACAGATGGGATATTAGTACAGAAATGAACCTCGCAGGTAGGCTGCAGTCAACGGAATTGCAGAGCAGAAGCCTGAAGACATGCAAACTTTGACGAGACTAGAACCCTTGGCTCCCACCGAGTTATTATCACGCTTACGCGCTGCTACCAACTGACAAACTGTGGAAGACATATTAGGAACAAGGCAAATTCTAGTTGGTTCTCCGTTCCGATAACGGCATCTGAGCATAGTTAAATGAAATAAATCAATTTTGTTTTACGGGTGATGTACAGGTAATCAAATGATTCCCGTGGGTGAGCCACAAGAAAGTGCAGAATAGACTTCTATGATATTGGCTGAAAAAAGCAGAATTTTCAAGAATACCCACGAGTAACTACCACATAAAAGATCATCTTATATCTAAAGCTTAAACAAAATCAAGATGTATTTAGATGTTACATTTTTGCCTTTTATTGGATTTTTAACGATTTTATTCAGAGAGAAAATCACATTCTTTCGTAGCGATCTTGCCCGCTTATGGCTTGCTCCTCTTTCAGCTAATTTAAGGTGGCTTCCTAAAATATTTACGATTGAACTTCCCTTCAGAGCGCGAGTTACGCAATGAAACCTAGTTAATCATGTTATCGCAAAGTTTTCTCTCAAGAGATTTACCAGTTTGGCTAACGATATAAGGCTTCTGTTTTGAGTGCCAATGTTTAGATTAGGGACGTAAACGTCGCAACATGATCTCTATCGACAGGCAGATACAATTTTTGGCCCCCTATGAAATGTTTTCATTCCTCGCCACATTATGGAAATGATATTGTCTGACCGTTTGAAATGGTAAAAATTCAAGGTCGTTCATTTGGTCTTGACAGTATTCTCTGATTTGTCATTTTTCTCAATATAATCGATTTATTCATATAGACTTTTTCAAAAAAATAGGCTATATGATATGGACTGTATGTGGTTGGGACTGAGCCAATTTTCCAAGTTGCCGCACGTCTGTTCATTTAAAATAATAAGAACTATAACAAAATTCTCTAACATGATTGGTTGCCACAATAGTCATACTCGTAATTAACGAATCGGACCCTTACTGACTGAGATGTGATTACGGATCGAATTGAACTCCACTCAGTCCTATTATTATTACTAATAGATCACAGATGACGTCAAAAAGTGGCAAGAACTAAAAAGAGGCACCCGATGTGCGGCTGTTCCACTGTACAAATACATATATTATCTGCATACAGATATCTCAGCAAGTTTTATTATTACTATTTATAAATGGCAATTACTAGTAAGGAATTTGTTTATATTTACAAATATTGATCATGTCAACGTTAGTTAAACCGGAACAATCATTAGGCAACCGCCTTTGAAGAGTTCCCAAACACTGAAGTTAACAAAAAATGAAGTCCTTTTTTCGCCTTTGATACGAAAAATTTTCCCCTTTGAAAGGTCTAAGAGTCGCGCAAACAGTGGTAAACTGGGCATTAGTGGAGCGTTTTACTTTGTATAGAATGATTTACTGCGTAAAACTTAATCTGCACCCAAGAAAACCAACATAACATCTTGACTTAAAATAAACACTAACCTCTCATCTAAACAATGGAGTCACATTAAAAGACTGATTTTAAAATGCAGCCACTTGATAACTTTTGTTGGCTTGAACCTTTTTCATTCTCGTTAAGACATACATTCTCACGTCTCTTGGTAACATTTGTCTCCATAAGATGGTACACCGTAAGAAATATTATTTAAGTTGAATAGGAACACATAAATTATTTCAGAGACAATACAGCAGTTGGAAAACTGATTCTGGACTTTCCTTTCAACAATGCGCAATCATTTTAAGTATTTGCTTCCTTGATGCTCTAATGTTCATCCAAGTGTAATCCACCCAGATGCTCCATTGACAAGAGATAGTTGTATTGAGTTTTCTGCAAGATCTATAACCTGGATTGAGTCGAAATTTCTTTCCTTCATGTACAAATCCTCTTTCTCGCAAACTTCTACCACTCTGGACTGTTAGCTGCATCCTCAAATACCTGGGACACCCAGAGAAAAAGATGGAAATTATCGTAAGAATTAGATGTAAATAGATGTAAAATGTAAGTCGGGGTGACTACTGAGAGAGACGCTAAACCTTTCTCAAATCGTGCAATTCTTTCATTCGTCTTCAGAATGGATAGCAGTGATTGGTTAGTTATTAAATACGAGACTTTGTCTATATAAACAACAATAAATTATACAAAATAGCTCATACCTCCAGAAGATTTCTAGGCCCAACTACATTGTTGGTCATAAATCCTCCCTCGTGAAACAGAGGCCCTCGCCTTCTTTCTGAAGGAGGAGTATATCTCTCGTGCTCAGGGCTACTTGTATGGAATGGTGGAGTAATTAGTTGTTTACTGGTCTCTTCATCTCTTTCTCTGTTGCTATTGTGAAGTTGAGAAAATAACAAGAGCTGCTTTGCATAACTTTCAATGAGAAATATTATCTAGGAAATGGAAACCTTTGGGGCGAGGGGATTTCGTCAGACGAAGGGCTAATGCTCGAAACGTCAGCTTTTTTTACCCCTTACGGTGGCCAATTTACGTTTTCAACTCAGTTGTTAACACTAAATTACCTGCTGTACTCTCCCACCGACGCAGCACCACAGTTTCTTTAGAAACTTACCCCCTTTATTAATTTGGGTGATATTTCAGTTCATATTTTCCCAAAAGCAAAACCTAAGTTATCTCCACAGTGAAGCCTAAGTTCTTTGTCACATATTTATGTGTTCTCTCCTTTCAGATCATGTGCTTACCTTTCTTTCTCAGAATGCATTTGAGGAGATATATTCGTTTGCTCAAAATGGCTGGAGGGAGTTAAGTGAGCAGGCGAACTACAATATCCATCACTGGAAAAAAGATTTATTAAAATCTTTGTAAATATAGTTGAACACAGTAACCTACTCCACTTGTCAAAATCATTGGTAAAATTAAAAAAGTCTCTCGAGTACATACATGTAGAGGTAAGAGGTGTGATTATTATTCAGAATAAGAGCTTAGTCTAACTACAACACCCAAAAGTTGCCTCTATACTTGATACTTTTTTACATTTTACTCACCTGTGCCAAGGAGCCTTTGGAATGGAATGTGTGAGCATCTCCTCAAATGACATGCTACAATTGGGAGTGCTACTACCACTCTCAAAAACGGAATTATTGCAAGATTCTGTGTAAGAGAGAAAAAATAAACAGGAGAAAGAAAGAAATGGATGTAATGAATGGATATATTTTCAATACCTAAAGTTAATACATTTTAAATTACCTTATTTTGATTCTTAGGGATAAAAGTGCCTTTCAATGATTGCTACTTGATAGGGTGTAAACCAGTTGTTTACATTTAGCAGATATACACTTTGATGCAAAAGAGCAAACTATATAAAGATGAAAAACAAGACAAGTAAAGCATACTTCCCCTTACCATCAGAAGAAAAACTTAAGTCCTCATGATAAGACACATCAGATTTTGCAGAGGATTTGGTCCATGCCCATGAATCTGGGATGTAATGATAAAGTTGCATAAGTTCTCCTCTATAATGCATCTAATTTAGTTAATTGAAAGTTTTATAAAGTTAACAAGTAAGAGAGAATGGCAAATATTTCTCAGCTGGCTTAAATGCTTTACTAGCAGTTGTGAACCCATTCATCCTAATGATCAAGATCACCTCCATATCCAATATTGTTCACCATTTCATTAGCTGTCATTGTGCAAAGTTTGTGATTTATTATAAAACCCACAATTCTTATGAAATTTTGTTTGCATGGCTCAACTGCAGTAACCCATTTTATTAAATGGAGGTTGTTGTCCAACAAATAAAAAACTCCAACATTTCTCAAATCAGAAGTTTTACAGCCTGCAATATAGTGCTAGAAGGCAAACTAGTTTCATAATAATTCTCCGCAAAATTATTAAAAATGAAATGCACACAACTTTCTAAAAAAGTGCATATCAAATTTACATGTAATATTATTTGTTTTTATCCTGTTGCAGGATCTCTTACATGTACATACAGACTCTATGGCATACATTTTACAAAATGGGTAAAAGACATGAGCAACTCAATAACATATACAACAAATCTTACTTGTAAATGGGCGGAAAGGCCACAGTAACACCATCCATATCCATAACAAAACAGAGCAAAGACAGTAATACATTGCAGACATTGATTCCTTCTGGAATAGATGAACCATAGCTGTTATTTAAATGATGCAATAAATCCACTTCTTATCAAGAGTAATGATTGATTGATTGAGTGAATGATTAATTGACCAGAGAACCCTTTTTATTTTGCTGATAGATTAAAAGGTTAGACATGGTTTGATACTAGTCTGGTTCAAAGATTTAATGAATGTAACCAAGAAGTTACAATTCATAGAACCAACGTTTCAACACTCCTGTCTAGTGCCTTCATCAGGGGTGATCTAAACACTGCAACAAGGGGTCCTTTCATACGCTCCTTTTTTCCTTATTTTCTGAGAGAAACTTCCTTTTCCAGCGTTTAGATCACCCCTGATGAAGGCACCAGACAGGAGTGTTAAAATGTTGGGTCAATGAATTGTAACTTCTCGGTTACATTCATTTAATCTTTAAACCAGAGTAGCATCAAACCATGTTGGATTGTCCACCTGGTTGCCATATATTAATCTTTTAATCTAAAATATTATTTTAGATTAAAAGATTGTTAAATTCCTCATCTTAAAACTAGTTTGAGGCAATCACCCAGGAAGTGAATTTCTAGTTCCCCTTGGAAGGCATTTGCTAGAATGTCCCATTTAAAACAACTCAACACTAACATTGATCACTGTCAAGATCCATTTCTGCAAATAAAAGTAAATCACTCACCATCCTACTGTACAGATAAACCCTTTTCCTCCTTTTCCATGCCTAAAAATATCAATTCCCAGAGTTACAGCTGCATGCATCATAACTTTAACAAAAGGGTTGATAGCCTTATTCCAACAATTGTAAATTAATTGATCCCAATTTAACTAGATTACCTGGCGTACAGCAGGTTCTGCTAAAATCTCATCCACATTTGGTCTGAAAATGTTACAACAAATTCAGCTGACATACGATGCAATTGAGAAAAGAAGTTTAAAGAAAGTTTAAATGATTTTGGAGACACCTATGTCTTTTAAAAGAAACTTCCCAAATCAATGCTTAATTTAAAAAAATGTGTTTTCTGGTGTTTCCTCAAATCATAAATAATTATGAAGAGAATACAACAGACCTTTGTTGTGGTGAAGGATTCATCATCTGCAATATAAGTCGTCTAAGCTCTAGGGATATACCTGAAGAGCAGAAGACCAACATAAATCTGAGTGTATGTATGGTATCTGAATCTAAATCTTAAGTTTGTCAAATGTGCTTTGTTTCCTTGGTATGTTTTTCTAAACTTCAATAAGGATACTTCAAATATTTCATGTTAGAAAAGGGTTTCTTTAGCAGGTTTCAAAGCAAGTATTATTAGGAATCTATTTACACTAATTCATATATGCTAAGGTTCACCACAACTTGTGAAAGTGGTGTCAAGCTGGCTAGTTTAACTTGTATCTCTCACTGTTTTAGTGCACTACCATAATCTTTAAACAACAAATTAAATTAGTCTGAATTCATTTATAGCCTGAAATAATTTTTAACTACAGCATGCATTCACAGTATTGTATGATAACATTTCATAGCAATTTGCTTGCAGTAGATAACATTGACTGTTTGTGAGTGACTTCAATGTGTTTTTCTGGCTGTTCTTGTCACTAGTCTTAGTGGATGAACAAACCTTGTGTAAAGATGTTGGGAAGTTCTCCATTTCTAAGTTGATGCCATGCTTGTCCACCTTTTGGTAATTCAAGATCACTGGCCAACTCTAGTAGAGTTATGCCCAAACTGATTACAGCAAAACAAAATAGTGCCAAATAAAAACCCACACATACATCTAAACATACCAAAATTAAAGGGCAAAACACTCATTTTTGCACTTCTGAAAAAATGTACACTTTGAATACAGCCAAACCTCTCTAATAAGGAAACCAAAGGGACCTAACTACTGATGTAAGTAACTGTCTTGAAGAGGTGTCTGTCTTATAAGAGGTAACCACATTTATGTAGCTTTTCATACTTCCTCTATCTGTGTTTAAGTGTCTAGACAGAGACATGTTCATCAACAAAAAAATAGGAGGAATTGAATTGCTGCTACTCTCACAGAAGACAACAAACCTGAAGATGTCTGCACTTTTTGTAAAGTGACCTTGCATTAGCTCTGGAGCAAGGTATTTTGGATCACCTTCCAAAGCTTGGGTGGTGTCACACTAGATACAGAAGAAAAAAAAAGGTTAAAGGGTACCTTGGACATCAATCAATAAAAGAAAAAGAATGCTCAGCACTTATTCTTTGAAAAGGAGATTAATATTTCCATTACTTATTTACAAGTTTAAGGAAAGTTATTTTTTAATTATGCACAGAAGCAAATCAGTTTTTGTCTTTCCCCACTTCCACAGCCAGTGTCAGTCCAAAATTCACCCTAAAAAGCCAGATAAATAAAATTGCAGCTGTAAAGAACATCGGTTACAAAGTAAGTTATAACAAAATTGTTTTTAAAATTATGGATGCTTTGCCAACAATAATTTGAAAAATGGATTTGAAGGTTTGTTTTAATTATCAGTAACATCTTAGTTTGAGGTTAATGTTAGATAGAATTTTTTGGCTGTTTTTGTTTTGTTTTGTTTTGTCTATGGAACAACCTCGGAAGCAAAATGCATCTCATCTAAGGTATTGCACTTCTGCAGTGAAAATCACATGGCTTGGAGCACTCATTTGCAAAACAGTAGGCCATACTAAGTCAACAACACTTACTTTTGATAACTCCAACACCAAACCAAAATCTCCTATTTTACACAACCCATCCAGACCAATAAAGATGTTTGCTGGTTTGATGTCCATATGAATCAAACCATTATCATGAAGATGCTTCAAACCCTAGAAAATAATTTGCACAAGGCTTAACATTTCTTCTCCTGATGCCAAATAACATTAATTGCCAAGTTCACGGATAAATTAAAGATACTAAAGGATAAGAAGGACAAAATAGACTCCTTCAGTCATGAAATAGAAAGGCAACAGCAAAACAAAGCTGTTTTGCACCTCAGTTTGACTGCACCTTTGCAATATTAGTAAAGTAAAGATTTATTAACAATCTGTTCGATTATGTACCACAGATAATTTCATCAACCAACTGCACACAAGAGTTCATTTTCAATAAAGATGTATACAAGTGAAAATGCATACAATGTACCATGCAGTACTAACCAAAGTCAAATCAACTAGAAACTCCCACACCACAGATTCACTGGTTGAATCATTTTTCTCCAAGAAGTCTTTGAGGCTAGATATAAAACAAATCATTATTCAATCATACATATCAACTATATCCATTGTGATAATAATCACTGATTTGTTCAGATCACCATGCTCTTCATACCTCATTTCACACAACTCTGTTTGTATGTAAAGACGTTTCCTGAATTGTAATCAGAAACATAACATTATTTCTACAAGTAATTATAGTATTCATTTCCTTTAGCTGTCACAATGAAACACTCAACATACTTGCAGAGCACTAAAAAAATTATAGGAAATAAAATTACAATAGGATATTCATACAGTCAACAAGAGGTAAAGCGAGACTAGAAAGATGCCCAACCTTTCTTCCCATGCCTTGACAAATTTGACACAGTTTCTATGACCTTTTACCAGCTCATGTTTGTTGACCTCTTCAAGTTTATATTTTCTGTGAGAAAATGTAAAACAAATCAGGTTACAGAAAAACATGATTACTCTGGAATTTGTTGTTGCCAATAAAAACAAAGTGGTCCTCACCTATCAGCATCACCACGGAACCTATCCCTTGATTTCTTAATTGCATAAAGGCATCCATCTTCCTTACTTCTCACTTTGAACACCTGCAAAGGCATTGATTAATCAATAAATTCATATCTTGAGAACCATTCAGTCTTGTCAGCCCTTTATCTACCAGCTAACAAGTGCTGAAGCATTTGGGAAGGATCTCTGTATTGTTAGCTGGTCTGTCTTAAGATATTACTTGCATTAAACTCTAATAGTGAAAACAAAATCAGTATACTGTTTTAATTGTCACAGAATGAAATGCCACCGAGGCATGAAGGATCCACATGTATACCATTCAGCTAAATCATCTCTTACTAAATGTTTCACAAATCCAAGGTCAACAAGGCTCTCAGTACCTAAGTATAGACTTATTTCTGTTAGGTTAAACCTCTTAACCATAAGAGTGACCAGCATCTAATTTCTCCTTCATATAATTCAGATCTGAGAATAAGGGAAATGATCCCCAAACCTAAGGAGCTTTGATTATTAAACAGACTCTCCTTTTTAGTGTCAAAAGAAATGTACAGAGATAGGTATGAAAAATATTGAATACTAATTTCAGGGCGTAAAGGTTTAAGCAACTGTGAGTATTACTATATGCCCTTTCTGCATTTACACATAACAGCAGTATTGAACTTACCTCTCCAAATGAACCTGCTCCAAGTCTGCTGATAACTACAAAACACTGTTGAGAGAATCAGTTGAAAATAGTCCAAACTTATTTTGTTCATCTGAGGAAAACACATTGAGATGATTCCTCAGTATTGGGCACAACATGTACTGTGCATAAAAATAAACCAACTAAGCAAGCACATTCTGTTAACATGTTTCTCCTTACAGCATCACCCTTAAATCAAATATTAGGGCAATGAGAATATTGGAAATGATCACCGATTTCAGAAGCTCCTGAGCGTCAATCAAATTCTCCTAGTCAGTACCATGGCAAATGTAAAGAGAACAGTTTAGAGAATATAAATACTAATCTTAGAGTGTACGGGGTTAAAAGGTCACATTCTAGCGAGTCCACACCGCTGGTGCAGTCTTAATAGAGTGTATGTTTATACAAGGTTGAGAGTGCAATCATGTTATGTACACAATGAGAAAACCTAGAAAATGCCACCATAATTTCTTCATTGGGACAGCTACTTGTAATAAAGGAACAGATTACTTTAGTCTAGGTACTTTTTCATTATCTTTTACGTCTGTATCTTATGCGTTTTATAAACATGCGAAATATTGTAACATATAATAACGTACTAAGTGTACAGCTGTACAAATGCTGAAATTGCATTTGGCTTTGAATATGTGCACTAAGGTATTTTAAAAGAATTTTCCATAATTTAATTGCTGTACACTGTAAAAATAGGAGGGAGAGTCTTCACAAAATCTTTTCAGTTAGGAGAATATAATAATAAAACATGAACCGACTTATAATTACCTGCTCAAAATAGAGATCTCGTGATTTCGCATTGTAGTGGGGGCTTTTAATTTCTGATTTGAGTTGTCAAGAATGTGCGTCAAAGAGTGGTTAAGCATTCAAATTTAGCAATAAAAGAAACAATATTCAACTCGACGTTCATGAACAAAAAGTTCTGGGAATCTCGAGAGGTAATCCAATGGAAATATTACATCATCAAAATTTCGCAAACTTCAACACAACTACAAAAGACATTAAGCGTTCTTTTCAAAGGATACCGCTACCACTATCTCGAAAACTGACTTGCAGTGCTCCCACCGAATTTCTTCCTGTATGTTTAAAAACTCTGCTTATTGGTGGAGCTGATTTCACTGGAGCTCGTGGAGGTAAACAATCTTCTTCAATTAAGTTTCTGTGACTAGGTTTCTTGGGTTTTCGGTGACTAAAAGTGGCCTCTGTGACGATGTTAGGTATCGGCCGAGGACTTTTTAAAGTTTCCCCCATCGTTCACACTGACTTTCACTTAAAATGAGCCAGAAATAGGTCCTTTGAAGATGCCATCGGAAGAGATTTATCGTGTTTCAAGATGGCGCACGGTTTATGGGAAGTCAGCGACGAAGTACAAATTTTGGCGCCAAGGACCAAACATTTGCGTCACGTGACTAAAACATCAGTCACCAGTCTCTTTTTCCGATTGTAAACAACGGAGAGGGTTTTGTAATTAGCATGTAAATCCAATTTCTACTCGATTAAGTGCCATGAAGCTAAAACGCTGGGGAAAGTTATTAAAAAGTGCCCCATCTAAAAGCTAGCCTGTTCCAGGTTCTCAGTGGGAAACGAGCCAAAGGGCAATTAAAAGAAAAACGCCGATTGTGTGGGAACACCTGTAATTTTTCGCACGCCTGGTAGTTCCGTCAGTTCCTCAAACCAAAATTCTAGCATGATAATTTTCCTTTCACTGATTGAAAACCAGTCACAGGAGTCTCCCTAATACTAAATCGCGAGACAAGCAAAGACACGTTTAACAATCATTGCGGCCGCGATAAACAGACACATGAGTTACAATTCCATATATTCATGATCGTGTTCGAAACACGATTAATTCTAATACAGAGTTCACTGCTATTGTACCTGTACAGAAAGTGTCAAAAGCAGCACGCGTGTAAAGTGCATTCATATAAACAGATTACTGAAGTATACGAAATTTACACGAAATCAACAGAAAAAATATCCCAAATAAATTGTTTATTTTTCGATTACCTGCTCCACTATACAACGACACCCCTCACCTCATCCGTAACACGCCGACACTAATCCATAACAAGCAGTTAACTCTGACAATTCACCCCTTCACTCAAATCTCCAGACAATTCTCATGATGTCAGTTGGGATAATTTGGTCCTGGATCAACTAATAATCTCGTAATTGATAATCGTCTTTACTCTTATCACTTGTCTGCTTGATGTTGTATTGATATTGTAAGGTGAAATTCTGTCTTTGTCACTCTTGGGAGTAAGAAGTTTTAAACTAAAATTTGATATTTGATTAGGTTAAGTGACTCGTCAAACGACCCCACCGATTCCACATGAAAACTAACTCACTCTTTTACGACGTTTTAACTTAAAGGAGGAAAATTCTGCCATTAGATTCATACTTTGCTCGTATTAAAAAATACTGAAGCGATTGTGATATTTCAAAGCAATTCCTTCAACTTTTAAACACACTCCCTAATAACCTAAAAATGAAAACCTCACCAAACAGGAGTATGTTCCTGCAATCTCCTTTTTTAAGAGATGCGATTTTTTTCGTTTTAATATATTTCAACTCAAATAAAGAAAAAATTGTATATCGACCTAAAATATCCCACAAGTAAATAGTTGATTAACTTTAAAGATATAACATATCTTATAGGGAACTGTGTTCACCATGTACAAAATGCCCATTTATCTCAGTATAAAAATTGGCAGAGATTCCCACACTATCTGTTTAATAGGCCCATGAAGTAAACGTTATACAGGAGCTAGAACTAGGGCTGTACGGCAAGGAATGTAGACCTGCAAAATAAAAAGGCACAGATACATAAGAACTTAGGGCAATGTAGTCAATGTCGATGCGTAGGGCAAATGCCTGGGTACGAGTACAAAGAAAAATACGCCACGAAAAAGAAGGAAAGGATCTGGGGACGAAGGGTAGTTGACAGCAACGCCGCGTTAGGGCCTATTTACACGGTACGACTTTGTCGCATGCGACAAGCTTACGACAGGCTTACGACACGAATTGTTTCGTGTAAATCAAACCTACAACTCGCTTACGACTCTTAAGTCATGTCGTAGGCCTGTCTTAAGCTTGTCGCATGCGACAAAGTCGTGCCGTGTAAATAGGCCTTTAGAATTCCCGCCACACAATGAACTTACCAAAAGAGAGAATGGTCTGTCATGCCATGGCTGGCTGTCTACAGAGTATTCACAGTTTGGATCCAATCGCTTGTGCCCACCGTACTCAGCTGAATCTGTCTCCAAAACTATTCTGTATCTGTAATCCTTCGTTAAGAAACGTGATCAAGTCATCCTTGTAATCCCTCTACTTTCTGTAAGGTCTTACGTCTCTTCAAAATAATAGGATAAAGAATGTGTTTTCCCAGTCACTGTAAAAGTAAAGCGTTTGTGCACGTAAAACAAAAGTACGGGAGACTTAAAAGAGAACCATTCTCCAGAAATCATGTAATCTTCATCACCGCCTTGAAAAAATGAGTGACAAAAGTTTCTTTAACCGACTTCTGAGATTCCAATTTCATAAAGGCTTTCAATGGCAGAGTTTAAAATAGTACGGTTTCTTGGGCATACTGCCCCTTTACTGCTTTTTCCTACAAGCACACCGGGAGGATTGAGCTCGGTCGTCAGCCGCTGGTCGACTAATGAGCCTGTGCTCCTTCGCCGAAATTGAACAAACCGCTAAAGTTGAGCCTGAAAGAAACTCTGGGATCTGGCGAAATTTGATAGATCGATCTTATCCATCGAATTCAGTATGAAATAGCTTTGGGTTAATCTATCGATAGGTTTCGTTCAGGATACTTTCCAGCGATGCTGGCCCCGATTCTGTAGTCAGCGAAACTCTTGGTAGGGTGAAAGTTGAACACCCACATTAATGAAGCTCTTTCAAATACGATGAGTTTGTCATCTTCATGGTGACAGGAAACGTAAGCCTGGAAACAAATTAACGAAAATGTTAACTTTGAATAGAATTTCGTCTTGTTATGAATATATAATTATTATACATTATATAGATCGTGTTATTAACTTATTATGAATATATAAACAAGCTATTCTACCTACATTGGATTATGGGTGTATAGTTTGAGAGATTATGGTAAGCAGGATTCTCAGCGTTGAAAACGCCTCCAAAACCAAGCAATGGGTATTATTTTATCAGCTCATCGTAAATCTCGTTATCAGGACATGCGCAGGAAGTTAGGTCTTTATCATTAAGAAGTCGACGTCGTTTCTTAGGGTTTCAACTAGTTTGTAGTAAAGTGAATAAAAAATATACCTTTGAGATTTATTTACAGACCTGCACCATAAAATAGTGCCTTAGATTCAAGGTCAATCTAAAATTTACAAAATACAGCTACTTAGCCGATCGAGCCCTTACAGATACAGTATTTAAAACTGACCACTTACCTGAGAAGACTCCAGCCAATGGTATTTTTCCTCCAGGTGCATCATGGCCCGGTCAAACTCAAACAGACACTTGTATCTAAGCAACGGATCGTCCACTAGATTAAACTGCCTCCGTGCATAGTGATAGCTGTTGTTGTTCCCCTCGCGTGGAAAGTCCAACCATTCCGGATGTCCGAATTCATTTCCAATGAAATTCAGGTAGCCTTCCCCTCCCAGACCAAAGGTTATCAATCTGAGAAGAAAAACAGAACGGTTGGGAAATGATCCTAGTAACAGTCATCACCTCGTCTTGATGTGAAAACTGAGACAAAAGTAGAGTCGAGAAGAAACCCCCAAACAAATATAATTTACCTTATCATCTTGTGTAATGCTAATCCCCTATCGATGATGGGGGTCAGCGGCGTAGTCTCCGACATATGCGTGTACATCTCTTTATCCATTAACCAGAATGCAATAGTCTTGTCACCGACAAGGGCCTGGTCATGACTCTCTGTGTAAGCAATGGTTTTCTCATTGTGTCGTCGATTGATAAGAGTCCAGACAATATCCCACATGTGCCAGTCCTCGTCCTTCAGCTCTTTTAGAACCTTTGAAACATTGGTGACAGGGGTTTTAGTAAAAGCCAATTACTGGGTCTGCCGCCGCCTATAAGACTTCTTACCGCCGTCTGTTTAGCCTTAGCCTGAGGTGCAGGCGTCTTATTAGTGCGAGCTAACGTTGTAAGCTCGCCATCGTTTGTTTAATTTAGTGTTAGGGTGGACGGTGGGGATAGGGGGCAGGGGAATCTTTACTTCCCCACCCCTACCCCTCTCCTTATTTTTGACCGACGACCACCCCCCTGGTCCAAATTTCTTTCTCTCCCCGGCCTTCCCCTGCCAATAAAATCAAAGACGGCGGCCATAATTTTCGTTAAGAATATACTGAGCACTTACTCGTCAAAATTACGCCTGCTTTGCTGACTAGTTTAGCCTTCAAGCATGCTCTCGTGTTTGGGTTTCGCCTTACGGCTCCTTTTCGAGTAAAGTCGCCCATTGCATCATCGGCAGATGCTTGTGCAGAAAAATTATTGAAACCCTAGATGTTTCAAATGGCCACAGAAAAACTAGACGAATACCTTAGAGAGCACTTAAGTGGTGAGGGTCGAAAATCCAAAACCAAAGTAATAGAGAAAGGCAATTTGATCGTAGGAAAATAAAACTAGCGCTAAAGAAACTAAAAGAAAAAACAAGCGTATTGTTTGAAGCAGGAAAAGCGTCACCAAGCGTCGATTGATTTTAGATTTGCGTATCACTCGTTGAGAGCATGGCGCACGTTTTCTGAATAGATTACGGAATAGAGCACTTTTCGATTGACTGTCCTAAAACCAAAACCAAAACCAAAGTAATCAGGACGGCCGATCAGAGGAAAGAAAAGAACCATTAAGAGCCAAGGAGAACTCAAACTAATACTGCCTAAAGCGCGCGAAAACGCGTGTGGCTAAATCGTGATTGGTTTAAGTTTTGAATCTGCTTGGCTTAGGAGAGTGGCGCGGGTTTTCTAGACCAATCATTGAGCAATGTAATGCAAAAACAAAGCATTTCTGGATTATTTACTTCAATGAAAATTGCTCTAAGCAAAGCAAAACAAAAACGACACTAAATCAAATATTTTATTCTTTTGCTGCCCTGAACCTTTTGACTCTAAAAATACGAGTCTGACTTTTCCTTCCTAGCTGCTATACATTTTATATCTTGGCGAAGCAAAGCCAGAATTAAGGATGCGCGGATTAAGCTTAGTTTTGATCTATCTGAGTATTCACCTTAATCCATCTGTCCGGGATGGCCATTCCAAGTCGATAGTCAAAACCCACTCCACCTTCAGTGATTGGACGACAAAGGCCGGGCATTCCTGACACTTCCTGCAATGGTACATTGCATGGTACATTT